ATGTAGTACCATTAAGTGGTAGTACCACTACTCATTGAGTATGATTTGTCAGCCAATTATCATCTATCTGGTGGTGATGCTGTCTATCCCACATTTTTCTAGCTTACCAAGAAGTAGGCTGTGATCTACTTTGTCGAATGTCTTACTGACATCTAAGTATATTATGTTCACAGCAGTTCGCTAGTCTACGAATTTAGTCACTTTGTCAAAAATGAAATAAGATTGCTTTTGCATGATCTGTTTTTAACAAAACCATCCGGACTTTTAGTTATAACTTTATTTTTTTCTAGATGTTCGCAGATCTGTTTTTTTATTATCTTTTCCCAGATATTATTGAATTTAATAACATATATTAAATTGGTTTTAGAAGAGCAGAACTCAGTAACATCACCTCAACATACTAGCATTCTCTAATTGTCCTTCCTATACAACACCACAAGGCAAATAGCAATAGTCCACCACTTTGATCAAAAACCATTTTGATTACGTTGATCAGTTATTCGTTTCTCAAGAGATGAAGCTGCTTGCATATCATATCTGTTTTTAAAAAGGCGTTGTCAATAAGGATACCACCTATGTATTACATGATAAAACAATGACCTGAAAAAAACTTTCTCAAGCTATATCTGATCTTTTAGGATACATTTATAAACGCATGCAGAAAAGGGTCTTTCAGGAAAGAAATGACAAACTGAAGACAGTGGAGCTGATTATCATAGTAGAATGAAGAAACTGGCTCTTCATTAATCCCACTCCATAGAAGGAGATGACTTGAGGTCACACAAAAGTGCTTCAGACAGCTACTTCTTGTGAGGAGACTGTAAGACATGATCTCTGGTGGATTTAGAGCTTTAGGAGATGAGGGAATAGCTATCTTATTGCTCAAACCATGGTTGGTCCCTGCAAAAGGACACTGGTTTTCATACCTCCTCTTCTAATCACTTTCAGAAATTGCTTAACTGTTTTTCAGCTATTAGGATCCTTAGATCAACAGGTTCTACAGCACCAGGTAAGTTTCCTTCACTCCTTAGATAGAGAAGTTTTAAGTACAAGGCCTTACTTACTTTTTCTTTTGGACTAAACTGAAAACGGGCCATTAGAACTTTGATTTTGGAAAGTTATAAACAGACTAAGGTACAAATGCCCAAGCAGGACCAAAGCAAAGATGGCATGCACAATTAATGCAGACATGGATCCAGGTGATCCAAAAAAAAGGACCCTGCATCTGTGGTAAAATGCTAGGAAACGGAGGAGGAAGAGGAGGAGGAACAGGAAGAGCAGGAGGAGGAAGAAAACAAATAGACTAAGGGTTCAGATGGATTTGAAATAAAATGTTGGAATTAATTACAAGTATCCTTTCTGTGGCAAAAAGCTTTTGTTTTCAACTCTGTTTAAAACACACACATACACACAATAGGATGAGATTTTGAAGGTTGGATACTAGATAGAAGATAAAAGAAATAATCTTTTATTTGGCCAAATGTGATTAAACACACAAGGAATTTATCTCCAATGCAGACGCTCTCAGTGTACATGCAAAGCAATAGAGCAATAATAATCATAATAATGATACCACTAAGAAGAGGTATATATAACATGAGAAGGAAAATAATACTATAGCTGTACAACATAGGTAAACATACTTAGACATAAGACAGTACCGTGAAGATTAGGTATTCAGCAGAGTGATGGCATGAGAGGAAAAAAAGAGGGAACCAGAAGGAACTGAAAATTACATTTAATGGAGAAGAACAGTTAAATTTGATTTACTAATACAGAATAGAGCAAAATATTTTAACATTAGACATATTGAACGGTTTTTTTGTGAACAATAGACCAGAAGTTAATTTTAAGAATGTCTACCTCTATAGATAGACTGTGTTTAAAAGATGTTATGGAAGAGAATAAAGTTTTGGAAGACAAGACTGAGACTAATATGCAAGTGCATTTAAAAATGACTACAAGAATGATATGAAAGATGCTACACTGGACAGATAAATGAAACCAGACGATATCTTAATACTTAAAAGGGATATACAAATAAGAAACCAAAAAGTGACCTGAGTAACTTTTCGATACTGCATTTACAAAAGAGCTTGTTAAAACTGTAGGAAGTTAGCACTCACCCCTCTCCTAGAAGAATGAAATATTTTAGGAAATATTTAAAAAGGCAGAATATTATACCTACCTGGATGAGAAAAGGAGAAACATGCTCTTGGAAAGCAGCCCCCACTTTTGCTAATAGTCCCAGAAAGGCTGGGCCAGCTTATCTGCAACACAAAAGACCTTCACCCTCAGGACATAATAGGATTAGCCCTCTACCCATCTCACCACATGACATCTGGAAGATTACATCACCCAGCAAGATTCAACCAAACCTGGGACTCAAGACAACCTACAAAGCTACCCCTACATGGCCCCATGAGACAACCAATCAGGATACATTTCTGGCCACAGGGGCAAGTTCAAAGCCCAACAGAGGGTATAAATCTCTCTCCTTCTCTCACCAATGTTCTCTTTTTGCCCAGGTCTTCAAACCATGTGGTCCTGTCTACCATTAAACCACCTTTCCAAGCAGTCTCCATGTTTCCAGTGTCTTTCTTCCCACTTGGAACTGAACCCAGATGGACATTTCTTCCAACAAAACTTTGAAAAATTTTGTGAGACAGGACAAATGAAAATAAATCAAGTTCTACAACTCAACTATTTGAAGGGACTAAACATCAAGATTATTAAAAATAAAAGGAAGAATATAAAGTTAGGTTATTTCATGATCAAGGTTGAAATAGATATGTTATCACATAAGCATGGGAATTCTGATGTTTCATGCCTATGATTGATGTCATTCTAAATCAAACCTGTACAGAAGCATATGAATTCTAAGTCTGTAAGCCTTTTCTTTCTTGAAGCTCATCCTCTTACTTCATATGGTCCCACTGTGTCCTCGCCACAGATCCCATAATACTGTCCCACTGTTTTTCACTTGTTAGACTTCAAGTCTTATGTGCTAAGTAGAGTGATGCAGAATCCTTTACTATAATGCCACTATAGAAGTCATCACCTAAACACGGAGCATGAAATTTCCATTTCTCCTTCTCACTTAAGGAGCATAACAGCAGGATTTGTTGGACCAACTTTTTCCTTTTTCTTTTTGCGAGGGAGAGAGGACAGTTATTGGGAGATGAAATGTTGCTTTAAGATTCTCATCTGGGATTCTTCTGGGGAGTTACATGCAGCCTTTGGAACAATATTTTGTATGTTTCTTCTGAACACTCATCAGAATTACAGCAATGCTGTATAGGCTGATTAAAGAAAGGCAAAGCTGCCAGAACTTGATTTCACAAAGAAACAAGCAATGTATTATGTGATCAAATTAATCAGTATGAGGACAATACTCCCTCTGTCTTTAGAGGCTACTTTCACATCCAGAATCGTTTCACATCTGATTTTGCCTACAGTAACAGCAGCAAAAATGCAAAGCCCTTTCTCTTCCCAAGTTGATCCAAGACAGGAATGCTTAGCAGTGATTAGGTTGATTACTGATTTATCTAAGAAATCAAGCCACGACTTCATCTGCTAGGCCAATGTCTAAATTCCTATATTGAGACATTATACCACATTTATTTATTTATACAAACTTCAAAAAAGGGGCCTTCTCTAGGCCTCATAAAGGCCTTTCGTAGGAAGAATTATTATTAATTTTATAAACAGGATTATTTTTTGGTATGAAGTTAAACTACAATATACCCAGGGGCCATGGTGGCTCACGTGGTAAGATGTTGAGCCTGCGCACCGCTGAGGTCAGCGGCTTGATTCCCATGAACAAATAAACCACGTAGGGACAAGAAAGGAGCCTCCCCACGATTGCCTACCAGCATTCAGGCATCCCGTGGGTAAAAGATAACACCACCCAAAAAAATTCTTTTCACAGAAGCAATTAACCGCCTCGGTGAACCCTGGTTAACATGGGCCATAACGCAAAAAAACCCCCAAAAAACAACCCAACTGCAATCAAAATGTACTCTATTATGCCAATGTATAGATTCTATTAAGATAATGTAGTACTATAAATGGCCTTGCTAAATCTACCAGTCATAATAACACAATGGAGGGAAGTCACCTTTTTCCCTTAAGAGTATGGAAATGAAAGATGGAAGTCCAAAGATGGACTTTGAAGAAGCAGGATTGAAAGAGTATCGTTATTTTGGTATTGGTGTTTTAAGAATCCTGAGAACACAGTGGGCACCCAAAAAAATCAATCAGATCATTGAACAAATCAATCCCAGAGTTCTGATTCAGGACACACATGACCGAGCTCAAATTATCATACTTTGGTTCCGGTATGTCAAGGCATGCCTCTCAGAAGGCTCTAATATTGGGTAAGGCGCAAGAAAAGAATGACCAAAGATAAGGTGGATGTACTTAGTTACAGAGACAATTAAAGACCCGTAGGCCAGGGTTGGGACATATCGTCCAAGATTAAATCTATGTGGTTGCTAAGAAGCTATGTAATAGCATATCATCAATCATCAATTCATCCATCTGCTATTAGAGAACAGATTGCTAAACAGGGTTGAATATTACAAATTTTATTATTTTAAAGTCATTTTCAGACAAGGTCACGTTTAGAGGCAGACTGAGGGGTAGGATTTCAACCAGGTCTCTGGCCTGAGAAGGCGATTATTTGAAATTTAAGGACGGGAAACATTCACTTCACAGTTCCCGTCACACTTCCACCCAAACGGCCCAGAATGGCGTGGTGGACCAAGAACTCTCGCGAGCCAATTCCAGAGTCAGGCAGATCTCTCCCATCCCTCCTCCGGAGCCTGGGCGAGACTCGGCGAAGAGGCCGACAGAAACCTCCCTCCAATCGGCAGCGCGGCCTCCCCACCGTGCACCACCCGCCGGGAGCTGTTGGCCTATCAACCTTGTCAGACCGCTCCCCTCCGGGGCAGTCCAACCACTGGCTCCTCCTCAGTGAGGTAAATCATAGTCAGCGTGGCTCTGCCAATCGCCGGCAGAGGAACGCTCGGGGCGGTCCTCTTTAACTCTGGGGTGACTCCGAAGAGGGTCCACCGAGAAGGAAGACGTGCTCGGGCCGCTCTCAGGGACGCGCCGCTTTCCTCCCGTTTGCCCCAACCATCGGCGGGTAAGTGCGGTCGTGCAGGGACGGGAGGGGGAGGAGATACTTTTTAGGTGGCTTTTCGGGGCCTGCAAGAGAGAGGCGCGCATCCCGTCCGGCTTCAGGCGGCTGCCTCCCTCCCGTTCCTGCATTCCCCGGCTGCCACACCCTATTCGCTGCGGGCTTGGGACCGATCTCGTCTCCTTCTCCCCCCTCCGCGTCCCCGGGAGCTTTTTTTAATATATATATATATTATATAAAAGTATATATATATATACTTTTCGCTCAGCCGGCGGGGAAGTGATTTCCTCTCCCGCCTGCCCGCAGCGCGCGTGACGCAGGCCGTCTTGACAGGAGCAAAACTCCCGGAGTCTTTTTAAGAGGCGGGAGCATTTCTGCTTGAAAGCAATGGGAGCTGGGCAAAGAGGCTATTTCCTTTCTCAGAAGTACTCCAGCACGGGTTCGCTTACCGCAGTGATTTGAAAAATGGGGGCGAGAGGCGGCGGCGGGGAAGGCGACGACGACTACGACGGGATGCTGCTTCAGAAAAGGCCGAGAGTATATTGGTTATGAGAAATGGGGCCGGAGAGACTGAAGCGAGTTGGCGACTGGAGCGCCACTGTTCGCTCCGTTCTTCGTAACGGATTAATCTGAGGCAAAACTGTCGAACCGTAATAGAAGGGAAGAAGGCACGGTTGCTAATCGAAATTCCCCCTCTTCCCCCCTCAGCGTACACAAACTCAAGGGCTTCTGACGTCAGTGTGACAGGCAGACATTCAATAGGGGAGGCTTTTTGTAATCTTGCAGTCTGATAATAAATAAAACAATCTGACGTCGATATGTAGCTGTTAAAAGCATAAGGATTTCGGTTCGGTGCCAGTGTCATCATTGACTTCCTTTAATCAATGATGACACTTCCTCGTGTCTCTCCCCCCCCCCCTTTTAGGTGAATGCTGAAGTTGAATTTAACCATTTTTTGTACGTCCTTTTCTTCTCTTCCTTTTTTCCCCCTACTTCATCCTTGTTTGCTATCCTTAGAAAAATCATTTCCCAAAATAGGATTAATTGTAAAAAGGAAGAGAGCGTTTCTGCAGGAGAAATGGTCAAACTTGTATTGTGCCTGCTATAAGTTATTGTGCATAGTCTTCTGTATTTGTACAAACTCTTCAGTAAAAATAGAGGGTTTGGAGTAGCAATATCAGAATGTGTAAGCAATCGTTTATAGCTCACCGTGCAGTTAGAAAGGGACATAAGGAAGTTAATCATCTGCTCCCCTTCCATCTTTGTTTTCCTTTCTTTTCAAATGTATGGTGATAAGAGAAAACCTCAATCTGAGCATTGTTCTCAAGGACTAGGGATAAGGAAGTAAGGAAATGATTTATTAATATGGCTGCACATCTATGTAATATGTTCTGAGCACCAAAAATAACAAAAACAGAATTTCATTAGAACAAAAAACCAACAACTATTGAGGCATGCATTTGACAAGAATTTGCAATGGTCAGTAATCTCTCATATCTATATGCACATTACCAGCTGTGTGTTAAATTGCTTGGCAAGTCATTACCCAAGTTAATTCCCTCAAAGTAGTGCTGAAATTTTCTGAGATACTATAAAGATTAATAATATTTTGTGTCACAACCTTTATGGAGTAGAGACTCTTCATCATATCTGATCAGGGTACAAAAAAGTTATACCATAATAGATGTACTTGTTACATGCATAAGAATTAATTTTTATTGCAACACTATATTTTCATTGAAACAGAGGAAAAGGGCTACTCCCTTCTTAGTAGGCTGATGCTGATGTTTGAATTTGGAAAAAAATAATAATCAGGCTCATGAAAAATTTATAGGAAATTTTTCCATTTTAAATTTTTTAACATTCTGTATTAAACATGTTTATGAAGCTTACATTTAGATATAATAACACTTCCCATCTTTCAGTTTAAAGTTATTCCTGCAATATTCAAACTATTGAATCAGAATCAAATGCACATTTTTTTTGTGAGTTTTTAAAAAGTTCTAAGCAAAAGATTCATAGACTAATTTTTTTCCTCTGTTTTGGTCTGCTTAAATTTCTATTCTCTCCGCCATACAAAGTTAAAGGGACTTTCTGTTCCCAAGTTAGTTCCTGTTTATGCATATTAGGAATAGTGAAGATGAGACCTGAGAAAAATGTATGTGCGTTAAATATATAATCAAATCTTATATTTTTAGATTCAGTAGGCAGAAGTATCATAGATTGTTTTACTCTATTTCAGTTATATATCAAGACAGTTGTACGCTCAGAGATAAATTTGACTTCACAATAAATGCAATATTTAAAATGGAGTATGTCACTGCTGTTGATTTGTTAGAACTATTTTACATCCACCCAAAGTCCCAACTAAGCACAATAGCAACTATTTTCTTTGCTGGGCTGCTTTTATCCTGCATTTGGAGTTGTTAAAGTTTCATGAAGATATCAGATCATGAGTGAATGGATTGTGCAAGGAGAAGATACTCAGTTTTCTTCTGGATACAAAGAATGACTTGATTGAGGTGGCCTGTAAACCTTTTCTGCCCAGCTTGTATGCTTGATTCCTGACAAGAGCTGAGCATGTGGAATGTAGTTGTACGGGAGGGCACATTTCTGGCACATTACTGTGCTTAGCTGACACCTCAGTTATATCAAAGAAGTTGTATTCTATGGCGAAAGTATTTCAGGGACATGAAAATCAAGTTTGCATTTTAAATAACTAATTACCTAGTCTTCCACTGACTATTTTCATTCATTTCTTTTCTACTAAACTCAAGTTATGCATCTTGCATTTTAAATGTCACCATTCTATAGAAGATACTCTTCACCTGTCTGTCTAATATTGATGTAGGCACATTTTGCTGTTTAATAGTTTTGAATGCAGTTCCAGCTACTTCATTCTAATATGCCCTATCACCATTTCCTCCTTCACCATTCTGAAACATACAAAGTTGGGAGAAATGTGCTTCTTCCAGTCCCTTTATTATTTTACAGTGTTGTAGTATGTAGGAGCCTATTGAAGTAATAGCAATAAAAGCCATGGAAAAGTATGGGCAAGAAAAATGTATATAATTTTTCCTCATTTGTTTATACTGTATGAAAAATAAGACAAAACCATGGCAGTGTGGGGGACAGGTGGAGAATAGTAGGCTTAAAATGTAATTTGCATAAAATGCATCTATTCCTAAGTGTCTTTCTGAAAGCTCAGAAAAATCAACATTCAGCTTTGTTTTGTTTTGTTTTGTTTTTATTGGATTTATATACCGCCCTACTCCTGAAGGACTCAGGGCGGTGAACAGCCACAGAATAAAACACATAAATACAAAAATTTAAAATAGAATAAAAACGAATTAAATAATTTGGCTGAGACAAATTTAGCTGATAGGTATGTTAGTTTTTTGACCAAAAAATGTATGCATGTAATTTTTAAATGATGTTTGTAATTGTGTAGTATTCACTGGGGAACTCTGTCACCTTCTGGTTTGGGTGATTGTCCAAGTGCAGATTTTGGAGCAAATGTTGAATTCTGCAAAATAAGTCTCTCAGGGTATCTCATAGGGGATATTTCCTCAATAGTTGAAATAATCTGCTATATGAATGTATAGATCCTAGCATGTATTTGGACTGTAAATGATTAAGGAAAGGAGCCAAGCATGCTTCCTGTCTAGGAGATTATGTGCTCAAGTGGTTTGTTGTCAAAATCATTATGTAATATGAATCGGCACACTGGTAAATAAAAGCAGAAAAAATATTCTGTGTATCTTAGAGATTGTATCAATTGTTTAAGTTCTAAATTTCTCTCTCAGTCTAACTATGGCTTGCGCTTTGCTGGTTACCTGGAGCATATGCGTTTTCTTTCAACCTGCCCATGAAAGACTCATATGACTACCCCATCAAGGCTGTCCTCTTTGAATCAAGGACCTACTTTTAATTGTCCTGGAGCAGTCATTAATAGGAAGCTGCCAATATGCACTGTGTTTATATACAGTGTTTTAGATGGCTTTCTAAATACTGCAGCCTTCTATTATTTACAAAATATTGCCTAGGATTTAGGTGGAAGTCATTAGTTTTACAGGAGGTGAATACATGGGATGAAGTTAGTGAATGGCTTTTTCTTTTTCTTTCCCCTGTCTAAAACATTAACTTAAAAAGAGACCTCAGTGTTTTGAGAACTAAAAGTTTTAATTGTTTTTTTTTTAATTTAACCAACGGCAGTTCCATTATAATGAAACGTTGTTTGCCTTAAGGCAGATAGGATCACTGCCTGTTCAATTCTGGATTATCACTGATGAAATATATGTGACTTTTCTTATTAAAACAATCTCTGTGATTTCTATCTGTAGAAGGGGTGGCAGGGTATAGCAATAGTTGTTGCTATAATAACGTTTAGTAAAGACTCTTGAAGTTAAATGAAAGCCAGTTTGGGCTAGTGGTTAAGGCACCAGGCTAGAAAGCAAGAAACCATGAGTTTAAGTGTTGCCTTAGCCATGACAGCAAGCTGGATGACCTTGGGCCAATCATTCTCTCTCAGTCAAACTCACAGGGTTGCTGCTCTGGGGAAAATAGGAGGAAGGGGTGTTGGATATGTTTGCCGCTTTGTCTTATTTGCAAAAATCATAAAGGTGGGATACAAATAAACAAATAGAAATAAATAAATCAGGTTAGCTGGGTTTCTAATAATAAGCCAACACTAGTGATTCTTGCTCATATTTGATATTGTGACCTGATTATTATTGCAAATAATAGCTTATCTCTTATTTTTATTCAAATGTGATTACATTTTACTGAATTGGAAATGTTTTTGTCTCCTTCACAAAAAGATATTTTAGATCCCCTTTCTGAGCCTATCTCACTAGATGTCACAACATGATCAAAATGTGGCCTGCAGGAGATTTGTAAGGATTTAACCTGTCATCTCAATGTGGGGAGCTATGACTTACTAAGAACTGTTAATAGTGTAGGTTCCAGAGGAGAATATGATTGAAATAGAGCCTATTTACTTCTCCCTTTGGACATAACAGTCTTTCAAAGGGCAGCTGTATTCCAATTCTTTTGACTTGATCAGTTTGTTCATCTATTACAAACTTTAGATTCTATAATTTTATATGATTGTTAGAACCATGACGGCCCCTTTGTAATCGATTTGTACTGTTAAGGCAGTTCTGTTTTATTTTAGCCTACTGTATGGTACTTTACTGAACTAGGGAAAATATTTATTTTAAAAAACCCTGATTTATTCCAAAAGAAGTAGCTATCTAATGGATATACAGTTGAACTAATGGAAATTAGCATGTATGATTTGTGGTCAACATAATGCTCTGAATATAAAATTGGAGTTGGAACTTCTGTTTTCAGTGTTGTCCTCCATTTCAAGGGTATTTTCCCCACTGATCTGGATGTTCTGCACAACCTCACTTGGCAGAGCAAGCATAGCAGGATTCCAATCCCCTCCTCCATCTCTATGCATCAATATGCTATTGAGAGATTCTTCTCTGCATCCACGTGCATGGCAGTACCAGGCACAACACTTCTATGCAAGCAACTCATGTGGGTGTCGGGTTTTGTGCTGTTGACTTCAGAATGTCAGTGGGTTGGAGGTGTGGCCAAGGTAGGGGCTTGATGTCCCATGTTACAATTTTGCCAGAATACTGTTTGTACTGGTGGGTGGAACTGGAATTTGGGTATTAAATTACAATAATAGATGATGAAGCACAATTGAGCTTTATTTCAATATGTATTTCCAATTAACATTTCTGTGATTCCAGTTGAAAATGCATAGTGAATGTGTTCCTACATAGATATTCAGATCTGCTCTATTGTATGTGATGGGAGGAGGAATGATTTTCTGACTCTTTTTACCCTCATGGTTTGAATTCTATAGCGCTAAAAATCTGATACATTATTTCTTCTACCTAAAGTTGATGGCGGTTTAATTTTAGTGAGCAGATGTCAACTAAAACATTTTTCTTGTCAAACCAGTGAAGGGTGGGGAAGGGCTTTCAATTGTAAAGCCATTTTAGCAACCTGTAGAATGTTGCTGGTGAAAATTCCTACCGCACTATTCCAGTTGACCTGTTAAATGCACTGCAGTGCTTTGGTATGCACTGGTGCCAGGGCAGAATGATATCTGGACAATATTATATGGCCCTATAGTGTTTAAGAGTAGGATTTTGAGAATATCACAGATTTCAGTTGCATTTTCTACTTTATTTAAGATATGAGAAAAAACTGTGCTGTATTCTTGGTCTGGGTGTTTGTATGGCATAATTGCACCATACACTAGACTATAGGGCTGGGCTGCTTATTTGGCAGAATGCTGAGCAGAACTCCCGCCAGCTCCCAAACAGGCTGAGCAGGTTTGGCCCATGTGGGGACAGTGACTGCTCAACCTCTGTATTCTACTGATCGTACAGGAAAGTGCATTAGACACTTCATTTCTCCCTCTTTCTCTCTGTACTATGTAAAAAAAGAATTATTTATACCTGATTAAATCTTAGCCTTTGAACAGAGATGCTCATGTAATCGTCTATAAGAAGGGAAATGTACATTATAGTACAGAATGTCCAGTGGGAAAATTAATGCTGGGAGTACTTATTACTGATATCTCAGTATTCAGTTTCCTATTAAATACAAAAGCATACAAGTTCTGGTTCCTTAATCTCTCAGGGAACTAATATGCCTACAGTATTTGTGCAATATGTGCCCCTTAAGTGCTGTGCTCAGCTCTTATTCAGAAGGGTAAACTGGCATTATACACCAGTGAGTCAACGAGTAGCTATTTCCTATTGCCCAGATCAGTTGCTTAAGTTTTGCCCTATTGCTTCAATGGAGTACAGATGATCAGCCAGAAAGATAGGAAACTTGGTTTCTCTATAAGAAGCCACAATATTTCTCCACATCAATTCAACAGCAATTGCCATAATTTGAATAGTGGGGAGAGTTTGCATTGCATTTTAGCCAGGTATAGGGGCCACCTGGGAATGGATAGGATGGGAGGTTAGAAAAAATGTATCTTGGCTTAAAGGAATTTCATAATACTGCCAAGAAAATACATGGATGAATCATGAAAGAAAAAACCTAGTCTCATTTCCCATATTCATACCAAATCTATGATGTGCATCCCATTTTAAAAGTGAATTGTTTCAGGGGGAAAAGTTAAGTCTTCCTTTCATGTAGATATTATACTTTAGAGGAGGCATGTCCAACCCACAGCCTGTGGGACACATGTGGCCCTGGACAGGTAGTAATGCAACCCCACAACATTATTATGTGCATTTATATATATTAGCTATATTACATATTTTATATGTGGCTAAGACAATTCTTCATTCAATGTGGCTCAGGCAAGCCAAAAGACATGCCTGCTGTAGATATTTTGAAGCAGCTTTATTTGTACTTCTATCTTAGCTTCACTGTCAGAGTATATTCTTATGTACCGTATAATGATTCCTATATACCTGTATAATGAGCTACCTATAATTGATGTGGACTGTTTATCTTAATCTTCTGTCTCTGTTGTACTTTTAGGACTGTTCTGTTCTTCCTGGTCTTGTCTGACAAATTTCTGAAACTCAAAGAAGCCAAAAACAATTGGCAAGTTGACACCACCAGACTCCTGGTATGCTTTCCCAATTTTTTTCTTAGTCCTAAACTTGTCTTGATCTTTCACTGTTCATTCCCTTATAAATTCTTTTTTAAAAAAAAGGCTGGATCCTTTTAAAGTGAGGCTGTTCTAAATTCCCTTGTTTGTTCTTATTGCATGATGTATACCAGTATTGTTGGTCCTTTTCCCATCAGTAACAGCTTATTTTGAATTATCTGCATTCTGGTTGGATATGTTAGTCTTTCTTGGCATCTTTCTAGGTTGAGTCACTATATCAAAAATAATATTTTAGAAAATGACTTGTGATTTTTCTTATTCTGCATGTCCTCTTTCTAAGGTTGGCTACTTAAATATATATTTTCAGTCATATTAGAGTACTAATTAACATGCTGTCCTAAAAGCTTTAGTTACTCTGATATATAACTTGTTTGGTTGATCGACCAAATAAATTTCAGAAAGTAACAGTAGCATTTTTTATTTTGGACTTACTGCTGCAACATCTAAGGTAACATATAGTTCCATTTATATAGCATGTATTATTTTCTGTTCATTTGAACAGAAGGTTAGGGTATTATGCAGGGGTGAAATGCTACCGGTTTGGACTGGTTCGGGTGAACCGGTAGCAGATATTCGGTGTTCTGTCCCCTCCCACAAGTGGCCTTGCAGAGGCTCAAATAGCCCGGCAGTAACAAACACAGGCTAGAGAGATTGAAGCTGGCCCTTTAATAAATAGTTCTCTTCCAAAGCGTAAATCAGTCCAATAGTTACCGGGCAATGTTCCAAAGGTCTTGGCAGACAGCCAGCAAGCTAATAGAGGAATGCAGACTCTTGTCAAAAAAATCAAAACTAAGAGTTGTACCTCCACTGCATTCAAAACGCCAACAAATTGTTCACCACGCCTTTCCAGCCCAGTCACACCCCTTTTATATTTTGTAGGGTCTGGCCCTACGTCTCCTGACCACACCTCTTAGGACGTGGTAATAGCTGTTCTCTACGATGTCTCCTACGTCTCTCTCTTGCATCCAATAGGGGCTCCCCCTCATCGTTACCGGCCTCTGTTTCCTCCTCAATTTGGCTGGGGTCCATAGGCACATCAGCAACTGTCAGTTCTTGCTGACTCACCAGTGAAGACGACCCCTCTGGCACATAGCTCGTGACAGCTTCCTCCTCCTCCATATCATCCTCCGAATCAGCATGCGAAGATAAATCAGCCTTCGGAGCCGGGGTCACAACATGGGGCTGGTTCATTGAACCAGTAGCAATCGCTGGCTGGCCATGCCCCTGAACCGGTCCGCAGCCCACAGTCCTGCCATGCTTCCCTGCCTTCCACATGGCCTTCCCGGCGTCCTGGTGGCCAGGCAGGCAAACAGAAGGCCATGTGGAAGCCAGGCAAATATGGCAGGGTTGTGGGGAAGGGAGCTAGCAATCTACTCTCTTCCCCACAGCCCTGCCATGCTTGCCTGCCTTCCATGCTGCCTTCCTGGCGGGCCCCCATGCCTGCTTGCCTTCCGAGGTTGGTGTCCGGCCCAGCCAGTGGGTGGATGGGCGGTCCTTGATGGAGATTCCACCGCTGCGCTGCCCCAGGACATGTGCAGCAGCCCCGGGGCTGGGACACCTGCCTGCCTTCCCAGAGTACCACTGCGGTGGCGTCAGCCCCGGAGCAGCAGCTGCATCTCCACGAAGGGCCACCTGCCGTCAGCCTTACCAAGGCGCTGTCTTCATTGGGCCATTGAATACGCTGGTGGAGGATCTAGAAGATAAGGCCAACGCTGGCAGCGGAGGGGGGAGGGAGATCTGCTGCGCTTGGCTCCTTGGAGGGACATGGCGTGGCTTGCTTGCCTTTTGGGCCTGGCGCACTCGGCTTCCGTGGGGCCTTTGGTCAACTGCCACCCGCTTGCCTTCCCCTGTGCCTCGGGACCGGCTTGCCCTCCCAGAGCACTGCCTTGCTGCCGCCGTTCACTTTCTTCCTTCTCCCGCCGTGAAATGAAAGCAAACAGCGGCGGAGTTGCTTCGGGAGGTTGCTTCAGGAAGGCGGATGTCTGCAGCTAGGCGGGGAGGGAGGGCGGCGAGAATGGTGGAGTCAGGCAAGGGAGCACCAAGATGAAGGGCTACCTGCACTGGCCTGCCTGGGTAAGCGCTGTCGCCCAGACTGAAGGGAAAGCACTGCGGGCTCTGTGGTGGCACGGCCAGGCCTGGCCCTCTCCCCGCGTAGGGGGCTTATGCCCCTCCCACTCTGCTTCTTTGCCAGTGGGAAGCAGTGGCGCGGCTGAGCCTCCTTCCCTTGGAGCACCGGACTCCACGGGCTGAGTTTCTGGAGTGGCACTGGCGGTTAAAGAGAGGCAGGTGGCTGAGTGGGAATCCAGTGGACTGCTTCAGAGCCCCAAGCTCCACGGAGTCGACACGGGTTGAAGGCAGACTTTTCTGCAGCATCCCCCTCCCCTCTTTGGATCGCCCTGCAGGGGGGAGGGCTCTGCCTTTGCAGAAACGGGGTGGGCGGTTTGTATGGAGGATTGGCAGGGGGATGCGCGGTCCTCCGGGATGGAGAGCGGGGCAAGAGAAGGCTTCGAGATTCACTTGGGCTGTCAAGCCAGATGGCGGAGATAAACTCAAAGCTTTGGGGGCTTCAGAAGGCAGAATGTGCTTCAGAATGTGCAGCTCTTGGCTCTAACAGTGAGTGATGTACGTGACGTCAATTTGGCCATGCCCACCCGGTCACATGACCTCCAAGCCACACACCCCCAAGCCACGCCCACAGAACCCGTAGCAACAATTTTTAGATTTCACCACTGGTAATATGTGACCTCTACCTGTATATTATTAATAAACTGATTTTCTAGATGGGTTTGCACTCTTAAAAAAAGTATGTTTAGTTTAAAAATATTTGGTACTTCATTTTTTTTTTTTTTTTGAAGGAGCCAAGGTGCCTAAATTGTTTTTGGTTGTCTTTTCTTACTCAGCTAGAAAATACTTTCTCTATGCAGTCAATTTGATCTGAGAGATGTAACCCCTAATCCACAAATAATAATTTGGGCTGCAATTTCAAATGTATCAATTGCCGTATAGATAAAACCCACTCTAAGTCTAGTGTTCCTTTGTGAGAAGGTCATATGACTTGTATAACACATGCGGGCACTGATTGTTTATCCTGAAGGTTAAATGAGACTTTAGAGCTGCTTCCGGTAGACCAGGTGTGTCCAACCTTTTCGCTTGCCTGGGTGAAGATAAATTGCCTTGGGCCACATTACTAGCTGTCCAGGACTGCATGTGGCCCACAGGCTACGAGTTGGGCATGCCTGTTCCAGACTGAATGTATCTGAATAGCTTTGTTTCACTTGTACTTTTTTTTATTCGTAGGTACTTGCTATCGGTACTGTCAAAATCATTCACAGAAAAAAAAATCTTAGATGTGTTTAACAAAAATAAGAATTAAATCATTTATTTCATCCCAAAAATAATTATGCTTCATTGAGAATTAGGTAATAATACAGAACTATTCATTACTTTCATCCAAATAAAAGCATGATTTGCAGGTTGTCCAGTTCTAGTGCACTGACTAACACTTTCATTTCTTATGCAGAACAGCGACTAATACTGTTACCATGGATGTGTTGGTGAACAGGTATCGAAACTTCATGAAGGGAGCAGGTGAGACGATCTTAGCTGAATGACTGAAACTATTTTTTGTTTTGTTTTTATTCCTTTTTCTCCCCCAAAAGGAATCAGGTTTAGCCTGATAATTGAATTTACTGAGGAAGATGATGTAAAACTACATATTTGTGTGTTGCAAAGGTTATGCTTTCAGTATTTCAATAATTGGAGTGTTCCCCTTGAGCAGCAATAACTACAAGTAAATGTTTCCAATAACTGTTGATCAATTCTGTATTTGTCTTGGAGGAATTTAGCTCATTCCTCCTTACAGAACAGCTTCAACTCAGGGATTTTACTGGGCTCCCTTGCATGAACTGCTCACTTTAGGTCTTTCACAATATTTCTACAGGCTTAAGTTCAAGACTTTGACTTGACCATTCCAAAACATTAACTTTCTTCTGTAACCATTTTTTGGTTGTATGATTGAGTTTTTGGGTTGTTGTCTTGCTGCATGACCACTTCAGTGGTCATCACAGGACACCACAGCACCACCTGTGCTGAGTAGCACAGCACAAGACAGGACCACCTTTAGGCTAAGGCTGATAGGTACTTGTCCTAGGTACACAAAGTGTAGAGGGAACCAACACTGTCCCTCCTTCTGAATCATTCTAAAAAAGCAAATCTTTGTAATAGCTGGAGCTGGCACTATCAGTCAGTGTGAGGGGGCCTCCTACACCCTTGAAGCAGCACTGGCACAAGACCTTTGGCTAGTTGTCCAGATGGCCTTCCCTTGGCAAAAACAGCATAGCAAGAAATTGTAGTCTACTACTAGTTGCATCAAAGCAATGTCTTTGGTACTGTCTACTGTAGTGGCTGTCCGGAGTTTTGTGGTCTTATGAATGCTGACATTTAGTTCCTTAGACATTACTCTTGGGTTCTTTGAGATCTATTGGCGTATTAGACACTTTGCTTTTAGTGTGAACTTGGCTAGTTGAACCTTCCTGGAGAGGGTAACTGTGATAATGAACTACTTCCATTTGTACAATGACAATGTACATATTGTCTTACAATGGACTGGTGGAGTCCAAACTCTTTGGAAAGTTTGGTAAGCTCTTGTAGCCTGGTGAGCATCAACAACTATTTTTAGAGGTCCTCAGTTACCACCTTTGTTTGATCCTTAACACATTTCCACATTCCTGTGTTGTGAAGATCAGACTGATAGTGAATATCCAGAATTCTGTTCTTTCAATAGACAAGAATTCCTACTCTTACACCTGATTATTGTCCCATTGACTGAAATGCCTGAATGAATCCTTCAAAAGTTCACATACTTTTGCCATATAGCTTTGGATCATTTTCCTCAATAAATCAATGAACAAGTATAATGTTTTTGACTTATTTGTTTTAATTTCTCTTATCAAGTTTTAAGACTTGTGTGGATAAGCAATCATGTTTTAGGTCATATTTATATAGAAGTGTTCAAAAGGATTCACAACTCTTTAAATACCACTATCCCTAAAAAAGCATCTACTCCAGGTGCATTGGCTACTGAAAACAAAAGATTGAATGTATTGCAGGATCCTTATATATTTTTTTCCACAGACCCCCGGATTGCTTCTTATCCACTTATGGATTCTCCTTGGCCTATGACGGGTATCTTACTGGGTTATGCCTATTTTGTATTATCACTGGGGCCACGGCTCATGGCCAACAGGAAACCTCTGAACCTTAAGAAGTTCATGATACTTTATAATTCTTTTTTGATGGCACTATCAGTTTACATTGTTTATGAGGTAAGCTTCTCCCTGTATTAAATTTTATCTGTAGCTCTTAGATATACCATTGTTGCTTACACTGATTCTCCAACATCAGTTTCAAGGTCTCTTTATACCTTTGCGTATCTAAAACACTATGAGTTCAGAAAAGAGATATGAAACCTTTATCTTTCTAAAAGTTTTGCAAAAATGCAGCCCCGTATTTTTGTTTTGAAATATATAGCATACATTTAAATTGTCTATAATAATTATATTAAAAAAACACAATTTATGACTAAAAAGCACACTAGCTCACTATTGCACGTTCAAATTATATGCTTTAGCAATAAGTTGGAAAGATATTTATTCTTTCTTACTTAGACACAACCTCACAACATATGAAAGAGACAGATGCAACATTTTCACATGTAGGACCTATAAGCAAAAAGAAATAGAAAAATTTATACTTGCCCTCACTACTTTTCTGTAATATGTAAAAGTTACCCTAAGACATATAAATCAGTGAAGATTAGGTACAAGATTCAGTTCAACAGAACATTTCAGACTCTTCAAATTTATTAAAAATGTTTTCTCAAAATGAGAGTTTGTTTTATATTTGAAATAGTAGGTATTAAAATTTGATGTAATACAGAGGGCTTGTTTCCATGAATTTTGATTTTTTGTACTAGGAATGGTACAAATGACATTGTAAAAGTAAATGATTATTAGTAGGCAATCTTACAAGCTCATTTTATAAGTTAGACAGCAGAATTTTTACTAATAGGCCACTATCATACAAGGTCACATATTTTTACCAGCTGTTATGCTGAATGACTTCTCTGAATCCTTTTTATGTTTTACTGTGAATGCACATTTTTCCTAAGTAGAATAACATGTAGGATTTGTCTTGATATGGAAGAATACAATGTTATTTCTGATATTTCATTTTCTTTTTTCAAAATTATATCAGTTAGTGTTATTCAGTGAGATATATATAGTACGTGACAATTATATCTTAAAAACTATTTTGGTGTTAATGCAGAATAAGTGTAATGCTTGCATTGTAGCAGTGTAATATGTAAAAACATTGCTTCACTAAAAATATTTGAAGTAAAATTTCTCAAATAAAAAGACGTGCATATTAGTTATTAAATGCAAAAATCATTGATACTTTTTTGAAATTTTTGTAATGTTTGGTCTTACCCTGCTCACCATATGAGACCTAGAAAAGAAAGCTGTTATGAACTTGATGTTATTGAAATATAGTTTTAATGAAGAAGAGGTCTGGGAATGATGATTTCTAATAGCTTTTTTTTGTAGTTTTTAATGTCAGGCTGGCTAAATGGTTATACATGGAGATGTGACCCTGTTGATACATCCCAGGATCCTAAGGCTCTTCGGGTAAGCTTGTTTTTCATTTTACTGTCTTGTCCTTCCTTCATTCTCATCCATTCATTCTCCCTGTACTCTTATGTTTCTCTTATATGTTATGTTTCTTTTCTTTAGTTTTTAATACAGCCTTTGGTGAAGGTGTTCTAAGAAGAGTGTTGAGAAGGGAGAGAAAAGTGGACAGAAAGATGGGATTTTAATTTTGTGATGGCTAGGATATTTAACTTTTTACCTTGTCTCTAGATGGTCCGTGTGGCATGGATCTTCATTTTCTCCAAAATCATCGAGCTGATGGATACAGTAAGTGACTCTGAACTTCTGACAATTGATCCTATTTTTCTAGTTAAAGCATGGGTGTTTTTCACCCAGTATCTTTCCATAGTGGCCACTCAAGTCTACTTATTCTTCCAACATTTATATTCTCATAAAATTATAGTCAATCTTCTCATGCTTTGCTGCATTTATGCAGCAGGATTTTCTGGGTGGGTCAGGCTGTATGCTTTCTGATAAATACAGTTATATTTAAAAGATTCTCTAGCAGTAATTTGATGGCCATATTTTGAGGAGTGCATTGTGGATTTTTTTCTCTAATTTAGATTTGGTATAGATGGATCAGGTATAGATAGACGTATAAATACGCTACTAGCCAAAACCTGAAACCTACATCTCACAATGTATTGTTGTTTCCAGGTAATCTTTATCCTAAGAAAAAAGAATGAACAAGTGACCTTTCTGCATGTTTTCCACCATTCAGTGCTACCCTGGAGCTGGTGGTGGGGTGTGAAATTTGGTCCAGGTGAGATTTTAAAGGAGGATTTACTCCAGAACTTGATTCCAAGATTTGAAAAAATTGTATCTATAATTATTTTCAGATATGTCTCATGAATACATGCAGTATATGTGTGTTCTCGTTATAGGTATATGTACTTGAACATATAGTTTATCTATCCACACCATCGGAAATTGGTTTTATTTATTTATATACTGTGTTTCCCTGGAAATAAGACCCTGTCTTATATTTTTTTGAACCCTGAAATAAGTGCTTGACCTTATTTTTGGGGAGGTCTTATTATTTTGGGGCGCGTGGAGCAAGATGGGGCTCCTCTTGCCATCTTACCTGATTTCTAGCTCTGCATTTAAATATTTTTGGGGAGGGCTTATTTTCAGGGGGATGCTTATTTTAGCACATTGCTTAAAAGCCCGATTCGGCTTATTATCAGGGAATGTCTTATTTTCGGGAAAACAGGGTATTCATTCTGTTTATTCTGGCTGTCTCAATGGCATATCTATAAACAAGGTCTCTATGAGTCAGTCCAATATATTTAACCAACTGCTTTAATTTTCAGAATTTGCATGCTCCGTTGGCTTCGTTTCAAGTGTTGTGAATGTATTTTGGTCGATATTTAGTTTTATCTTTTCAGAAATAAAACACTTACCGTATTTTTCGGAGTATAAGACGCACCTTTCCCCCCCAAAAAAGAGGGTGAAAATCTGGGTGCGTCTTATACTCCGAATGTAGCCCCGCCCAGCTTCTCAAACGGAGGTTTCAGACGCTGAAAAAAGCATCAGAAGCTTTAGAAAAGAAGCCCCCAAACAGAGCTTCAGAAAAGAAGCTCCCAAACAGAGCTTTAGAGGCTTTTTTTCTGAAGCTCTGTTTTGGAGGCTTTCAGAGGCAGGAAAAAAAGCAAAAAAAAAAAGCAAGGCACAGAGCTCACAACCCTGTTGCTAAAATTCACCTCTGGGAACAGCTGACGGGGGGGCGGGTATTCTGGGAGGCTGATCCACTTGCCAATCAGCTTTTTTCTTATTTTCCTCCCCAAAAACTAAGGTGCGTCTTATACTCTGGTGTCTTATACTCCAAAAAATACGGTAAATGTCCTAAGCTAGGTTACACTTACATGTAACACTAATAACAGGCAAAAATGTTTGACTGTATGTGCTGAATACAAATTACTGACATTTTTTCCCCTCATACCATTTTGATCATGATCCCAGGTGCCCCAAATGAATTTTATTTGTTTTTCTAGTATTTATATAGACCAGGGTTGTCAAACTCAAGGCCTGCGGGCAGCATCTGTGCGCTGTTTAGATCTGGCCCACAGGGCCGGTCTGGAAATAGCAAAGGACTGGTCCGTGGTGTCTCTGCTAGCAAAAGTGGGTTGTGGAAGGGGCGCGTGCAATCCCACCCCCTTCCACCCCTGCAACCACTTTTGACCTTCAGAGTTTTCCAGGAGGCCTTCCAGGCCCAAAACGGGACCTCCAGAATGCTCCAGGAGACTGTTCTGGCCCAAAACGGGGCCTCTGGATTGCTGCAGGAGACCGTTCTGGCCCAAAACGGGGCCTCTGAAGTGCTGCAGGAGGCTGTCTAGGCCCAAAGCAGGGCCTCCAGAGTGCTCCAGGAGGCCTTTCAGGTGCAAAATGGGGCCTCCAGAGTGCTCCAGGAGGCCATCCTTGACTCAGGTTATGAAAGGGAGGAAAAGTAAAATATTTTACCTTTCAGGCTTGCAGGATTCTGCTATTATAGCCTATAATTTATAGTTCTAGTTTCCTACGGAATCAGTTTCTTCATCTGGTCTCTCATAAGGTGATCAAGTAGATCAAGTAAGTATTAAAAAAAAATTACAGAAATGTATGCCTCCCTATTTTTATAAGTTTATAAACCATGTCTAAGGAGGTGCAGTCCTGTGTCACCATGGCCACACCCACGCCCACAACCCCACCTGGCCCTCCGAGGTCAAACCCAATCCTGATGTGGCCCTCAATGAAATTGAGTTTGACACCCCTGATATAGACTGTAAGGTTTAGTTATGTCATTCATCCTCACCATCTGCCTTTCTCCTTTTCTCTGTTATTCTACAGGAGGAATGGGCTCCTTTCATGCTTTGGTGAACTGTATGGTACATGTTGTGATGTACTTCTATTATGCACTCTCAGCTGCAGGACCTGCTTTCCAAAAGTACCTCTGGTGGAAGAAGCATATCACTGCCATTCAACTGGTAAGTAACAAAGGGAAAAGGACAGGCAAATTATGCCAGCATTTTTTATTCAGTTATACAAACCATCTTTGGTCACTTTGTCTGATTATGTTTCTTTTGAATAGCTTATTTATTTATTTGTTTGTTTGTTTGTTTTATTCAATTTGTATACCGCCCTTCTCCTAGTAGACTCAGGGCGGTGCACAGCCAGAACTAAAACACATACCAATACAAAATTTAAAATTATTAAAAGAATTACATAGCTTTGGCCCAAATTTAAAACAATTCAAATTAAAACCCATTGACAATTTAAAAAGCTAAAAAACTAAAAAGACTAAAAAGAAGGGGGGGGAGGGTTTCACGCCAGCCCTGCTTGATGGAAAAGAAAAATTTTCAGGGCACGGCGAAAGACCCGGAGATCGGATATCCTCCGTATCTCCGGGGGCAAATTGTTCCAGAGGGCAGGAGCTGCCACAGAGAAGGCCCTCCCCCTGGGGGTCGCCAGCCGACATTGCCTGGCTGACGGCACCCTGAGGAGTCCCTCTCTGTGGGAGCGTACTGGTTGGTGGGAGGCTATTGGCGGCAGAAGGCGGTCCCGCAAATACCCAGGTCCTATGCCATGGAGCGCTTTAAAGGTGGTGACCAACACCTTGAAGCGCACCTGGAAGACCACTGGAAGCCAATGCAGCTCACGCAGGAGAGGTGTCACATGGGAGTGCCCCCTCGCTCCCATAATCCCCCGCGCGGCTGCATTCTGCACCAGTTGGAGCCTCCGGGTGCTCCTCAAGGGGAGCCCCATATAGAGAGCATTGCAGTAGTCCAGGCGGAAGTGACGAGTGCCTGAGTGACTATGCGTAAGGAGTCCCGATCCAGAAAGGGACGCAACTGGCGAATCAGGCGAACGTGATAAAAATTACAGAAACTTGATAACCTCATTTGATATTTGTTGCCTATGTTGAGCTTTCCCTTTTATTCCAAGGATTACTCATTGTTGCCTGTGAGTAGAATGAGCTCTACCTGTCACCTTTACTTATTTCATCTGTGCCTTGTTTCTGTTTCTAGCTGCAGTTTGTGCTTGTCTCCATCCACATCTCCCAGTACTACTTCATGCCTGACTGCAAATATCAGTTCCCAATCTTCATCCACCTCATCTGGATTTATGGAGTTATCTTCTTCATTCTCTTCTCCAACTTCTGGTACCAGTCATATACCAAAGGCAAGCGTCTGCCCAAGTTCATGACACAACCTCAGCAAAATGGCTTCCATGAGAATGGTGCCATTGCTAATGGCAAAGTCAAAGCCAACTAGGTTCAACTAGCCCCATATCTGGGCTTCTTAACCAGATCAAGTGCCTACAGACTGTTATCTTGCAGTTCCAAACCACCTTCCCAACTGCCCTGTTTCCCTCATTGCCTCGCTTTCATCTTTCCCCAAGGGAGACAGGCTGCCTGGGCTGTCGGTGCTGAATCCAGCCCAAGGCCTCCAAAGTGCCTATGTCTGCCCTGGGCTGGGCTCCCTTCAGAGCTGGACCAAAGCAGAACCCTGACAGATGGGACACACTTATCCACTTAATTCTATGTACACAATGTGATCTAGGTGGGGATTTTCGTTACTTTGCTCTGCCTAAGTTTGTGTTGTCATTTATTAATTGTTTATTTACCATTGGTGTTCAGCCATTCCTACTCCTTTCCTACTTGAATGTAAGTAGTCCCTTTTTGCTGGGGGTGGGAAATAATTCCTCCTGGAGATAACTTTTCCTGCCCTGTTGCAGATGGGGTACTACTAGGCAAGTCTTATTGCCTTGGCTGTATTCCTCTCTTGGCATTGCTCCGCAGCTTTGGCTGCTTTGATCCCAGGACCTTAGCAATAACTCTGGACTTCAATCTCCATATGGCTTGATGACTGCAAGCTCTTATTGCACTGAGGCCCAGGGAGAAGAAATAGGACCCTATTGTCCAGCTTGTATGCCATTGCTCTGTGTGCCTTTTAAAACATTATTGGATCTGCCCCAAAAAACAGAGGCTCCCTATAATCTAAATTTTGGGGAGGACTTCACAAGAGGAGGTATATCCCTCCTAATTTTCCATTTGTATTCACAGAAATAAATGGATAGAAAGAGAATAGTCATTCTGTTCTTGATTTCAAGGCCTTGATCATTGTTTGGTTGGGCCTGATATGCGAAAAGAACAACTTTACTGTAAGTAGTATGTTAATATTGATTTTCAGTTCCAATGACTACTGCTTCTTGCAGTGAATTGGTGTCTTAGTTGAAGTTGGTTTACTAGATGAGAGGAGCTGAAAAACTGAGATCAAAGTCCTCTGAAGCATTGTAATAGAGCGGTGGCTATGTTCTGGCTCATCCACAGTGCATTGTGTCAGGCATCAGATTATTTCTGCTCAAGAACACGGGAATTGACATTCACATTTTACTAGTTTTCTGGGTCTACAGAATACCTTCGCTCAAAGTTCAATACAGCATTTAAGTCCTTGGCTCCTGCTTGTCCTGTCTGCTGTTCCAGGCAGGACAGTGTTAATTTCTTTCTCTCCTTATATGGACACTCCTTCAGGCCAGATGCTTTCCTCTTTTCACTGGCTTAGGTTCTTGGTGAAGCTCCAGCTACTGGGCATTATCCTCCTGGGCTTGAAAAGACCTGTAGTCCTTGGTGCTATTGCCTATGGTCTGGTTGAGTGTGATGAGTGGAAAAGCTACAGATACGGTGTGTGGGGCGTATAATATAATTCTGCAATAGAATAAATTGGAAAAGTAATCTTAGTAGCAGATCTTAGATCTGTATTGCATCCTAAATTCAGAGTGCCAAAATATGAAAGCAAGGATATATTGGCAAATATAAAAAGCTAAGGCACTAAGAATACCTTTTATGTTGTTAGAATAAACTTGTATTGGTCTCTCTACCTCAGTGCTAGGGGTAGACTAACCCAGAATCTAGATTATGTGCCATAAACAATGCTGTATATACTATTGGAGAGATTTGTATAACCCAGAATATTTTGATACATTCACTGGCCATTCTGATATAAGGCAATCTTGTTTAAAAGCCTTTAAGTTAAGTTCACTGTTAGGTTGAAATAGGTTTTGTAACACTACTTACCTTTCCACCACTGATTATCCTGCTGTGTACTGTTTCCCCACCTGTGTCTGAGAAACCCTAAAACAATGCTAATGGCAACCTTTAAAACTGATACAATGTTTGACTGAGAAGCTTTTACAATGTAGAGGATACTTAGGGGTACAATTTGGAAAAAAGTAAAAGATACTTGTTTGTTGTCCTATATGTGTGCCTGCTCTCAACATTTTTTGCTGTACTTGGATCAATATTCAATGATAATCATGCAAGGGTGATGAAAAATCAATATGTGACACTGTTCCCAAATTAGGCAGTATAGCTTACCCATTCTAAAATGCTTTTTTTGGTAAACCTGAAGTAAATTTCTGTCCTATGAATCATTCGTTCGCATGAAATCTAATGAACAGGCATTTACGGAGTGTTATTATTTTCAGCGTTTTTTACAAGTACTGATTTTAGTACTTGTCTGTCAAATAACATTCATGTTGCCCTAGTGTCTTTCTGATGTGCATTTTTGAATAGCCATGTGCCTTCTAAATAGGATGTACAGTTAACTGCTCTAAATTTTGAATGTGATTATCTGCAGTTTTCTGAATGAGTAGGTATCAGAATTGTTTGCTTAGACTAGATAATAAGGCTTCAATATAGTCTCCATTAGATTGCTACAGGACTGGTATTGTACATTCAGGTAGTCCTTAACTTACAAGTGCGATGGGGATTGATTTACAGTCATAAGTTGTCATGGTTGTAGGTGGAGGCACCCTGTGACTGGACCCAATTTTACATTTTTGTGGTCATTAAGTAAATCACTGTCATTATGCAAATAGTTAGGCGAACAGTGTGGTCATGTGAACCTGTTCCTCTGAATGAGTGTTTTTGCAGGAAAAATTAGCAAACTGATCACATGACTGTGGGATATTGCAGTTAAATCGTAAAGTTGAGCCAGTTGCCAAGTGCCCAAATTATGGTCATGTGACTGTAAGGCTGTATATGGCATATTTTATTATGGACAGACATGCTTAACAGGCTGTAAAGAACCCATTCCAGGCCCATTGTATTTTCAAATGATCCTAAGTCAAGGACTACCTGTATGAAATCCAAAAGAGGACTCTATCACATATGGGAAGAGAAGTGTTTACACCTCCTTGGGCACAAGCAGCTTCACTTAGTTACAACTATGGATAGATTTCATAAGATAACTGTAATAGGCTACACTTCAAAATAAGCCTGAAATATTAATGCTTTATTTGCCCGACTGATGAATTGAAGGACCAACTCCTGAATATTAAAATGTATTTTATTCATGTAATATGAATTATCTTACTGCATCGTTTTATTTATTAAATTTGTACATTGCCCAGTTCCCAACCAATTGTCAAAATAGTTACACTATAGAATTTATCTGCTAAAGTGGCAATTGTCTAATAACTTCTACTGTCATTTTGATTACTTAGAACAGATCATTTTCATCATTTTTTCTGTAACAGCCAAGAATCATGGAAAAGCTCCAGTGCTTGGCAAAGATGAGCTGAGGCTAATATTGGTCTTGATTAGGCTTGGCTTTTGACAATTTCCACTCAATCAGAAGGCAGTAAAATCATTTGTAGTACTGTTCAGGTTACAGTTGATTTGATTGAAGCTAAAAAAATCATAGAAGTGCTAGATTCACTCACCAGCATTTGGGATATTAGAATGCCTTGAGTTTAAAAGAAGTGCAAGAAATAACAAAGGAGCGGAGGGATTAACTCAGGATAAACTATTCCATAACTGCTGAGGCTGATTTCAAAGAAAATAGTTTTGGAAGAGCAGTCTTAAATATCAGCACACATAGTTCAGTAAAAACACTGGGCTCAGCTAAGCAATTTTGCAATATCTATCCGTTTGGTAAGGCAATAATAGTTGGCAAGCAAAATTCTTAGTTATGTATTTCCCAATAAAACCGTTGGTCCATAACAGGATGTTGCATCATCTTGAGGTAGACAAACTGTCAATCATCCTACATAGTATGCGGGTTTTGCATTGGTGCATGAGGGCACCAGCTTCAATTACAACTTGAAAACATATGGTACTTCAAATCCCAAACTAATATTTCAGGTTAACTCTCAATTCTGAAACCTACAGTAATCTGTCCCACAATTCAAGAGGGATGGAGGAGGGAAGCTAAATTGTTCCTCGAAAGTCAAGAAAAGACCAAACCTAAGATAATTTGCCTAGTAATAAAGCTGCCAGAGAGATTTAGAAAAGGAACATTATCAGTTGCATCAGGAGGAGAGTCTGGTCTTTTATTTTTCTTCAATAGTTTATTTTTATTACAATGGTATACAAGCCAAGTCCTAGCAAACAGCCAATATCAATTAAAGTCATTCACACCATTTGTGATTCATATATCAATCCATATACCAACACTTTCTAAAGGAGAGCGAAATATTTATTAATAGTTTAAAATTCTGTACATAAAGCAATAGATTGGAAGGGAGTTGGATGAAACTCAGCGAATTCCTTGATGGATAATGCTGGTTTTAGTACTGCTCTCTTTCTCCTTCTTACGTGCTGGGTCCAACTCAAAGCAGCGCCAAAGCCTCAGTGTTTCATCTGCTGCTGCTGAAGCAACTGTGGTTCCATCTGGGCTCATAGTTAAGCTTAGCACCCTAGCAGTGTGACCTAAGGAAAGATATTTTACAAATGACTGTAAACGACAGTTGGTAATCTATTCGAGTTGGCATAGGCATTTTTCTTTGTGGAATAGAGCACCATAACCTGTAGATTAAATTAATCCAACCCAGGAAAAGCAATCATTTTGGCCACTGGCACATTTGTATTTAGGAGCAAAACAAAAATCTCACACATTTACAAAAGAGCTGCTCCACTGAGCACAGCCAAATTTAAAACATCAATTTACCAGGCAAGAAAATAGCCCTTAGCATGCAGTCTATCCCTGTGGAAAGTTTGTTGGGCTCAAAGACAATTTTGTAAGTTTTGTGCTGATGTCAGTGTCCTGTAATTACATAAAAAACTTTAAAAACATGGGATGTCGTTGGGTGTCAGGAGGAATTGTTGGTACACATTGATGTTCGTGGGATTCTTAGTACCTTTGTTGATGTAATTGCAGTATTTATGCAATGGGTCTTACCTTTCAGCTCAGTGACCTTTGACATAGATGGGTATTTCCACACTACCAGTTGGTTTTGAGCAAACCCGTGACCAGACACAAGTTCTTTATAGTTTGTAGACCATAGTACTGCACAGACCTATTAACACGAGAAAGTGTCCCAATAAGTAAAATATTGACTGGATATAACCTTATGTGGAAAAAAATGCAGCATGTTAAATTTAAAGTGTTGAAATAATCCTTACTATTCTTCAAAGTGTATTAAGCAAACCTACCTGGGACTGTGCATCTACTGTGTTGAGGCAACTCCCAGAGCACACATTCCAGATCCTTATGTGGCGATCACTTGTTCCACCTCCTGTAGCCAGCACATTGGATTGCCATGGACTCCAAGCTACAGCCTGAGGGGGAAAGTGTACTGTTGTCACCATTCTCTGATTAGAAATACTGTGTTTGCAAACTATAGATAGTCCTCATTTTTGCAGAGGCAACTGGGCCATTAAGCAAAGAGATTGCTAAGTGAAATTACAATTGTGCTTATGGTCTTACTTCAGTTTTCCTTTGTTTTACAGACCTGTGAAGGTCATAAAGTTACTTTTTCATTACAGTCATAACTACAAATGGTTGATAAATGAGGCAATTGCTAAACAAGGACTACCTATCATTTAAGAAGCTTTATTAAAATGCTATCATTTTAATTTGTCTTGATTATTTTACAAACTATTGTCACTCTTATGCTGTCGGAACTTAAAAGTTGGTACCATTTTGGACTTTAAAAATCACATCTACAATCAAGATTTCTTTACTGTATTGCAAATTCCAGTTTCCAAGAGAACCCAAACTGCCATAGTTTGGATTCAGACCGTACTGCAAGCTATAGAACTTGGTTAAAGAGCTACCCAAATGACCATTAATTGAACTTTATACCATATAATTTTGTGCCAAGATGTATGTCTACTCTCTAAATACAAATATGTACTCACCTTAACAGCTCCCTGATGTTGTGTAAAAGTTTGCACAGGACGTGGTGACCAGTTGTCCCCTTGAGCAACAGACCATATGTTTACAAGATTGTCATTGCCTCCACTGGCCAAGTAACGGCCATCAGGTGCCCATTTTAGCCCACATACTTCTTGTGTATGACCAGCAAGTGTTGCCACATGGTGTTCTGCCACACGAACATCATGATGATGTATGTGACCAGTCCGTGATCCACTGCAAGGGAAATTTAGAAAATTAGCATATTCTCCTATATCAAATGTACTATGAAAAATTATAAGCCACATGGCCTCTTCCCCATCAGTGCCCATGAGATATACCGATATTGGTTAGAAATTATTACCTGGACAGGATGTAGCTATTCCAACTTAAAGAACTCACACGGGATGAATGACTGACCATATTTCGTAGCCGCTTTTTCTGCTGGATGTCCCATAACTAAATCAATATAAACAGAGTCCAAATACCCAATCTTACTAATTTTTATTGTCTCATGGAATACAGCCCAAATGAGAAAATGCACAGGGCTGTCCCACTTGTTGTGAACGTATTTCATCTCAGATATGTAGAAATGAGAAATCAATCAAATCATGGCCCTAAGGACTATCAAAGGAAGCAGTTTATAGTTTTCCAATCCAAGTGTAACAAGCCCACGTTGGTTTAAAAATCAAATATCTCAGAGGTTTCCCTTTAAAAGAAATTTAACTTGCTTTAATATTTAAATATTTTTTTATTCTTCTCTGTCCCATTACCAGAATATTAGGTCATTAAATACAGCCTCAGTTGCCTCACCTGGACCTCGGCATTACTTGTGCCAATTGCAAGGTAATTTCCTTCTCTGATCCATGAAACAGAAGAGATGTAGTCATCAGGGTTTTCCATTTGCATGAGCTGGATTATTTCTCTGGAATCATAATTCCATAGATACACTGATTTATCCAGAGCCACAGCCAAAAAGTTGAGGGAGCTCCAATCAACTAAGTTCAGATCTAAATGAGAACAATACACATTAGTTTGGAAACATAAAGCCAAGTCAAGTAAAGATACAATCCCTTCCTGCCTCTCCATGGTAGCCATATCTAATACAACTTTAGTTCAGCATTCAATACCATCATTTCAGACATTCTTCTACCTAAATTAAACCAGCTAGTGGTACCTGAACACACTTGTAAGTGGATCATAAGCTTCCTAACACACAGGAAGCAGCAAGTGAAGCTAAGAATCACATTGGATACCTGTACAGTTAGCACAGCCCCACCCCACTCCTCAGGATGTGTGCTCTCCACTTTTCTCTACATACCAATGACTGCATCTCAAACGATCCATCTGTTAAACTTGCAAAACACATTCGAGACGATGAATCTGCATACAGACGGGAGGGTTGAACAACTAGCCTTGTGATGCAACCAGAACCAGAATTTGGAACTGAACATACACAAAACCGTAGAAATGGTGGTAGACTTTAGGAGAAACCTTCCCATACTACCACCTCCTACATTACTAGACAACGCAATATCAACAGTAGAGACCTTCAAATTTCTAGGTTCTATCATATCTCAAGACCTAAAATGGACACCTAACATCAAAAACGTCATCAAAAAAGCACAACAAATGTTCTTTCTGCGCCAACTCAGGAAGCTCAAACTGTCCAAGGAGCTGCTGATCCAGTTCTACAGAGGAATTATTGAGTCTGTCATCTGTACCTCTATAAATGTCTGGTTCTGCAACCCAACAAGACAGACACAGACTTCAGAGGATAATTAGAACTGCAGAAAAAACAATTACAACCAACCTGCCTTCCATTGAGGACCTGTATACTGCACGAGTCAAAAAGAGGGCTGTGAAAATATTTACAGACCCCTCGCATCCTGGACATAAATTGTTTCAACTCCTACCCTCAAAATGACGCTATAGAGCACTGCACATCAGAACAAAAAGAACAGTTTTTCCCCAAATGCCATCACTCTGCTAAACAAATAATTCCCTCAACACTGTCAAACTATTCACTAAGTCTACATTACTATTACTGTGTTTCCCCGAAAATAAGACCCTGTCTTATATTTTTTTGAACCCTGAAATAAGTGCTTGGCCTTATTGCCATGTGCTCAAAAGCCCGATTGGGCTTATTATCAGGGATGTCTTATTTTGGGGGAAACAGGGTACTATTAATCTTCTCATCATTCCTATCACCCATCTCCTCCCACTTATGACTGCATGTAACTTGGTTGCTTGTATCCTTACGATTTATATTGTTTCCTAGTATGATTTGATTGCTTATTTGTACTCTATGACTATCATTAAGTGTTGTACCTTATGATTCTTAACGAATGTATCTTTTCTTTTTATGTATACAGAGAGCATATGCACCAAAGACAAATTCTTTGTGTGTCCAATCACACTTGGCCAATAAAGAATTCTAATCTAATCTAATCTACAATATGGGGGCATAAAGAAGCTGTAATATGGCAGAAGAGATAGGTATCCTCTGCACTTTGGAACAAAGTCTCACTAAAATTAAATTTCAAACCCATGGCTACTTACAGTAATCATTTCGAATGTCTGGGGCATCTAGAATCCGCTCCGACACAGAGGCTATGTATCTGTTTAACTTCCTTGTGGAGCCTGGTGTGCTCTTCTGACTGTAGAGCACTTTGAGATTGTTCTGGTATCCTGGAAAAGAGGTAACATAATTATCAGCATAAATCAAGAAAAAACTCAATGTTCCTATAATTCCAAGCTAACAGGGTCAATGAAAATTTTGGGAAATGGGAGTCTCCATTTAGAGGACACTAGCTGGATTTCATTCAATATTTCAGACATCAATCTTAACATATCCAACAGATAATATGTTAGACAATAATGTAAGAGATGCTATAGAGTTCATTTTCTAGGGCAGTGAAGGATTGCATTATGAGAAAGTCAAGTTTTGTTCTTTTTTTTTAAACAAGCTGAACATAAACTAATTCAAATTAGCATCACTGCTGTTATTCAGGAAATGCAAAAAAAGCAGTTTTTTCCAGTGTGGTTCTAAATAGCCGCTTGAAACAATAAAAAAAACAACAAGTTTGTAAAAAAGGTCTAGTTGTCAGCTTGCTAATTAAACATCCCTAGACTAATTCCCATTAAAACAAAACAGCAGAACAATGGAATCAATTTGAATGAACTGGATTATGGACCACTGCTGCAATACCAGTTTAGAAGCCAGCTATTATTGATAGAAGCTTTTATCCACAAGAGGTGCATCTGGAAACCCATCATGCACTTCATTTTTCAATTTACTTTTGTGTTGAATAAGCCCAATGTAGACTTACCTTCAGGGGCATTTTGAGGTTTCCCACTTAGTCGCAGGATTTTTGCCTCTTCTACATCAAAACCATTAAGATTCATTGCCCAGGCTTTCTGATGCTCCTTGGAAGGGGAGAAAACACTAAGAAATCAATAATACTGTACTTGATCACAGAATTCAGTAAGTACAAGCTTGTGTGACCATCACTGTACCAGACATTTAAACTCTTTACCTTCTTGGTGGGTGTCTCCTCAGAGGATTCCTCTTTGGTTAAGAGAAAATTGGCCACGTCCATTTGCATAACACTACGATTAGGGATGTATCTATCACCTCCAGTTTTGTTTGGAGTATTTTGTGATTTGGAACCAGATTTGCCTGCAAAACAGAAATTTCATTAATCTGTATCCCCTCAGATAATTACTAGCCTGAAAGCAAGATTCTTTTATTGCTTTCCTCACGGTGTCATTAAGATAAACATGTTAATGTTTATCTCCAGCACTGGAAAACAAATTGGACAATAGAAGAGAACAAAGAATTGGCACAATGTCTGACTTCATCACATACAGTGAGGTTTATCCACTTACTGGTTATAACACACATCTTACCTGGTGTTTTGGAAGGAGTCTTGCTGGTACTATGAGGCCTGTTAGCTGGTTTCATAGGCGAAGGAGCTATGGCATCTGAGGCCGCTCCAGTGCTGGGAGCAGCACCATCCTTAGCCTTACGCTGCCATCGTGCAGGAGGTACATTTGGTATTGGGGCATCAAGTTTCAACAACCCGTGCAAATCACTCTCAAACAGAAATTGTGCCATAGGGATGCAGTGCTGTGAAATCAGAAACAGGGAAGAATAAGTAAGTTGATCTCGGATAAGGAGAGTAAAACAAGATCATCAGAAAAATGACTCATCTGCATCCACAGGATGGCTATAGGTTCACAAACCTTATTCCAGAATAACAAACCAGATAAGATTCAGGTGACTAATGTGGCCCTTACAAGCACAAGTGGCAAGAAAAGGTCACCTTCCTTTTAATATTTTGCTTTTCCCCTCCCGCAAAATAGCTCAACAGAGTGAAGCTGTCTTTGGACTTAACGGTTTAATTTCTGGAGATTTAATCAGCAAACGTATCGCAATAAGACGAAATGGTGATTTTTTTCCCCCTCTTACTGCGATACGTTTGCTGATTCAAAGCAGCACGCTTTCTTCCTCCTACAATTTCCGGGTCTGTTTCTGGCACTGGGGGCCCGGGGGTGGTGGTGGCGGGGGGAACATCTCATGCACCGCGGCAGAATACATTGCAAGAAATATTGGGCAGAAAAGCTAAAGGACGTGGGGGGGAAATCGAGAACCAGAAGAAAAACAAAAGTGCTTTTAGGATCCTAAAAAAATTCGGGTCGGCGGAACCTCTTACTTACCAATGCTCTGACTCCAACTTTCCCGGCTCCTTCCGCCATTCAGGATTTAAACTTCCCACTTTGATCAACTATTGGCCCATTTCGAACTTAACGTCCGTCTGATGACTTACGGCTTGCCCGCCTTCCTTTTACTTTCATTGGCTCTTCCATGTAAATGGGTGTGGCTTTGCGACCCAAAGTTTCCCTGGATGGTTAGTTGTCTTGGATGGTTCCTTTTATGATTTACATTGTCGTAACGGGGGAAGTGGCGTGCGGAATGTTCGGCACGGGGTGGGGAGGGGAGGGGAGCGTTTCCATGGCGCTTGACGCTGTCATTAAAATATTCAACGTTCTAAATCTAAAACAAACAGCTTCGGCTCGATGCTGAGGGAGAGGCAGGTCAAACGGAAGCCTCAAGAAATTACATTGGGGTCGCTTTTTATTTGATTGCTGAGTTTACATTGGTGTAACTGTAAACTTTTCTGATAAGCATTCTAGTGGTAAAATCGAAGAAAAGGTTATATGACCAGAAAAGAATGTTCTTAAAGATAATTGCAAGATTTATGGAAACAGACTTGTTTTCATGAGACGTTATACCAGAGATCTTCAAACTTGGCAGCTTTAAGACTTGTGGACTTCAAATCCCAGAATTCTCCAGCCAGCATAGCTCATAAAATGAGCCTCGCTATGGATAGTGGAACTCATCTGCGCTCAAATTGTGGGTCTCCAGACTTAATCTGGTTGTAATCTACATTCTTTTTCAGTTTTCCAAGGAACGAAATAATGCCCTAAAATAGAGACCTATAATAGATTTTTAATTCAGAAAGTCAGTTTGTTCAACTGTTCTTTTTTTTTTTGGTGACCAATAGCATCAGCATCTGCACCTTCTATTTGCAGGAAGGACCAAAATAGGTAGTACCTACAGGAAAGAAGCTGCTTAGCAAATACAGTTTTGAACTCGGCTATTTGAAAAATGGATCCTGAAAAAAAGTCCTCTGAGGCAGATGCCCTGCAGCCCTTCAGATGTTGCTGAATTATTTCCAGGGTGTTTTTGCTAGCAGGGTTGATAGAGATGCTGAAAGTTGTAGTTCACCAACTACAGATGAACAAGGCTTATTATTTGCTATATGTTACTTTTTAAAGCCTTATTCTGAATTCTCTTACAAAAATGCTCCATGTTCTGCCTTTTGTGCTTTGATTAGTATATTTGATGCTTTCCTTAATCTTGGATGCATTTTTCAAAATTCATTTTCAAAGATTTCAATATAGTCTGGGAGTTCTGGACTCATGACTCCTGCTCAAAGAGCAGGTGGCAGTCTTGACCAGGAGACCCTTTGTACAAATGCAGGTTGTGTGCCAATTATGCCCTTTCCTGGACCAACAATCCCTGCTCATAGTCACCCGTGCCCTAGTCGTCTCCCTCCCATCTTGACTATTGAAACACCCTTGAAAAATATCCAGAAGCTTCAATTGGTTCAAAATGTGATAGCATGCATGGCTTGGTGCAGACCTAGATGTGCATATGTGTCATCATCTGTGAGAGCTTCATTGGCTGCTGATTTGCTTTGGGGTCCAATTCAAGATGCTGGTTGTCACTTCAAAGCCCTACATGGCTTAGGACCAGGTTATTTGAAGGACCATCTTTTCCCAATCAAATCTACCTGATCCACCAGAGCATGGAAGCAGGGAATGCTATGGTCCCCTCTCCTAAAAAGGTCCATCTAGTGGGGCCAAGAAGGGCCTTCTCCATGGTGGCTCCCTCCCTGTGGAACATCATCCCCACAGAAATAATTGGTTCTCTTTTTGACACTCTTTCATAAGACATGGCTTTGCCAATGGGCCTGGGAAACCCAGATGGGATAGAGCCCATGAAATGGCTTATTTGATTGTTTTTCCCGGGAATGAGGGGTTATTGTGTTCGATTACCTTTGATTGGTTTTATATTGGTTTTTTACCTTTATATTCTTAATAAATACATTTCTGGGACAACTCCACTGGAGAAATATGGTTTATTTGTTATTACACCAGATATAATTGCCATTGTTCTAACAGAATATATTTTTATACAAGGAAAATGGGAAGTAATTGCAGTATGCAGTCTCAGATCCCAGTTTCTTTTCTTTCCTCACTTCAACCTCTCCTCCAAGCGACCAGAGAGTACATTTATATTCAATATAACATCTTCAACTTGGCATTGGAATTGGCATCTCCAATTCTCTAGCTGACATTTTATTATAAAAGCGATATAAAAGTGACACCTTCAAATAGCTGCCATTTGTATTTTTCCCTGTCAAAACAGTTTTGCTTTCTTCACATATGTGGCAGGTGGCTGTATTCATCCCATTGGCTACAACACTGATTCAGCTGTCCCATTTGCTTCATTCAAAAACACCCTTTGCTTTGGTCCTTTCTGTGGACTTTCTAACAGCAGTAGAGCTTATGTAAGGCCCTCTGAGGCTTTATGTTAGTTTGACCCAAAGCACTTCTGAGGAGCCCAGGAATCTGTGCCATTAATTGCTGTATTATACATATCATGCACTTAATTTGCTTGCTACAAGGAAGCATCAGAACAGAAGTACCTCTTGTCCTGGCTAGAGTAAGCCAGGACAGAATTTACTTATCCTTTACTCCATGTATGATTCCATTAAATATTGGGTCATCATTTTCCACTTTTAAAGCAAAATGGATTTTAAAAGGTTGGTGAAACCTCTCTGGAGATGGTAAGAAGTGCTTTTATGACACTACAAACTAGTAAATCAGTGCTGTGTGAATACCTACATTTGATCTTCATGAAAAAAAAAGTTCATTTAACTACCATGAATTACAGCAATTGCATTATTCAAATAACATTACATTTGTTTACAAGCAACCATGGCAATGCAAATAGTAACAGCGAATCCTAATCTGTACAAGTCAGTAGTAATGTGTGCCATATTTAAAATCAGTGAAATATATCTGATATTACAGTGACCTAACATAGAGTGGTGTCTCACAAATTGTATTTTTGTGCTCAGCATGGTACATTTTCTATTTAGCTCTATTTCTGCTTATGCTAAGCAGTTGTATTACTACAATCCTTTCATCATTTCCATAAAACATACTTTGCATATTTCTTCAAAATGGAAAAAGTATTTAAATCTTGCTTTTTTTTTAGCTGACATACAAATCAGCTGCGTAAGAATCACTTTGCTTTTGGAGATCTGTGGTTACAAGATGCAATGCTGATATGTCTTGGGATAAAGTTCCATATTCAACTCTACCTCACAATCTAATGCCTGGGTTGGTAATTTGAGGCCACAGATCCTCAAATCCTTTTGCAGCAACCAAAGTACCCTTTGGCCATCAGTACCAGAATTTGGCAGTATGATTGCCTGCCATTCTGAAATGAGAAACACAGATACATTGTAGTGTAATTTTTTTTCCCTTTCAAACCAAAATGAGTCCTGTGTAAGTACAGTTCTAGTCACTTTCCACCATTACCTCATTCCATTCCATCATTCCAAAAATTCAAGGTAGCTTTAGGCCATGAAAAATTGCCCAATCTGCTCTAGTACAATCAGCTGCTAATTTCAGTTGGTCCATAAGAAACAGATTTGAAGATACTGGCTAAACAGCTGCCTTATAATTGAAAATTGTATTGTATTACAAACTTCCACAGAGCCTAATAACGTCTCATAGTGCTATCCTCCAATGATAGACCCAATCAGCCCATTAGCAAATATGTCTGGTTTGAAATGTCAGTGACAGATGTGGTTTGGTCATCAGAAATTTCCTGCCTTCTTTCTTCTTTAATCTCTGATGGTATGTTCAACAAGGTAAAGGGAGTTATTTGGGTCATTGGCTCTGATGTTACATGTAGATCATGTTCCAAGGACTGTGGGAAAGCATTTCCATTATCATTTGTGTCATCAAAGTATTCATTTTCATGGTGGCTGCTTTGCGGATTGTTAGAACTCAGTACCATGTAGTGCTGGTGGTAAGAAGGCTGGCTGCCCCATTCTGTCTGTTCCGCTGAACTCGTATCTAGCAAAGGGTCAAAGCTGGGTGTTTCCAGGGGTTTCTCAGATAGTACTTCCAACAAGCAAGTCAACGGCACATCCTCCAACATTTTGTTGCAAAATAAAGCGTTTACCTAAAAGTTCAGAAAGAAACAATCAGAAATTCAGAAGGGCCTCTGAATTATTCCCTCCCTCCCTGACATTCACTTTATGGGAATCTGCATAAATAATAATGTAAAAGACAATAAAAGAGCACTGTGTGTACTCCATTAGGAAGAGATAAAAACCACGAAAAGTTCCACCCAGGATTTAGCATGTACTATACTCAGAATAAGGAAGACTTCGAGGCACAAGCTAACTTTACCTCATTTTATTTCTATAAAATGTAAAATATTTCTGTAATACTGTTTCTATCATTACAGTTCAGAAATGGGATGGAACTGAAAAAGTCTGCATCTTGGAAAAGTCAGGTGAGAAATGGTATTTGTTCATATTATTCCCGAAATTTGGAAAATATGCCCACCAGTGGTGGGTTTCAAACATTTTTACTACTGGTTCTGTGGGCGTGGCTTGGTGGGCATGGCATGGCATGGCATGGCTTGGTGGGTATGGCTTGGTGGGCATGGCAGGGGAAAGATACTGTAAAATCTCCATTTCCTCCCCAATCCAGGGGAAGATTACTGCAAAATCCCCATTTCCTCCCGATCAGCTGGGACTTGGGAGGCAGAGAATAGATGGGGGCAGAGCCAGTCAAAGATGGTATTTACCGGTTCTCCGAACTACTAAAAATTTCCGCTACCGGTTCTTCGGAACTGGTCAGAACCTGCTGAAACCCATCTCTGATGCCCACCTCATGCAAGATTCTCACAAAAAAAGTATATCGGAAGGAGTTAAAAAAACAGGAATGTTCTTCTTTCCTAGTCAAAAGACAGCCTAATTCTGCTTCTACTGACTTGCTGCATTAGAAGTAATATAATAAAAAGAAAGTCTCACCTGCTGCTGCTGCTGTTTGTCATTATCCTTAAAGAATCCATCTAGGACATGATGTAGGTCTGGAATGCGTGGCCAAAGCTTTTGTTTCACACTACTATTAACAAAGAAACACAGATGGTCACAAAAAGATAACAACACCTATGCCAAACTATGTTTTTCGTTCAATGGCCAGAACTCAAGTTACCTGTAGTTGGAGAGGCAGGTGAAGCCCAGTCCCAGCACAAGTCCTGCACACAGCAAGAGTACAATGGCCACGATCATAATCACTGAATCTGAAGTAGAAGCATGTGGTGGTGAATTTGTGGCTCTTCTTTCCCTGAGGCTCAGCAGTCTTTGTTTCATTTGTCAAGTGTTTTCTCTCCATATCTAGCGACCTCTCTCCAGTACACACCACTGATGTTGCTTACCTGCACCAGGTGGGACTTCAACACACACTAATTCTGACCAGGTGCTCCAGTCCCCACGGAACCTTTGGCCATCTGGCTGGGTACGCAGCTGAAGGCAGTAGCGATCCTGGGTGGCCAGATGAATTTCACTGGTGTTTGAGTACTGCACCTGTAGAATCTACCCAGAAAATGGTCCCATCATGTATACAGGTAATCCTCGATTTACAACAGTTCATTTAGTGACCATTTGAAGTTACAATAGTGGCTTATGGCTATTTTTCACACTTATGACCATTGCAGCATCTCAATGGTCACGTGATTTACATTCAGATGCATGACAACAGACTCATATTTATGATGGTTGCAGTGTTCAGGAGTCATTTTGCGACCTTCTGACAAGCAAAATCAATCAGGGAACCCAGATTCATTTAACAACCGTGTTAGTAATTTAACAACTGCAGTGATTCACTTGACAAATGTGGCAAGAAAAGTTGTAAAATGGGACAAATTTACTTAACAATTTTTTTACTTAACAACACATTTTGGGCTCAATTGTAGTCATAGGTTGAGGACTACCTGTACTCTACTAATTAGGTTCCTGGGTTTTATACCCCCAAACTACAGAACAGGTTGTCCTCTACCTACAGCCATCGGTTTAGCAATGGAAGTTACAATGAAAAGAGTGACATGTGACTAGTCCTCACGCTTACAATAATTGTAGCAGCCTCATGGTCATGTGACCAAATTCAGGTTCTTAGCAACTGGCATGTATTTCTAATGGTTGCACCATCTCAGGGTCATGGGACCTTCCCAGTCAATGGAAAAACCAGATTTGCTTCACAACCACCTGAATTTACAACTGAGTAACTTGCTTAACAACTGTAGCAAACAGGTCATGAAATCAGGTGCAATTCAGTTAACTATTGCCTTGCTTACTATTGAAAATTATGGTCCCAATTGTGCAATAACTTGAGAATCATTTGTACAGCAGTACCTAGCTATTATTCTACTGACTAGGTCATGGTTTTTCCTCTGTATGAGACACTCCCCATACTGTACTTCATTTACTATAGCATAAATTGTAGTAGTGTTGTCCCTTAGGTTATGGCATGTTTGAAAAAGGGGAGTAGTTTTTTTTTATTCCTAAGCTTTTTAAAACCCCTTTTGTTAAGCTGTTATAGGTACATTTCTGGTTGCCTTAGTTGTGTCTTGAGCCAAATACAAAAGTATGGCATGCATTCATCTCATTCTCTAGTAAAAATTCCATTTAGACATTATTGCTTGTGCCAGAAATTCAATCAGTTTTTCTATGCATTCTAAAGACTAGTAGATCAGCTTGTTTGGAGAGATTTAGTGTTCCATTTCTGGAAATTGTCTTATTTATTTCTGCAAGTATTGTTTAGAACCTAGCAAAATGTATCTATTGTCATGGCTATTTGACCAAAGTACCTAGTTCAAAATTGGCAACATGCTAGTATTTCACCTATATACAGTATTTCATAGGATTTTTAAAATGTAATAGAGGAATGGCTTTAAAACAACTGAAAAACCTTTGAGAGAGTGGATTGAGACCCCACCTCTTTTTATATGTGTTGTGCAAATAGAACACATAAAAAAGAGACAAGGTTTCAATCACAGAATTGCAGCCTTAATTGTGATTTTTTGGAACATCTCCCCCAGTGCCCCAAAATTTACTGTTTTCAATTTTCTTTTCATATCAACCTTCCATTGCAAATTTGCCTCGTAGCAAAAAAACCCTGTCAAAACCTTTCTGCAGTTCATTAGATAATTGCATAGAAATACCGGTACTGAAAAAAATGTGGATATGAGGGTGTGACAGTAATTTCCTTTATTTATGAAATGGGAGCAAGGCAGGGGTGAAATCTAAAATTTGTTACTACCAGTTCTGCGGGCGTGGCTTGGGGGGGTTGTAATGTGGGCGTGGCCAATTTTTTTTTCTTTTAAAACCATTTTTTCTTCGGCTAAGAGGTTGTAAAAAATGCTTTCAAAAGGCTCTGACGATCCAAGCTGAATTCCCTGATTGGCAGGGGCTTTTTTAAAAAGCCTCTGCAGATCAGGGAACTCAGCTTGGATCGTCAGACCATTTAAAAGAAAAAAAGGGTATTTTTTCTTTTAAATGTTCTGACGATCTGCCAATCAACTCAGCTGGGATCGTCAGAGCATTTAAAAGAAAAAAATCCTTTTTTTCTTTTAAATGGCTTTGACGAGCCACGCAATCATCAGAGGCTTTTTTTTTTTTTACTTTTAAAAGCATTTTTTCAGCCGAAGTTGTAGAAAAAATGCTTTTAAAAGTAAAAAAAAGCCTCTGATGATTGTGTGGCTCAACTGGGCATGGGTGGGGGGGTGGGGGCGGGGATTTTTGCTACCGGTTCTCTGAACCAGCCGCTTCCATCGCTACCGGATCGGGTAATCCAGTCCGAACCAGGAGCATTTCACCCCTGATCTACTGTATGAAGAATGCTCTTATATCCCCACTCTCCTTTTACTCTTTGTAACCTTTTTTTTGTGATATAAGAAGGATATTATAGAGATTCCAGAATAGGGCACAACATTCCAGATGATTCTTGCAGAGTAAAATAAATTTAGGGTAGCAATTTCTTATAGCTTGGAAGCCAGAGTTCTAAATTTGCATTACAGAAGCATTTATTTGTAACTACAGTATCTGGCACTGCTAATTGGACATCACAAAACTATCTGCTGGGGAAAAAATACCTTCCATTTCAAGGTGTCCTGCACCGTATACCGTATCTGATATACCATGTGCTCAGCTAATTCTTCTAGTGGGGAGGCCCACTCCAGTCTTAGTATATTTCTGTCTATTGAAGCCTCCAGGATTCTTGGGGGAGCCGTGTGCACTATAACAGAAGAAAGGGAGAGAGGTGGCTAGTTAGGTCAGCTTAGCTTCATGGGGAAGCAGAGGTCCACTGCAATATTAATAGTATTGCATATTTTCTAATATTGATGTTCTTTTGATGCTAGACCAGCCCAGGACAGCTCACTCTTTTGAGCTGAAAGTCCTGATGGCGCTGAAAGGCCAAGAGATGCTGAAAATTCTTACCCACATGGTACAGTTTGAATGGCTCTTCAAAGTAGCTGACCTCTTGCTCACTCTGGCTGATAGTCACCAGGATAGAAAGGTACTGAGTGTTGCTAGGCTGGAAGGTGCATGTGCAGGATGCAGGGTCTTCCTTCTTACATTTGTGCCAGATTTGCCCTCTGCAAATTAAAATGGACGATAGTGATAGGATGTTGAGTTGTCTGCTAGAACTATCTGAAGTTGTCTTAAACAGTTCTTAAATTATCAACCACACTTACACTTTCCTTGACAGTTAGTACTCCCAAGTTCTGTTTAGGCTTTCCCTCCAATTTAGGCGATTCCCACTAACCATATTGGAATGAATATGATTAGTGAGATTCGTTAAGTTGTAAAAAAAATCTAAAATGTGCTACCATCACTCCATCTCTTCATCATTCCTGTTGTGTTATCATCCCCTTCTATTGATTGCCATAGGCCAGTGTTTCTCAACCTTGGTAGCTTGAAGATGGGTGGACTTCAACTCCCAGAATCCCCCAGCCAGCGCTGCTGGCTGGGGGAATTCTGGGAGTTGAAGTCCACCCATCTTCAAGCTACCAAGGTTGAGAAACACTGCCATAGGCCATTTGAAATATAGGCCCTCTGAAGAAGATGCATTACCAGGGCCGAGATATAGAAATGAGAGATGAAAAAGAAGCAGGACTGATGTGATATCATTTTTAACTGCTGTGTTAGGACTGGAGAAACAGGTTCAAGTTGCCATTCAACTTGAATGAAATTCGCCCAGTAAGCCTTAGTCAGCTTCATCGTCTCAGCCTAACCTATTTCCCAGGGTTGCTGCTGTTAAATAGGTAACTTGGTAGTACAGTGGTTTAATGCACCCTGTTATTAACACAGCTGCCTGCAATTTCTGCAGGTTCGAATCTTACCAGGCTCAAGGTTGACTCAGCCTTCCATCCTTTCTAAGGTAGGTTAAATGAGGACCCAGTTTGTGGGGGCAATAAGCTGACTTTGTATAAATATACAAAAAGTATGAAGGCTATTGCTTAATGCATTGTAAGCCGCCCTGAGTCTCTGGAGAAGGGCGGCATATAAATCAAATTAAAAAAAAAAAACTTAGGAGAACTATCTATCCCACCAAAACAATTTGAAAGCAGGGTGGGATATGCATTAATTAAATGTTTGTAACCTTGCTTGGTAACCTAAGCTATCAAATATGATTCAGAGCAATGCCTACAAGTGTTGCCTAATTTTGGGTAATGGTTAAAGCATCAGGCTAGAACCTAGGAGTTTGTGAGTTCTAGTTCCAACTTAGGCACGAAGCCAGCTTGATGACCTTGGGTCAGTCACTTTCTCGTAGCCTTAGAAAAGAGGCAATGGCAAATCACTTCTGAAAAACATTGTCATGAAAATTGTAGGGACTTGTCTGAGCAATGCCCAAGAATCAGAAACAACTGAATGGAAGAAAAAGAAATGCTTGTATATGTATGTGAAAACTACTTGGAATGGTACCTGGAACAGGAGCAAAAACACAAATTATGGGACAGAACAGGAAAGAGAAGACTCGGTACTGTTCATTTGTCCATCTAATCACCTTGTGCTGCTGCTGTTGCTTTCCATCCAGTACAAGAGGCTGTGAAAAGGGCCAGATCTCAGGAGCTTCTTGTTCCACTGGCAGTGCAATTGATACAAATCTGGAGTGAAGCAGTGCAGACCAATTGCCTCTGTCCAGAAAAGAGAACAGACGTAGAACAATTTGACAGCAGCTTTTTTCAGTACTATTTTGTGTCCCCACATGCTAAATCTATGTTCTTTGTTTTATATACAGTACATGACCTTTGCAGAGAGTGGCCAATCCACAGAAATATCTTCTAAAAACTCTATGCCACTAAACTACACTCCCCAAATCTCTCGCTATTGGTCATAGCAGGTGAGGCTGCTTGGGAATGTGGCTCAGAACATCCGCAGAGCTCTGGCTATCTATCCTAAGGAGGTCCTTCATGCTTTTCAGAACATTTCTTGCATGCTCTAACTCAGGGGTGTCAAACTCGCAGCCCGCACCCCGGATGCATCATGCTGGTTGCGTCTCTGCCTGGTTTAGCATAGGGGGAAAAAGTCCCGATACGTCACGTGATGATGCTGTGACGACATGAGTTTGACACCCCTGCTAACTCCTTCCCCTTAGAAACGTTTCATGAATTTATTATTTATTATAAAATGTGAAAAAAAACTTCATTAACAAGAAAAATTATTATATTTAGATTGGGTTTTGTTTTTTTTTGCTGTACCTTAGAAGCAAAACTCTTTCTGGAAAGGAAAGGACCAACCTGAATTTGTAGAAAGTTGGGGCACATCCAGATGGAAGATTCCTCCCACCCACCCCATATGTGTGTGTGTGTGTGTGTGTGTGTGTGTGTGTGTGTGTGAATAAAGGAGTAAGAAGATACAGAAGAAAGACTCAAGATACAACAGGCTCTTGGCAGACTTGAAAACCAAGCCCTATCTAACAAAATGAAATTCGGTGGTGAGAAAAATAAGGTTTTACATTTAGGCAAGAAACCAAAAGTATAGTATAGCATAGTATGGGTCAATAGTAGTAATTACAAGAGGGATCTTGGAGTCCTGGTAGACAATCATTTAAATATGAGCCAGCAGTGTGCTGCAGCTGCCAAAGAAACCCAACACAGTTCTAGGCTGCATAAACACAGGGATAGAATCAAGATCATGTGAAATGTTAAGATCACTTTATAATGCCTTGCTTGGTAAGACCACACTTGGAATATTGAATCCAGCTTTAGTCACCATGATGTAAAAAAGATGTTGAGATGTTGAGAATGCAGTGAACAACAACAAAGATGATTATGGGACTGGAGACTAAAATATGTGAAGAATGGTTGAAGCAATTGGATATGTATAGTCCAATGACAAGAAGAAGTAATGGGGTAACATGATAGCAGTGTTCCAATATCAAAGGGGCTGCCGCAAAGAAGAGGGTCAACCTAGTCGCCAAAGAACCTGAAGGCAAAAGAAGAAGCAATGGATGGAAACTAATCAAGGACCGAAGCAACCTAGGACAAATTTTGTGACACTTAGAACCATTAATCAGTAGAATGACTTGCCTCCAGACATTGTAAGTGCTCCAACACTGGAAGTTTTTAAGACAACCATTTGTCTGAAATGGTATAGGGTTTCCTGCTTGAGCAGGGGTTGGACTAGAAGACCTTCAAGGTCTCTTCCAACTCTATTATTCTGAAGGGATAGATTTTTAAAGTGAAAGATAATAAGGGATTTCCCATAAAATTCCATAAATGAGGCATGACAAATTTAGAAGAATATTCAGACAAGGAAAAATACAATATACTTAACAGGGGCAGGAGAAGGGAATTAGATCAAAGGACCAACTGCTGCCTTTGGAGCCAGATTCAGCCTAAACCAGAGCCAGTTGTCTGTCCCATCACCACGTTTGGGGAAACATAAAATTTGCTGTATTTTGCCTACATTATCTACCTTCCCAGGAAAAAAAAGCTGGAGAGACAAAATGACTGGAAAAAATTATTTCCACAATCGGGTGGCATAAAATGTATTACACACTGATGAGCTGTAATATCTAAACTATGCCAACTGTTGTCTGCTTGCTCTGGACAATAGAAAAGGGAGTCGTAATGTTAAAAAGTCTACTAAGTCTTCTCCTGGCACAAGGACTCCTGTGACACTAGTTACATCTTTGAGAAGACAGGCAATAATTCTGAACAAGTGCCTTTTGATTCAGTTAATGTGATTGTGTATTGCTAGAATCATTGTAAGGAAATCGACTGAATTAATATCTAATTGGGTCACGTGTGTTATGCTAGCAGAACTGTTAGAAAGTAAACATCCAAATTGAGCAGGGAAGCAAATTTTGAACAGGAACACATGCAAAATTAATGAAAAGAAGTTAGTCCTTATGCCCTGGTTGAGTTTGCCTTCCATATGCTCTCCAATAAAAGGGGGCACAATGGCTCGGTGGTTGAAGATGCTGAGCTTGGTCAGCTGGAAAGCTGACATCCCAGATTAAAGACACAAGTGTCATGTGACAGTGTGACCTCCCATTACTTTCCCTAACTGCCCATCTAACAATTCAGAAGCATGCAAATAGACAAATAGGTACCACTTTGGTGAGAAGGTTATGGCATTCTGTGCACCTAGGCATAGAGTCATGCTTGGCCACATGACCACAGCAATGTCTTTGGACAACACTGAGGGGCTAAGGAATGGAGATGAGCACTGCCCTCTAGAGTTGGACATGAGAGACCTTTACCTTGCTCTCTGATGCTTTTTAATCATTCCCATATACAATAGCCAAACAGACTCCAGAACTGGAAATAAATATTCATGCCTATCTCTCCCTTCTTCTTTCAGTCATGCTAGCTAAGCAAATGCAGATTTGAGTGCTCCCTTGTCGTGTCAGGATAATCAGCAGTTTCATGCAATGGTTCCATGAAGGAAATGCAACATTGCATTTCCAGCATTTCAAAGTCCTCAATACTGCATCTCCACAGAAGTTAGTGAATTATTTAATAACAATATAGAATGAGAGAGTAAAATGTATTTGCAATTCATTGTTTCATGGGGCGTGGTTTTTACATATGGGAAAATATCTACAGGCCAGAAAAATGTGCAAGTACTATAGCAGAAATACAGATTCCCAAGCCTTATATATCTACTGTCAGGCATAGACATGCCTCCTGAAGAGGAAAAATTGATTTTATAGGGAGTTATAGAATCTATGCTGGCAACAATTTCATTTTCTTTAATTTTTCATTTTGCAGTAGTAATGTTGATGCAATATAACTCTTGATACACCCAATTGTAGTACCTGGGGATCCTACTTCCACATAGAAATGGTGTATCCTTCCATGCTATTGCCCTAAAGTTGCACCACTGACAGCTGCCTCCTACAGGCCACTTACCAGGAAGGTGGGGTGTTTCTGCTGTCACTGCTGGAGACCAGGGTCCCCAGATGCCATCAAGAGAGAGGCCATCAGGTTTGGAGCGAACTTGGATGTGGTATTGCTGTCCTGGAAGTAGATTCTTGAGCTGGCACATATAGCTGTTTTTCACTTCAATCTACAATAAAATAAAATAAGAGTATAAATGTTTCTTCAGTTAGCAAAAAAGTAATAGAGCAAAAATATACTCCAGCCATTATAGCAAAGCCATTTTTTCCTATATTAACCATACCCTGAATGGTGACTGAATGGAATCCTCAACACCATAAAGAACTTCATAAATCAGGAAGTCTGTGTAGCTGATAGATGGAGGCATCCAATTTACAAGCAACTGTTGGGCAATCCCTGGCCACTCAACTGTTACATTTGTTGGCGGAGCAATGAGACCTTAAAACAACAACAACAAAGCAAAATAAAAATTAATGCTCTTGCTTATCTCTATTCCATTCATGTGATGATTGAATAGGAAAAGACAGCCTTTTTAGATTGAACAGAAGGCAGTCTGATCAATAGAGCTAGCATTCTAATTTGCTAGAGCAGAAATTGGGAATGTCTATCACAAATGCACCTGTGCCTCTCTTAGAATTGATAGCTGAACTTTCTTACAAGACTTATTAATTAATTTATTGTCTCAATATATATGGCCTCTCATCCCAGGTTCATTACTCTGGGTGTTCTATAAATGAAATAATAATTTCATTCGTTTTCTGAAAAAATCATAAAGGAAAGAACAACAACATACAAATGATCCCATTTCCAAAGCTGAAAAAACCTTCACCATGAATAAATCAACGCAATCATTGTTCCCAGGCTCATTGATCGGGATTCCGTGTGCACAGTCACTCATGCCCTCGTCACCTCTCGCCTGGACTACTGCAACGCTCTCTACATGGGGCTCCCCTTGAGGAGCACCTGGAGGCTCCAACTGGTCCAGAATGCGGCCGCGCGGGTAATTACGGGAGCTGCATGGCGCTCCCGCATAACACCACTGCGCGAGCTGCACTGGCTCCCAGTGGTCTTCCGGGTGCGCTTCAAGATGTTGGTTACCACCTTTAAAGCGCTCCATGGCATAGGACCTAGTTATCTCTGAGACCGCCTTCTGCCACCGACGACGTCCCATCAACCCGTGCGCTCCCACAGAGAGGGCCTCCTCGGGGTGCCATCAGCCAAACAATGCAGGCTGGTGACCCCCAGGGGGAGGGCCTTCTCTGTGGGGGCACCTACCCTCTGGAATCAGCTGCCCCCAGAGATAAGGAGAATCCAAGACCTCCGTGCCTTCCGCCGTTCCCTTAAAACTTTCCTTTTCCAACAAGCCGGGCTGGCCTAACAATGCCTTTTAAATGATTTTAAAGTTGTATGTTTCTTAAATTTTTGGCCAAATTGAGATATTTCCTTTTAATTTGTTCTTAATGTTTATATTATGTGTTTTTATCTGGCTGTACACCGCCCTGAGTTCCCAGGAAGAAGGGCGGTATATAAATTCGAAGTAAAATAAAAATAAAAATAAAAAATAAATAAATTGGCAGAAGAAATACCGTGAAGTGTACAACTGTACAATTGTAATCACATTCTACAGATGAAGCCCTTTTTTTTACCACCTTCCTCTTTGTTTCTGCCGTATCTTTACACAGTTACATTTTAGGATAAATGGCAACCTTTTCTTTATATTTCACCAGCAAGAGTTGTTAGGCTGTTGGGAATACTAGGAGCAGGGCCTTCTTGGTAGTGGCTCCTCATTTTTGGACCTCCTTTTCCCAAGGAGAAAAATAAAGCCTAGTTACTGCTTTTTTTTAAAAAAAGAAAAACACAAGTCATTTGTATTGTACTATAGTTGAATTGTTTTTAATAAAGGTAGGTTTTTTTTAAAAAAAATGTTTAATTCATTGGTGGGTAAATGCGGTCTTAGCCGCATGCGATCCTCCAACCTTTTTTTTCCTAACCTTTGCATTTTGTAGAAAACCCATCAGATCATATTGAAAAGACTCTGAACAGCAATATTTGATACGATTGTTTTCTACCTCTGTGCTACATTAGATGCAAAGCAGGTGTGGTGTGTTAAACTTTTGAAGGCCCATTGTGCCTGTTTTGAGTTTAACCATTTTCTCAGGTTCCATGCAAAAATTTTACCCTCTCTTCTGGGGACAGATTGCTGTGAAAAATGTTATCTTGTCTTCTGAGGACATCAGTAGGATCAGTCACACCTCTTGGAAACTGATAACTCTATGCCCTGAAAGATGGATTGAAATAAAAGCCTGCATATTGCTTATGGCATGAAAATAAATAAATAAATAAATAAATAAATAAATAAATAAATAAATAAATAAATAAATAAATAAATACTGTCTATTATTAACTTCAAACAAGAATCTGTCAGTGCCAAATTAGTCATAGTGGTAATTAAATCCATCAGTCTAGTGTCTTTGTGATTCGCAGATTCATTCCAGCAGTCATCAAAATTATAATATAGAAATCATGTTTGTACATGACTTGGCTAAAATTGTTGGGCCAAAGGAAGGTCATATTATGTGTTTTAGGATGCTGGACTCGTCAAAGCTTTACCCAGTCCTCTTTTCTCTGCTTCACATATAGTTTATACCCTGTTGGAAGAAACTTACCGACAGTGTTCACTCTGAGATACTGTGAGAATATGGTGTGATTACTAACACTATCCAACACTTCAACATTGAGTTCAATAAAGAGCTGAATGCCATAATTGTTTTCGGGAAATGTGCAGATGTGGCGCCAACTTCCATCTGTATTTTTCATAGAGATTAGAGCACATTCTTGGCTTTTGTCTCTGCAGGAGTAAAATAGAATAATTAGGATTGTGATACTTCCCCAGTGTGACTTAACCTAATCTTTTTCTGAAATGGCAACGGTGACTTTCAATCATCCGTGTTCCTAGTAAAAACATGTAGTAAAAACACACAGGTAAAGGTAAAAGTTTCTCTGTTCCAATTCTATGGGGCAGTGCTCATCTTCATTGCTTCATTGAGGGAGCCAATATTGTCCAAAAACACTTCTGTGGTCATGTGACCAACATGCCTATACATCAAGGTACATGGAATGCTGTTACTTTCCCACCGAAGTGGTACCTATTCATCTACTTGCATTTGCACACTTTGAATTGCTAGGGTGGACAGGAGCTGGAGCAGGTAATGGGAGCTCACTCTGTCATGTGGTACTTAGGTCTCGAACCCATATCACAAAAGCCAACATCTTTAACTACTAAGCCATCATGCTCACATATTTCCTAGACGCCAAAGTAAGTTGCTTAGAATTAGCATTTAAGTTTATAAGTACTTGGGCAAACCCTCCATCTCAGACAATTTGGCCAGTCTATGTGGAAAATAACTTCCTACCCTTCATAGGTATAGAAGAATCGATAGGTTCCTTTCACATGTGTTGGCTCATCCCAGAAACAGGTGAGATCCTCAAAGGTTCGAGAAAAGCAGAAGACATCTTGAGCTGTTTTGGCCAGTAGAATAGTTTCTATAAGGGGAGAGGTGTTTTTTTTTAAAAATAAAATAAAAAAATAAATTGAATTCCTGGTACTTTTTTAGATGAAAAGAACAACAGCTATAACCCCAAATTTATCAAGGATACTGTAGTAGTCAAGATTATGACATCCTTGACAAAATGTTTTTTAGGAGCATGCTGCTATTTTTAAAAAGATCAAGCACCTTAAAATAGGAGTTGTAGACTTTGGCTGTGCATTACACTAAGCCAATCTTTTAAAACATAGTTTGTTAAACATGCCCTAAGGCCTGATTTACACATAAGCACTAAAGTGAGTTCACAAATTCAGTTAAACATACGCAAGCAAAATATATCACAAGTTTGCAGGATTTATTGTTACATATAAAATTTTATTAAAACTTTAAATACAAAATAAAAATTAGCAAAGGCTAATATTTAGAAAAAAGGGAAGGAAAAAAGAACAAAAAGTGTGGAAATCAAATAAAAGAAAAAAAAAGCATTATAAAGAAGTGACTTTTGATTCTCTTTTATAGCACTTATAAATATAAATATAAAATAATGTTTCCCACAAAAAGTTAATAAGGTGTTTCCAATCATCATTAAATTTAGACAACGTTCTATCTGTTCATCCTAATGAAAGCAGTTAATTTAGCCATTTCAGAAGTTCCATCATCTTCATTATCCATTCCTCCATTGTCAGTAAAGTCTAATCTTTCCACCTTTGTGCATATAATAATATTGTTGCATCATATATAAAAACAGTTCCCTAATTTTTGAGTTTTAAAGTATTCTATATTATGGTATGTAACTGAGTCCAAAATTTTCTGGCTTTTTTATGTGTCTAAATTTATTTAGCAGGATTTGTGAACACAGTATTCATGCCTATTTCCACAGGGGAAGGTAATGAGTTACAGGAAGAGAAACATTACTCTTTCTGTTTCCCATTTTACGGAGTCCTTTTGCATTTATGTGAAAAGATGTGAAAACCCTTTTCCAACCTGATGCTGGCTGTGGAAAGTTGGCTGCAGTGAGTTGTCCCATTCTGGCTGTAGGTCTATGACAACTTGCCACAGCCAACTTGCTATGGCCAACTAACCATGGCCAACTCACTATGGCCAACTTGCTGCACCCAACTTGCTGTGACCAACTTGCCATGGGACAAGAGTTACATTACAAAGAAATGATAGAATAGAATCATTAAAGAAAGGATGCCAAAGGAGGGACAAAGTGAAATGTGAATGACAAAAATTAAAATTATTTTAAAATTATTTTAAATAATTAAATTGAATTGTTGAATTGTCCCCCAGCGAGTTGTCCCATGATGAGTTGGCCATGGAGAGTTGTTCCACAGTGAATTGGCTGTGATGAGTTGTCTGCGGTGAATTGGTCGTGGCGAGTTGACGTTGGCAAGTTGGGTGCAGTGAGTTGTCCCATTCTGGCTGTCAGTAGGACATGCAACATTAGGTATAATCGATCAACAGAGTAATGGATATAAGAGAATAGAGAGGCTGAGTACCTATTGTCCTCTCCAAGGTGGTTATTTAGGTGAACATTCTTTTTCCTATAACGATTTGTTTGCTTGTTTGTTTATTGTCTCTTAATAGTTGCTTTGAGCATAGAAAGAATTATTAATCCTTTGAACTTGCTTGTTGAAGAAGATTCCTTAGTATACCATGAACACTCAGAAACCAAACAAAGGAATCATCCATATAGAGTTCTGACATGAGGCTCAAATGACCAGGTTGAAATTATCCTACTTCAGACACGTTATACAATGATAGAAATGATTTAAAGATGTCTGGGAAAGATGGAAGAAAAGAGAAGAGGACAAACAGCAGCAAGTTGGACAGAATCAGTTTGCTTGTTTGTTTATTGTCAGGGATAATGGGTGTACTGTTGGATGACCTGAAGGCCCAGGTTAGGGACAGGTTGCCATATGTTGTTGCTAAGAGTCGATACTGACTTGATGGCACTAATAAAAAACAAATAAACAAAAAGCCACTTTGGGAATTTTTCAGACCAATTACTTCTTGCTTAATTTACAATCTTATGTAAAATTATGTACTTAAAGTCACTGAAAATCATTATTTTTTAGTGTTCCATTTTCCTTAGGAGCTGATTTGAATTCAGTCATACTAGTTTGTTCATAAAGACAATGAAAATAATTGGAAATTATAGGAATATTCTAACCTGATAAAGTCGATGCTGATCATTAGATTACTTTTCATGCATACAGTATTTGTGGGAAATGGAAAAGAAATGATTGAAATCAAAAGCTATAACTTTTATCAAGATTAGTCAGATAAAACTCTGAGTAATATATATAACTGAAAGCTTCAGAAACTTTTCTGATAACTGTTTTACTCATTTTAGAGTTTGTTTATATTGTTTTAAAGCAGGGATCTCCAAACTTGGCAACTTTAAGACTTGTGGACTTCAACTCTCAGAATTCCCCAGCCACAAGTCTTAAAGTTGCCAAGTTTGGAGATCCCTGTTTTAAAGGGGAAAAAAGAATGGTGGCATTCAGCAGTGTTGAAAATGTTAAGAGCATTTGGCAGCATCAGAACAGTATATTAATATTGTTGCATTTGTGATGTAGTGAAACGACATATATGTACTTGGCATCACTTTCTTTCTCTGGTTGTAAATCTGTGCTTTGTATGATTTTAATTTCTATTGACCACTTGTCCAGTTATAAACCTAAATGTCATTGGTCTTATGGTATACTTGCTCTCTTTTTCAGGTAGAAATCTGAATTAAATAAATAATTATGATTATGAACTTAGAGAACATGAAATAAAGGAGCTGCTTATTAGACCCTCGTGGTCTGTAGTAAGGGCCTTTGTTCATAAACAAAACATTCTAAAATAACCATGTGGTTTTGCGATAAGCGTTTGTTGAGGGCTTGGGGATGAAAGCTTCCTGCATTAGGGAGATAGAGCTCTCAAGGAAGTGGGGAAGAAACAAGAGGATCCATTACATATTACATGCAAATGTAGACAAAAAACCCCATACAATTTTGAAAATAGAAAAACAGTCTTAGAAAGCAGAGAAAACAGATTCCTTTCTCATTAGCAGAGCTGCCTGGAGTCATTTTGCTGCCTGAACTGAAAGACAAAATCATCTCTTTCCTCCGCCTCACATTTCAGCTACTGATTGAGAGTATGAACTTAGATTCATGTTGATGATGAGACAGTGTTTTATTCTTCTAGTGTCTATTATATATCTGAGAACAGGTGAGTAATTTAGGAAGACCAGGGCAAAAGAGAAAGGGCGGGAGCAGCAAGGAATCTGGTACAATTCCAGCATCTTTTGCCAAAGGCAGATTGGTGGGGCTACATAAACAATAAGGAATATATTTGTTGCCATCCAACATATGATGGAAATACAGCATTTCAAAGTAGGATTAAAAATATAGCTGTTTAACTGATAAACTAAAGCATTTAGAGCAGGGGTGTCAAATTCATGGCCCAGGGGCCGGATCCAGCCTGCGGGGTACTTAGATCTGTCCCGCAGGGCTGCCCTGGAAACAGTGAAGGACCAGCCCACGGTGCCTCTGCCAGCAAAAATGAAGCTTGAGAGGGTTGTGAGTGCTTGGCCCACCACAAGCGTCCCTGACATGAGTGACATCGAGCTGGCCACGCCCACCCTGGCCACGCCCACCCTGGCCATGCCCACCTGGCCCTCTGAGGTCAAACACAATCCTGATGTGACCCTCAATGAAATTGAGTTTGACACCCCTGATTTAGAGCATTCTAGTATAGGGATCCCTCTCAATTACAAGTTTGCAACTTCTGATTTATGCAGAAAACCAGAAAGGAATCATCAAGGCACCTAATAGCAAAAATAGAGTGAAAAAGCTTATTTTCACTCTAAGCTTTAATGTAGTTCATTACATATATAACCACAAGCCACACATACCAAATTGTACTCAGGCTCTTTTACAAAATCTGTACAGTATCTAATTTGCAGAGTCAATATCTATGTGAATCTTTCTTTTGTTAGCATTTTTATAGAAGCAACGCAGATTTTTAAAAAATAAGGACTGGATTTAAAGAAAAAGAAACACATGTATTTACTTGTTTCAGAGTAAACAGTGCTGTAGCCTAAAGAATCCTTGCTTTTGATTACAATATGAAATAATCAGGATTATGATGGGGAAAATTTGTTTACTTGCCATTAGTACATTATGTTTCATATTCCAGACACTACTCTAAAACACTTTAGCCAATTGGCTTTAATAGAAATATCAGCCATTAGCTCCAAGTTGCATTGTCCTATCCCATATCTTTATCTTAATAAACAGACAGTATATTTACCTTCATTTGCGAAATAGATTTTCCTTTGAACTAAAGAAAGAGAGCCTTGTGGCATAAGTAAGGAAGGGCCTCTGGAATTGATTTCTCTTGCTCAGTGTTCAACTCCTGTTATCTCTGAATTGCTTTCTCTAAACACAGGCCACAGCTGGACAAATACGTCACTTCACATAAATGCAGAAGGGAACAATTCAAAAGCCTAAAAATGCTGCCTCGAAACACATTCAGACATAACCTTTTTGCACTTACAGTATTCATTTGTTTCCTCTCTGGGCAGCTGCTTTGTTACCCTTTCCTTCCAGCATCACTTCTTTTGCAAGTTATCCCTAACTCTCAGAGTGGAACAAGGACATGTTGATGATGTTGTAAAATTGGAAAGAGAGCTAAATTATATAAAATGATGGAGTTTTGTTTTCAGTTCTCCCACATTGCTGAAAGGATATAGAGACCCCTCTTTCCCAGATACAGATATGTTTGAAAAGTGAGTGTGCCTAAGTTCAGTTTACAATTAATAGACTGTTTATCCAGAAAAATTCTCTCAAATGGATTTCCTAATTTCAGAGTTATGTCCAGAAATTAGCAATGTCAAATAAACTGAGTGAGATGTTTCCAGAAATTTTCATCCCCCTTTCCAGGCACTACAGTCCAATAGTTATTCACCCACCTGGGCTATATTCACATTTCGATTTGCAGAATCCCAGAAAAGCAGCAAAAATCATGATCTTCTCATAAACAAAGGGAAGTATAACAAATGTTTATCCTTACCTTCATCTGTAACAAGGACAAAATGGAGCATACGTAAAATGGTGAGCAGGAGCATAACAAGGAAAGGAAGTGGTGTCATTGAGCACAAACTGACTGCCATTCTAAAGGTGATCAACCATCACCGGTTTAGGTATCTAAACTGTGGCTGAGTATGATCACATAACCTGATTATGTGGTTATGGACATCTGAATGCACAGGAGGTCTGGACGCTTGCTGAGCATGGTGGGAGCAGTAACTGTTCAATCTGATGTTCCAGTTAAGAAGGCTGAACTCCAAAACTCTGAGTCTCTGTTGTTGGACCTCTGTAGCGGAAACTTATCTGTAGAGTGTCAGCCCAGCTGTGTAGAGGAAACTTTGGTAAAAGACTTCTATAGTTCCAGTCTTTTGCCACTTCCCCAGCCCCAAACCACCATGCCATGGTCTGCAAGAGGGGAAACCCTGCCTAGAGGCTGTTGCTATCAGATAGGGTGAATGTCCTGCCCTTGTGGTGGTGCCTTGGAGGATAGGTCCTTGTACAGGAAATAAACATCCTCTGATCCCACATGGGATAGTATGAGGGGCAGGCAAGTGTTGGTGATGGTCTTGAAATAGAAATAATCCATATAGACCATCAACCCTCATTAGTGAAAAGGGACACTCTTTCCCCACTATCTAATACACTGTTAAGAATATTTAAGGATGGGGAGCAATGTGATAGAATCATATGAATAAGCAAGAGCCAGATTTCTGGAGAACCAAGAAAAGTAGTTGGCTGGCATTGACCACCATTTTCAGGAACATCTGAAGATGCTCCATCACTGGAGGTTTTCAAGAAAAGATTTATTTATTTTATTTTATTTATTTTATTAGGCTTATATGCCGCCCTATCTCCAACGGACTCAGGGCGGCTCACAACAATAAAACCACAATCCATAATGCACGTTAAAATGCCTAATTAAATCAGATACAATTAAAAACCCGTTAAAAACCCCATCAGTCCAGGCCAAAAGATTGGACAACCATTTGTCTGGGATGGAATAAGTACTCCTGTCTTGGGCAGAGGGTTGGACTAGAAGACCTCTAAAGTACCTTCCAGCCCTATGAGTCTATGAAGAGGAAACCCCAGTCCACTGGTGGGATTCAGCCAGTTTGCACCACTTCGGGAGAACCGGTTGTTAACTTTCTGAGCAGCTTGGTGAACTGATTGTTGGAAGAAATCATTAGGGCAGAGAACCGGTTGTTAAATTATTTGAATCCCACCACTGCCCCAGTCTATTCTCTATGTTACTCATTAACATATGACAGTGGTATTATTACTTTGTTTTTTATTGTTGCTTTCATATTTAAGTACTGATATAATCTGCTGTCATCATCATCATCACCATCTTCATTGCAGTAGAAAAGTGATGGGGGAATATCATCCCCCATAGTCCATATCCCATCACAACAGATACCCCAAAACCTTGAATGCAAAGACAACTTTTAGAGAACTTTTGGGGTTGGGAAGATAAAAGCCATTGACTACTGACTCTTTTTGGAACAGTTGCATCTTTTCCTGGGATTTTTTCTTCTCTAGGCAATTATATTGTATAAAATAATTCTTAATAATTGCTTTGCTAGCATGCCAAACAGTTATTAAATTTGTTCCTTTGCCCAGATTATTATTAAAGGATTCATTTAATTTCTTTTTACAGTGCTTTACAATTATTTCCTTTTGTAAAATAGTTTCATTTAATCTCCATCTATAACTCAGACTCTTTTTTCTAAAAGCAGATGAACTAGTTGGGATCAGAAAAAGATTTAGGTAAGATATTAACTTTTAGAATTTTATTTGCAAGATTTTTAGAAATCCATATCATGACAATCGTTGAAAAAGATTTATGTCATTCTGAAAAAAAAGTATATTTTCTAGCAGAGCCTCGATGAATCTGTCAGTGCTAAATTATCCATCTTTAAAAAAAATATTTGGTAGTTTATCGTGGGAGGATGTAATCCCTTTGGTATTTGTGCTATCAAAAACTGGGGAAATCATTCCATTTCAATCCCCTGAAATAAGATAATTTTCATATGAAAAGGGTAGTAACTGATCCATAAGATATTCAAAAAGTTTATTTTTATTATCATTTGGCACATAAAGTCCAGGTACTATTGATTTTATTCCATTAAATTCAATTTGGTACAAATCTACTATGTTCATCTGATAAAAGTAACTTACGTTTAAATTTGAGTTTTATATATAGAACAACTCCATTAATCTTTTTTATATCAGCAGATTCCTTCTCTAATCTTTTATTTATTAAATACTTCTTATCTTGTTCCTTAATATGAGTTTCTTGAAGACATGTTATATCAACATTAAATTTTCTTAATGGTCTTAATGAGGATTTCTTGAAACATCATGATATGTTTAAATCAGCCTATCGTGGCTGGGGAATTCTAGAAATCCACACATCTTACGGTTGCCAAGTTTGAAAAACCCTCGGTTAAATGTAACTCTGACATCCAAAATGATAATAGACTTTGGATCATTTCTAGGGAAAGGGAATTCACATAACAAACAATAGTGAGTAATTAGGTCATAACTATCTTGAATGATTTTATAATATGTATCTGTAGCTAGTGAGAAGAAACCACTTAAATGCCTCAGTTTTGACAGGGCATAATACCTGATTCTAAATGGGGCTGGTAATACAAAATAAACTTTGTAGACAGAGTCAAGGGGTGGGAAATAGTAGGTCAGTGCAAATAAATCAAATAATTCTCCATCAGCCTGTCCTGAAATAGCCCAAGGAAAGTTTATAATTAAGTTGGTAAAAAATAGTTTACCAACAGTGGTTCAGAAGGGTTGGGTGCTGTGACTCAGGGTTTCGTTGGGAGTGTGTCATTTATAATCCTTTGGAAGCATGACTTAATATTTGAAGTATAATTTGTCCAGAGTTTGAAACAAAATTTGTTAGGAAAAACTCATTTATGAAAAAGGTGTTTGAAATAATTTTTGTATGGAACAGAAGAAAAGTTTTGGTAAGGAAGAAGAGATCCACATAACAATGTCTGAAGCACAGTTCTGAATTCACAGCCGCTACTAGTTCTGAGGCAAACAAGATTAAGATTCAGGATGCAAAGTAGGAAGGGAGAACCAGCAAAGAAATGAACTTACATTTCTGCAAAAACATAACAGAGGGGAAAAACTGATTTACATGCATGCATTGATTTTTCCATTTTTTTCTTTTACTTTCCTATTTTGCATCTTAAACTATTTAAAAATATCCTAGGAAGAAAGCTAAAAGTAGGCCAACTCTCAATATTATGTCATAATAAAGGGGAGTGCTAAAGACATAGTTTAATCTGCACAATTGCCCCACCTGCTCTGTGGGATCTAAATGGACATCAATTTCATTTGCTAAATAGCTGTTCCATATCAGGTTTAACAGTTAATTGGTGTAGCCATAATGAAGTAAAAGGGAGTGTTCTGTATATCCTACTCTTTCCTGCTTCATCTTCTGTTCTGAGTACTTATAAATGTAATTGAAAAAGAGACACTGGGACAGTGTTTCTTAATGAGGAAGGTATGTAGACTTCAACTCCCAGGATTCCACTCCTACAAATTGCCAATGTTGAGAAACACAACACTTTTCAGTAAACATCGCACAATGGCAACTACACTTATTTATATATCATGGTAATGAATAGATAGGCTTTTACTGAAATAGGGATATGGAGATTTCTGGATTGTCACTACTACCTTCTGCCTTTATTATAAAATCATCTCTACTGACACACAATAAAATCTGATATGATAATGACTCAATAATACAAGAAACCTTTTCCACCACAAATCCAAATTAGTCTTCTCTGTCCTGGTATCCTAAGAAGATGCATTTGATTTCATTTCCTATTATTTGTATGCATTAATACTAACCAGTAGAGCCATTTTCGTATAATGGTTATAACTACCGGTTCGCAACGCACGCAATCCCGTTGCGAACCGATAGTAAAGATAAGTAGAACCCACCCATGATCTGAACCTTTGTCCAGCGCATATCATTTACCTCTTAATGGCTAAGACATTTTTGGAATGTCAGTATCAGGAATCCTGGAAGTTATAGGAATGTGTTGAGTAAGTTGCAGTCTTTAAGCTGAATATGATCCTGGCTCTTTTTCCCAGTCGCTTTGGCCATATCCCTCTTTAAAGAGTTAAAATATATGTTATAATAGCCATCTCCCAACCCTTCAGCTTTGGGGGGGGGGGGGAAGCTGAAAATATTATTCTTTTCTACTCTAATAATGTCATCCCTGTGGCTCATGGAACCTAAAAATAATAATAATGAAATAATTTTTTGAGATAAAAACCAATAATCATTTATTTATTATTCAAACTTCTATACCGCCCTTCTCCTTTCGGACTCAGGGCAGTGAACAGCCAAAATAAAAACATTTATACATAACATTACAGTTAAAAATAGATTTAAAATAATTAAACAAATTTGGCCCGTAATTTAAAACTTGTCAATTTAAAATCCGTATCAAATTTTAAAACCTACCATAAAATCAAGACAGACCGGCTAACTGAAAAAAGTAAGTTTTTAGGGCCCGACAAAAAGTCCGGAGGTCGGAGATCATTCGTAGATTGTTCCAAAGGGTAGGTGCCATCACAGAGAAGGCTCTCCTCCTGGGGGGTCGCCAGCCGGCATTGTCTGGCCGACGGCACCCTGAGGAGGCCCTCTCTGTGGGAGCGAACCAGCCGGTGGGAGGCTATTGGTGGCAGAAGGTGGTCCCGTAAGTACCCCGGCCCTAAGCTATGGGGTGATCACCAAATTTAATTCATGGCCCTCTAGCTCGAGTAACCTTTTATTTTGGAGTCATCCACTCTTTTAGTCAGATCGAACAACAAACATCAAAATACCATTTCAAATCTGGTAAACCCAGACCTCCTCCTTCCTTAACATCTTGCAATAGTTTGTATCTAATTCTTGGTTATTTCCCTTGCCATATAAATTTAGAGATATCTATCTGCCATTGTTTACTTGAAGTATAAGTTACAAGCATTGGTAAAGTCATGAAACAAAAAAAAAAAAGCATCTTTGGTAAAATATTCATCTTAATTACAGAGTTTTTATTCCAGTAATGATAGTTACAGTTTGTCCTAACTTAATAAGTATTTTTAATATAATTCTGAAGAGACAAAATATTATTTTGAGATCTGGTTAACATCTGGTAATTTGAAGGAGATTTCTGTGTAATTCCCTAACTGTATGGGAATATTATGAGTTTGTGGTTTAGAACTGAAATGAGAAAAAAGGTATAGAGAGTAAGCAAATAAAGTTATGGCAAGGTATGCATTCCTAATATTCAGGAACCATTACTTAGGCAAAAAGGGTTGAAACATTTTTTAAGTCAAGAGTGAGGGGGAAACATTTGGAAGCAGCTCAGACAGATGCCTCCAAAATTCACAATGAGTGTCAGACCTCTCCCAGATTGTTTAGGAAAGAAAGGTGTTTAGGAAAGAAAGAATCTGAACTCCATTCGTAGTGAAAGATGTACTATTATTAAAGCCAAGTAGTTACAGCGTAGGAAAAGCCAGATCTGAAAGTTTCTGCATAAACCTGGAAAGTTTCCCTTCTCCCAGACCCTCCCCCTTGGTCATCTTGCTAGTGTCCAATAAAATTCAAATTAGTTGTTTTGGTAAGAGTTCTACAGTTTGGCACCTCTTTGGTGGGCATTCATATTCCTTTCCCATGCCCATGTCCTTGGATCATTCAACTGTTGTCTCTGATTGGCACTTCTGGTTCCTGTCATCCCCCTCCCCATCTGTTATGGTAGGCTGCCATTGAAGTGAAGCAGAGCCCAAGCGGTGTGATGGCAGATCTGACAGTGAGATACAATACAATCAGACTCACAAGATTCCATAATTATCGTCAGTCTCAATAAAAGTAACTTTAGTTTTCCTGTGGAGTTGCTTTCCTGATCTGAACTAGTTCGTGGGGCTGATGAAACGGATCATTATGGAGATGTTATTCCGTGGAGAATTGGGTTCTGGAATGAACTGCATTGTTTGCCAACAGCCCCACCTTTTCAGTAATACTGTCCAAGGAATTTTGCAGTAATGTGAGCCTATCTTTTCTTGTATGGTGTGCATTGTAATCATGATATCCTTGACTGGATCCCAAACTTCTTAGATCTTTTTTCTTCAATATGGTGGAGCACTTTACACAATGTTCTCCCTTGGAGTGAGGGGCTTCTCTCTTACACAGGAAATACCTTTAAAGTTTTATTTTCAAAAGCTCCACATTTTGGAACAATCCATTCAAGGGTACTCTCCTCCACTCTAGGGAAAGTTGACATGTTAAGATTTCTGCAGGATCTTCTAAACTAACAGCATCCATCTGTACACTGTGCCCAGCACAGTCTGTATGGTAAGTTGTTGACATCACCAGGAGGCAAATGCACAAGAAAGTCCCAATCATCTGGGCTTATTTATCGCCAAAGTTGAAAGTTAAGTCCTCATGCTTCCTCAGCCGTTGCATCAATTCCTGCATAAGTGAAGTTCTCAAATAATGCCATGTTCACATATGCCTGGCAAAGGAGAAACATATTAATATTAATCATATTAAAGACTACTCGGAAGGGAGATTTCTTCTCATCCTTTGTTTGAAATTATGTTTTCCTTCTAGTTTTGATTACAGACTAAATGATAATAGTAATTCACCTTATACTGAGATAGTGCTAAAAGTAAATTCTATATCATGCCTTGGGAGAATTGCTTGATATAATCCTATTGGTTTATATATCTAAGGGCTACTTGTATCCCATCATTTTGAAGTAAAGTGAGAGATACAGTTGACATTGTGACTTTTTCAACTGAAGGCCATGAAAATAGTGCCTTGGCTATTCTACTGGTAACATTGGGCAATGGTATCTGATTATAAATACTCTAGAGGTCACAGTAATTGTTTAGATCACAGTAGGATTATCTTTTGATATCAATACCTTCCTAGCTTCTAGCATGCGGATGAGCTGCACTGAGATCTGAGCAAATGGTGGACGTTCATATGGCCGGTCCCGCCAGCATTGACGCATTAATTCATACCTGCAGGAGGAAATGATGAATTAAAAACATTCAACAACAATGTTGAACATCAACATCAACAACATCAAAACATTGAGGGAAGAGGAAATGCCAGGGTGATCTACTCTGAAATGCTAGTGCAGGTAGTCCTCAACTTACAACGTCAATTGAGTCCAACATTTCTGTTGTTAAGTGAGACATTTGTTAAGTGAGTTTTGCCCCATTTTACGACATTTTTTTTGCCACCATTATTAAGTGAATGATAAGTAATAGTAAATTGTTAAGTGAATCTGGCTTCCCCATTGAGTTTGCTTGTCAAAAGGTTGCAAGAGGTGATCATCTGACCACAGGACACAGCAATGGTCATAAGTATGAACCAGTTGCCAAGCATCTGAATTTTGATTACATGATCATGGGGCTGCTACAAAGGTTGTGTGAAAAATGGTCATAAGTCACTTTTTTCACTGCCATTGTAACTTTGAACAATCACTAAAAGAACTGTCGTAAATTGAGGAGTGCCTGCAGTCTGTTTTCACTTCCCTTTATCATTTCCACCAGAATGAAATAACGGGAACATGTGAAAACCTAGTCCTAGTCTGCCAGTTACCATCAATGGAATATGGTTAAATATGTAATATACATTAGACAGTAGAGAATGAAATATGCAGAAAGTGGATATTTGAACAGATCCTCTACTTACACTTCATCATCACAATTGAGAGGCTTCTCCATGCGGTATCCTTGCGGCAGCTTTTCATAAAGTTCGGCACATGTCATGCCACAATATGGTGTCCCTCCTAGCAAGAGGAAAGACAGAGCAGACAAAATGCCATATTTACCCATTTGGGGGGTATGATGCATATATATAGCAGCCTTTAATTATCAGGACAAAGCTGGTATCTGAATGCTACCATCTCTTCCAGAACTGTCCATTTCTATATTAGTACCATCTTATCTTTTGTCTCCATCCAGTGAAAAGTGCAACATTGTTGAAAATATCAAAGCAACAAGCATGAGATGGAATGCTAAATAGGAACTTATGTAAACTTTATCTTCTCCCTCAAGAGAATCCTCAAATTATTCACATTTTGTGCTTGCTTCCATAATGAATGTTTTAATCTGATTACTTCATCTTGCTGAGACAAAATGAAAGAAGTTTTCTTGCCACAGAGAAAAGTCTGAGGAAGTGGAACTTATGAGAAGAACAAACTGTACAATGCAGTGTGGGCCCCAAGTAGGATGCAGACTATGGAAGGATAATTGGGGGAACAAAGTCCAACCTGTTCCCACTAGATAGGAGCTTACCCAGGCTCACAATTTCCCACAAAAGGACTCCAAAAGACCACCTGCAACAGAAAGATAAGTTAGGATGTGGGCTGTGGGCCTTTAGTACATTTAGCCTAGTAATAGAATGTGTTGGGTTTTTTACGTTTTATTTTGGTTTTGGTTCCTTACTTAATCTACAAAGAAAAAGAAAATATTAAAAAGTCAGTACCTTCTGTTTACGAATTGCAAGTCACTTTATATGTCTTTCAACATCCAAAAACTTGCTGGATGTCAGCTCCTATAAGTTCTAGCTAGCATGAACAATCTACCTAGAATACAGCTAGTTGGAAATGCTTGACTCAAACATTGGCCACAACATACCTTCCTTGTTATATCAGCTGAGAAACGGATCAAAATATTTTGTGATAGATTGAGCGTTGCCTACCATTTGAAATCTGAACCCTGTTCCCAAAGGATAGGATACTCACACATCACTCTTAGTTGTGTATACACTGTAATTCAAGGATTCAATGGCCATCCAACGAACTGGTAAACGTCCCTGAATCAGAAACAGGGGAAGAAGGAGAGACAACAAAGACAAAGATATGGAACACTCTTCTTCAAAATGGAAAAGAAGCAGGGGTGCTATTCAGCAGGTTCTGGAGAACTGGTAGCAGAAATTTTGAGTAGTTCGGAGAACCGGCAAATACCACCTCTGGCTGGCCCCAGAGTGGGGTAGGAATGGAGATTTTGTAATATCCTTCCCCCAGGAGTGGGGAGTTAATGGACATTGTGCACTATCCTTCCCCTGCCACACTCACCAAGCCACACCCACCAAGCCATGCCCACAGAACCGGTAGTAAAAAAATTTGAATTCCACCACTGAAAAGAAGCCTGGGCAATGTGGGAGAGTGTTTCTCAAGGAATATTCTAGTTACTCTAATTCCCACTTTGCTGTGATTCTCTACCAAACTTACCATTGTCTTCTTTACATAAACTTCTTCTCCTCGGGACAAACCAAAATCAGCAATCTTGGAGGTCAAGTTTTCACCAACCAGTATATTTCTGGCAGCCAGGTCTCGATGGATAAACTAGGAAAGAGGCAACAATAATAAGTCATATAGCTAGTGGCAGAAAATGCCACTGTTTTACAGGCAATGACAACACTCACATGTTCTACTATGAATGGACTGGAATTCCTTGGTGTATCTCATACCTAAATTTCTCAAGGATTTCTTTGAAAATGCAAGACCATCTGTGATTCAAAATTCTAGTTCATTCAGTTCTAATTCATACTAGAACAATACCCAGTTGCTTCTAGCTCTTAAAATTCCCAATAATTCCTTCTGAAAACACTTGTACTATTTTAGTCCTGTGAAGTCATTCCCTACAATAGTCACAGTTCTACCATTCTTTGTTTGTGAAACACAGCAGAAACAGAAACTAGATAAGCAAATAATTGATCAGTGAGTCCAGAGAGTCGGGCTGCTTGGCATACAGACCTGTTTTTCACTCAGATACTGCATGCCTTTGGCTACATCAGACGCAAACTGCAAGAGCTGCTGGGATGTGAGGGTTGAGGCTGTCCCATGCTCTCTGGCAAAGGCAGGATCTGTCTCCAACACTCGGCTTTTGCGTAGGAAGTCTAGCAAATTCCCATAGGGTGCATATTCAATAGCGATGTATAGGTAACCTAGAAGGTTAAGCCAAAGTCTGTCAAACTGTATCATCTTAATACCTCAAGCACTTGTGATTATAATAATACATGTATGGTTGATCCTTTTATTAATGTTTCCTAATAGGAATAGACTTTGACCACCACTCAGAGATTCTTTGATTGAGCCAGCTGCTGTAACCTCAACTGCTTTTCTTGATAACCAGCTTAGACCCCATCACAGTTAAACAAAGTTTCAGCACTCCATTCAAATCACATTTCAATGAATTAGGAAGGGAACAAAAAGTGATCCAACCACTAAATGGTGCCAAGTGAAACATGATCTCTTTTTGCAAATTTGATTATTTGTGTTCGGCTGTGTACAGATTCAAAATAACAGTGAATATGGCAGGTGGAGAAGTTTATAGCCCTTCCTTCCAATTGTTTACCTCTTTCTCTCCCCACCCTCCACCCCGAATATAAAGACAGGAAATGTTTGAAAAGTGTAACTTTTGCCAAAGTATTGGCTAAAAGGGGGTGAAACTTCTGCACCTAAGATATTCACTGTTTTCTTACTTTGAATATGTAAACAGCATAACTAGTTTGTATAACATTTACAAAATTATGTCATTTATCTTTTGATAGTACTTATATACAGTTCTATATATTTGGCTGAGTGCCAAAGAATTGAGGCCTTTGAACTATGGTGCAGTCCCTTGGACTGCAAGGCGAACAAACAAGTCAGTCCTAAAGGAGATCAACCCTGATTGCTCTTTAGAAGGCCAGGTCCTGAAATTGAAACTCAAATACTTTGGCCACCTAATGAGAAGGAAGGACTCTCTGGAGAAGAGCCTAATGCTGGGAAGATTGAGGGCAAAAGAACAAGGGGACAACAGAGAATGAGGTGGCTGGATATGGAATCACTGAAGCAGTTGACATGAGCTTAAATGCACTCTGGGGGATGGTAGAGGACAGGAAGGCCTGGAGGAACTTTGTCCATGGGGTCACGATGGGTCAGACATGACTTCGCAACTAACAACAACAACAACATATACAGTTCATCTTCCTTTATGCTTTTAGAGGAGAGAGAGAGAGAGGGAGGGAGGGAGGGAGGGAGGGAGGGAGGGAGGGAGAGAGAGATGCTAACTGATCATGTGCTGCTCCCTTGTGGTCAGTATATTTGTGATTGTTTCAGCTTCTGTTCACTTAGAAATTTATTGAATAAAAAGTTTGGACATGGATGCTGTGCATAGACTTGTTTGCTCTAACATACTTCATTGTATACATTAAAATGCATTTGCGGTTTTAATGCCATTTAATGCCAGTGTGGAGAGACAGTTTGGACAGTCTGTTTTCCTTTGCTGGTCTATCAATTCTATGCAGCAGGACTTGTGTGGAAGGTATTTGCTTCAGCAGACACATCCTTCTGCCTTGTAATATCAATTAAATATTGGACAGTGCCATTCTGGGCCAATCAGTTGATCTTCCTCAGGTAGAATTTTGCTCGTACTGACACTGTCTATATTGTAACATCATTTAGGGAGGTCCTACTTAAGAACCACCCTCGTGTGAGATGAGAGGGATGTAGGTTAGAAGTCTGGTTTTCCTGAATCAGGGTTCTGGGGGAAGAATGGTAGACTGAAGGCATCTTTGTGAAAGCAGGGCTGAGGACCATGTGAAGAATGAGAAATCATTTTTCTTTCCTCTCTTCTTTTGTGCATTTTCTATTTTCTGTTTTTATTCTTTTGGATTTTCAGTCTATATTAATTTTTATCTGTTTAATTGTAATGTTTAAATAAAAATACTATAAAAAGAGAAGAAGACAGAAAGAAATATTAATGGCCATGTTAAGAGTTTTTTTTTTTTTTAATCATTATTTTTGTCTCTTCAGACAATATGCTCTATTTTGGGAGAAAAAAAGCAGACAAATGGAAATAATGAAAATAATGTGGTTTTTTTCTTAATTTTCTCTTAATCTAAGTAAAGGGGTGATTTAGGGTGACTTTGGCTGTGCATGGCTGGCTCAGGAATTCTGGGAGTTGAAGTCCACAAATCATCAAAGTCATAAAGTCATAAAGAGCCATGGTTCCCAATCCCTGATCTAAATGCAGAGATTATTTTATCTTGAGTCACTGGCACTCACCCTTGTTCTCACAGGCTCCCAGCAAATTGATGATATTGGGATGATGGCCCAGCTTGCAAAGAACTTCAAGTTCTCCAGCAAAATCCCGGTGATCATTCTCAGAGGCAAATTCTGAAATATAGATGAGGATGCCAATTTTGTCAAATTCAATTAGGAAAGGTATTATGAGGATTATAACAGAGGACCTTTTTTTTTTGATGTGGTCATAAATTTGCACATTTGGTGGAAAAGATTCTCAGCACATGGGCCCTGGCATCTTCAGGTGTAAATAGTCACAACTATTCCTCCTGTCTCAGAATCAGCAGAAAATATGCGTGCATAAATTGTACTACTCCCATGGTTCACTGCTGAGCTTACTCAGTAAAGATTTCTGCAAGTGGTACTTTAAGGTAACTCATAGTTTAAAGTAGAATAAGTTAAGAAAAGATATTGATGGATTTCCTGCCAATAGGAAAAAAAAAACTTTCAGCAATTACTGTTAATAACATAGGTTGGGGGTGAGGAAGAAGGAAAATTCTAACCAGAAGGTTTGGTCATCTGTCAAAACTTGATCAATGAGTGGATGGAAGCATCATAGTAAACCAGGAGAGGAGTTTCTTGGTTTACTAAAAAGAAGCCCCATCCCATAAATTAAAGCCCTTCATTTGTTAGGTTTACTGGTGTTAGGGGTGGGAAGCTGAGTCTTTCCCTGCCAGGTTTCTCATTAGTAAATTCTGGGAAACTAGAGATCTGGCCGGGAGGTGGGGGGGAATCTCACCACTGCCATTCCTCTTAAGCCATGGCAACTTGCTAAACAGCTGCTTGGGCTGGGAAAGTTGGCAGTAGAAGTGGGAAGAAAAGGCTTTGTACTCGCCATGTCTCCAATCCCACAGTTCCATGCTGTATAATCAGAAATGTGGCAGATACGGGGTTGGGCTGGGGGAGCCTGAAAGAGCTCTTCCACTGACACATGCAGAATAGCTCTGCAAAAATGCACTTGCAAGAGGGGAGTGGGTGTGCCTATAGCAGTCCTGGGCAGATCCCAGCCCCTGATCACATCATCAACTGCATCAATGAAGCACTTAAAATTATTTTTACAGTACCACAGATCATTGGGAGAAGAGAGAAAACATAGTACCGCTGAATTTAAGCTGCCTTCATTAGGCTGGGGAATGAAATAAAGGTTGTCAGAATATGTCCTTCGAAAACAACTAGCAATGCTCCATTGTGTCATGATGTGCATTGCAGGATGTGAAGATGAGCCCATTCCGTATCAGAATTATCAGGACTGAGCTAGATCAACATAGCTGTTATCTGATTTGATATAAAGCACTTCATATATTATCTTAAGACCAATTACATGATATAGCCTTGGTGGCGCAGCAGACTAAAGTGCTGTTAAGTAGCACCAGCTGCTTGCAATTACTGCAAGTTCAAATCTCACCAGGCTCAAGGTTGACTCAGCCTTCCATCCTTTCGAGGTAGGTAAAATGAGAACCCGGATTGTGGGGGCAATAAGATGACTTTGTATAAAAAAGAAACACCGCTTGGGGGGGGGGGCGAAAGGTATATATAAAAGTATGAAGGCTATTGCTTAACGCATTGTAAGCCACCCTTAGTCTCTGGAGAAGGGCGGCATATAAATCGAACCAATAAATAAATAAATAAATAAATAAATAAATAAATAAATAAATAAATAAGTAAGTAAGTAAGTAAGTAAGTAAGTAAGTAAGTAAGTAAATAAATAAATAAATAAATAAATAAATAAAAATACATGTTATGTAATCTTTCTTTGATGTATCTTTACCTAATGTACAATTAAATCTAGATCATAATAAGGGGAGATGATAACCTTATGCTTTCCCCATCCCCTTATTTACAACTATTACGCACATCCTACATTGGTAGGCTTTTCCGATTTTTTACAACTCTGATCTTTTCCAGGTAAGGTTAATCTAGAAGACATTTTTTTAAATGACCCATTTTTATATTGAGTATTTTCCACCTTCTTTTATTTTCAGCTATGGAGGTTGGGTTAGAACATTCCTTGGACTGCTATGAAAATAGAAAAGCTTTGGCAATATTAGTTACAATCATTCAGGGGAATGAAGACTTGTTGCATTCAGGTGTTGTATCCATATGTTTACATTTTACAATGCAATGTATGAAATCAGCTGCGACTGAGTGGCTTCCTAAGCTTCTCATTCTGTGAGAGTAAAGAAACAAATGTGTTTCCATACTACTGTCAGTCTTTGAGGGAGGCCAGATCAGGAAACAGACATTTCCTGAACTATTGGAACTCCATTGTTATGGGGGTAGTGTTTCTCAACTTTGACAACTTCAAGATGTGTGGATTTCAACCTCCAGCATACTGGTTGGAGAATTCTGGGAGCTAAAGTTCACACATCTTAAAATTGTGAAGGCTGTTGTTATAGGGTATAATAATAGGATCTTGAAAGTCTTGCAGTGTCTCTCTTTCTCTCCTATAGCAAAGACTCAGAAGATGGTGGCTGTTCTTAGGTGACAGAGTCTGAAGGTTAAAGCTTTTGAAAAAGGCTGAAAGTTTGATCTTTTACTATCCAGCTGTCTTTCAGGAGGGCAGTAAACACTGTTTTATTCTATAGGGTCTTTTGAAAATAATAGATAATCCTCATTTAGGCACAGCTATTGAGGATTTCGCTTTTTAATCTTGTGTTCTGAGAGAATTTTGAGGGAATTGTTTTTTTATAGTGTTGTGGTAATTGTTCTGTTTTGCTTGTTTTATCTTTACCTTTCTATAATTATTAAGCCCTTTATAGAATAGGACTGTATTTAAAAATGGTTAATAATTAAATGAATAATTAATAACTAAACAATTCTCTAGTTTCGTACATAGATTTAGATTTGAGGAGCAGAATTGTTAGGAAACTAGTTTCATCTATTTAACTATGTGATGCAAATATATTCTAAATATCCATGATTTTTAGATTTTCAGATACCCTTTAATTTATCCTCTGAGCAAGCACCCTTGGCTTCTTCTGTGCAAGGAGAGGTTGGTGCATCTGCTATCGGCTAGAGGAGAATCTTGCATTGTACAGGAAGAATTTGTATTTATGTTGTTGTTAATAACATTTCTCCCATGACTTCCAGTTAAGAGGTCAGGAAACAGAGCTGGTGGTCTAATCGTTCAACTATTCCGCTAGAGAGGGAAGGTCCCAAAGGTGGGACCTTTTTCAAGAGGCAGCTGAACTTCCTGGTTTTTCTTAGAAGAAGTTTCCTTCTTATCCAAGAAGCTTCTTCAGCTGAAGAAGAAATGTCTTCAAAGAAAAATCAGAAAGTCCAATTGCCTTTTGAAAAAAGCACCTTTGGGACAACTGTGACCTGGATGACTGAGAATCTCCATAGACATTTAGAGAGGGAAGGATTATCCAATAGCCTTAATAGTCATCTCACCTTTCAGCATCTTGATGGCAGCATTCATTCTCAGGCCATCTTTCTTGATCATGGCTCGGATGACTTGTCCAAAGTTCCCTTCCCCTATCATGTCCTCAAACTTGATGTCTTCCCACTCCAGGATGGGATAGCTGAGTGGCTCAGGCTGTGGTTTGGGCCGGCGGGTCAGGGTCAGGGTGCCTGAGTTGAATTGCAGAATAGTTTCTTCTCCCTGCAAGAGGATTTGGGGAGAGAATAGTTGCAGGTAACCCTGTGTACCAGACAGGTCAGCAGCATGGGGACAAAAGTACCAGAGTGCCAAAGAAAGAGGATGCTGATGGAAAGGAGTCAAGTTCATTGGAGAAGTGAAGGGGAATGGGCCAGGGACAATTGCACTTACTGAGCCAGACTGGTAGGTAAAGGTCCGGCGGCGATGAAAACAATTCTTCTTGATGAGGAAAAGGGCCAGGAGAGCAAACAATATGGTCAGGCAGGTGACAGAGACAGAGCCTACAATGGCTAATATCAATTGCTGATCCATGAGAGTTGGAGGCAAGTTTTTACTTTCTAGGGTAGGCACTTGGCTCAGGGCTCCTGTAGGACAGAAATAAAATCACTGCATTTGTGGTACACACCCAGCAAACAGTACAATAAAGATGGCTTTTTGCTACTTGTGGTTTCTTAAGCTATCCTGCCTCCAGGCTAAATTTGCCAAGCTCGTTGCCATTGCTTGTTTGGAGAACAAACTTTCCCTGCCAATATTCTCCCCCTTCCAATTTTTCATTGCACCATCCAACCAAATAAGCTTTTGGCCCACTCACCATCGCCCAGGATTTCAGCTCTAGCAGGCTGGCTCCACTCGCCCAATACGTAAGACTTGGCTCGCACCCGAAACTGGTAGATTGTGCTGGCATTAAGCCCTGTGATAATCTTTGTGGTATCCCTGCCATTTTCTGTGTCTATCCATTGTGGATCACTGCTGCCTCCCAGCTGCTGCACCTCTACAATGTATTTGTTGATGCCCCCATTAGAGTATTCAGGAGCTAGCCAGGATAGCCTGATGGAGTTATCAGCGAGGGGATTCACCAAGAGAGAGCGTGGCGATGAGGGTCCTGAGAGAGGAGGCAAATGGCACAGCTGTTAGCTCTGCAATAGATTTTTTTGGCCTGGAATATATGCCCGTGCTGTGCCACAATCATCTTCTCGGCACTTGGGACCTTCTGTTAGGGATTAGCATACATGTAGTTCTCGATTTACGACATTTGTTTAGTGCCATTCAAAGTTACAACAGCACTGAAAAAAGTGCTTATGACAAGTTTTCACACTTATGACCTTTGCAGCATCCCCAAGATCAGGTAATCAAAATTTGAGCGCTTAGCAACTGGCATGTATTTATCACAGTTGCACTATCCTGGGGTCATGTAATCACCTTTTCTAACCTTCCCAGCTGGTTTCTGACAAGAAAAGTCAATGGGGGAAGCCAGATTCAGTTAACAACCACATGATTCACTTAACAACTGTGGCAAAAAGGTCATTAAAATGGGGCAAAAATCACATAACAATTGCCTTGCTTAGGGACTGACGTTTTGGGTGCAATTGTGGTTGTAAGTCGAGCACTATCTGTATGAGGAAGAGTTTCCTTTAAGAATTTACTTTTGTAGTTGACTCTCCAATCTACCATGAGTTTTTTGCTATTTTTAAACACTACTAAAAATATGTAGAATAATCTTCAGATCAAATCCAAAGATAATACAAGAGTTATCTAAAGTGTCTAAATTGGCTGAGATATGTCATTTATCCTTTTATTTTTAAAGGCCTGGGGTGCTTCTGAAAGCTCTGAGCTTTTTGTCATGTAGTGACTTGTTTCCCAGCAATTCTTGAAATGGCCATGGAACCAGGCAACAGTCCTGCATCAGTCTTCCAGTCTTTGAAGAGCAAGAGTTGCTGTAAGCACATCAGGCTTTTGAAAATATTTAAAAGTGTTTAAAAAGGTATAAAATTTAAGTATTAAGGGCAATCTTTATATGTTCTTATTACAGACTATATCCGCTAATCCAAATAACTGGAGAGATGGATAGACAGACAGACAATTTCTTCCCATCAGTGGGAAGAAATTTGGATTTTTAAAAAGGCCATCTATAGTCAAAGTCTGGCATATTTTAAAACCCTGTGATATAATGCTTATTGTATAAGAGATCACTTGGATTATATTGAGTACCCCACTCCAGAGCCATCCTGTTCATTTTAGAAGTGACAGATTTGTTACCTTTACTGTTGATCTTGAATGTGTGGAGATCAGATGGTGGTCCCAAGCTGGTACAATGATAGACCATTACTTCTAGGCTATAGTCCTCCTTGAACTTGAGATTCGGAATATATGCTGATTGCACAATCATGGAAGTAACATTTTCTTGATGAACAAGCTCTTTGGCTGCATCATAGAGCCGGACAAGAAATCCCGACCCCACATTGTCAGTTTTGGGCAAATTCCAGTTTACACGTAGATTGTTGCTCCCTTCAACAAATGAACGCTCAATTACAGGTTTGGCTGTTGGCTCTATATGAAATAGAGAAATATATAAATACATCAATCTGATTCCTTTCTAAATAGCACAAAGAGCAAGAAATTCTCGTTTCCTCTATCTTGAACTTTGTGTAGAATTCCCCTGTCAATGGTTTGTAACGCAGTACACAATTACACTTGCTATTTCTACAATGTCAACAATATATTAGTTGCTGTATCAAACTTCAGGAAGCCACTATTCCTACCCTGAAGATGATCAAAGATAGCACCACCAGCTGCAAGACATTTTCTTTTCCAGCAATTAGAGAAGGTAATGCTAGCTGAGGTGAGCAGTTCTCCTTGTATAAAGCACAAGTGCCCTGTGGAAGTGTCTTCCCTTCCTGTCCCTTTCACTAATTTTGAGGATGACATCTCATCTCCTCTTGCTCAAAATGTAACATCCTGCAGATACAATCAGATTCACACAGAAATTCATTCCACAACTTAAAATGAAGAAGATAGCAGAATTGGAACAATTAGCCAGTGGCTGACTTTGTTATAGTGACTTACTAAATTGCTCCATTTCTTCTCTGCTATCATTCTCCTCTGCAATTTTCTGGGCAATAACGTGGAACTGGTTTTCTATTACCTTCTTCCAGATTTATTTTAAAAATTCCCAGGTTATCCTATTGATCAATCAAAGTACTGTACCAGTTGTATCGACAGATAATATTTGCAGTTCAAGGTTGAAATGAGGAGTCCTTGGTGCTGTTTCAACTTGGTTGTTTTCTTGAAGACGTTTCATTGATGATGTTACCTAGTTTGAGTAATAAAATGTCTGCAAGGAAACAATCAAGCTCAGAGAGCACCAAGGACCTCTCAAATACCAGTTGTATCTGATCCTGTAAAACTTTTCAAAATTAGCCAATTTGAGTAGGTGCCAAGCTGCCAAACTGAAAATGCTAGCATGTTATATTCATATGATTATGGGGGTGACACGCTGCACCCATGTAACACCTCTCCTGTGCAAGCTGCACTGGCTCCCGGTGGTCTTCCGGCTTAGGACCGGGGTATATACGAGACCGCCTTCTGCCATCGATAGCCTCCCACCGGCCAATACGCTCCCTCAGGGTGCCATCGGCCAAACAATGCCGACTAGCGACACCCAGGGGGAGAGCCTTCTCTGTGGGGGCACTAGCCCTCTGGAATGAGCTGCCCCTAGAGGTTCGTACAATCCCCGACCTGCGTACCTTTTGCGGCACCTTTTGTTCCAACAAGCCGGGCTGGCCTAATATGAATTTTAAAATGGGAGTATGTTAGTTTTTAATTTTGTGGGCCAAATTTTTATATATTCATTTTTAAATTATTTTTTTAAATTTTGTAAGTTTATATGTGTTTTAATATGGCTGTACACCGCCCTGAGTCCTTTGGGAGAAGGATGGTATAGAAGTTCAATAAAGTAAAATAAAATAAAATCATATATTAAAAGGAGGATTAAAGCAAATTCAAAGAGCTTAGATTGACATTAAGAAAAAAATTGGTTCCGACTTCCGGTTTCCTTGTCTTCGGCGACGGCGGCGCTCTTTGAAGCTCCGCCAGCCCCGCCGCCTGTAGAGCCGCTTCGCGATCGAGAAGCGGCTCGAAAACTTCAAAATCCTGAGGATTGTTGGAGGAGAGATAGCAGGGCACAGGTCGAGCCCCTGTAACCCCCCAGGGAATTGTTTCTGGGGAGGAAACAGGCGCGGCTCCCTTCCAACCTGCTGAGACTCCGGGCGGCGTGGGACGATTCTGCTTCTGCAGAACAAGCCGGCTGCAGGAAACTTAAAGCGAAAGAACCAGCTTTAATAAACAGCGAAACTACCTGAATCCTGAAATTTGGAAACGCAAGTATTAGCACTTTGTTGACTTTTCAATCTGAGAAAATGCAAATGAGTGAAAGTGCTTTGAAAAAACATGGCGCCTAGCTTCAGAGTTAACGAGCCAGCGAGTGTGGATTGGTGAAGTTACTTTGTTTTGCTACAAAGTTTCCAAGTTGCTACTAAGCTGCCTTGCTTGTTATAAGAGAAATAACTTGGAAATTTTTTCCCTTTTCAATATTGGACTTTGCTTTATTTTAACCCTTGTTTGATCAAATCTGGGGGACTTTTTTAGAAGTCTTTGTGCAGGAGGGAAAGGAAAAGGAACCTCCCTCTTTAGAAAAACTAGATCACGAGCCAGGATGGCTTCAAAGAAGCAGGAAGGGAAGGCATTAGGGGGGGGATCCCCCACACACAAACAGCAAACGCAACTTCCCCCTGCTCAACAGTTACAAACTCAGAAAAAAGAATTTGATGTGGCAGATTTAAAAGAATTTATTTCTAAAACTTTGGATGATAAATTTCAAGAATCACAACAGGAACTTCAAAAATCACATCAGGAATTTTTGCAGGAAATTAATGAAATTAAAGACATGGTGAAACAGAATCAAATTATGGTGACCAAAAAAATATCAGAAGTGGCGTCTGGCCTGGCAGATTTTATTGGGAAAGTTGATTTTAAAGTTGAAGAATTTAAATCAGAAGTTAATGTTAGGATGAAAGACAATGATTATAAAATTGATGAAGTTGACAATAAAATGCAGAGAATTGAAGATGAGATTGTTATGATACAATTCCGGGCGATGGAATTTGCCATACGGCTTCGGGGAATTCGAGAGGAGGAAAGACAGGACTTGAGACAAGTTTGCTCTGAAGCCCTGGCTAAGATTCTACAAGTTAATCCTGATTTGGTATTTCATAAAATAGATAAAATTTACAGAGTGAACTCTTGGGTGGCCAGGCAAAGACAATTACCCAGAGATGTGGTCATATACTTTACTGAGAGAGAAATTAGAAATGATATCCTGCAAAAATCTTTCCACACCTCTATACAAGTGGGGGGCTCACGGCTTGTAATTTTTAAAGAGTTACCTCCTAAAATGCTGAAAGCTAGAAAAGAATTTGGTTTTCTTGTTAAGGAATTGAAAAATTTACAGATACCCTTCCGGTGGGATGCACCAGCTGGGGTAATTTTCAGATATAAGGGAGAAGGATATCGGTTGAATACCATGGAGAAGGCGCAACACTTTTACAGTACTATTCTTATGGAAAGAACACCATCTCCACGTACATCTACAGTTCTGGAGATTAAGGAGAGTGAAGAGAGGCAATTGAAAGAACAGTCTAAGCAGGAATTAGAAAACGTGCAAGGTGCAGAAGGAGGTATTCTGAGTGAGCCATCGCTGGATTCTTCTCCAATTTTGGATTTGATTCAGTTGACTGAAGTTAAAGATCAACGTATAACTAGAGCTCAATCCAAGCTACTTAAACAGAAGCAACAACAACAACAGGAAAGACAAGACAAGAAGGCAGTTAAGAGCACTGCACAAGAGATTGGCGCTATGGGAGGAGCGAGATCGAAGCTTGTGGATGAACTTCAAGCATATTGCTCCGCGCTCCATGAAGAGGCTAATGACCTTTAAGTGTTTATCTTGGAATGTCAATGGGTTGAATTCAGCACAGAAAAGGAAAAAATTATTTACATATTTGAAACAATTTAATAATGATATAATATGTTTACAAGAAACGCACATTACAACTCAAGATCAAAAATATTTGATAAACTCAAAACTAGGAGCACATTATATATCTTCAACTTCGCAGAAAAAGAATGGTGTGGTTATTTATGTAAATAAAAAATTAACAGCAAAAGTTATAGAAGTAGATCAAGATGGTAGATTTGTAGCAATTGAATTGTTTACAGCAAATGGTCAAATTCTTTTGATTGGAATTTATGCTCCCAACCAACAACAGGATTATTTTTACAAGATGTTACATACTAAAATATTGCAATGGGACTACAGATCTATTTTAATTATGGGAGATTGGAATGGAGTAATTGATTCTAAATTAGATAAAAAGAGCTTGGCAAAGTCTAGAATTAGATTACCACAGACCTTTTTTGATATGAAAGAAGATATGGAACTAAAAGATGTTTGGAGAATACATAACCCAAATGAATTGGATTACACTTTTTTTTCTGATAGACATAGATCTTTTTCTAGGATTGACTTTATCTTGTTGTCAAATGATCTACTTGTTAAGACAAAAAGAACAAAGATTTTTCCAAGAATTTTGACTGATCATAGTCCTGTATGGATAGAAATCGAGATGGATAAGGTTGAGAGACGTTCTTGGAGATTAAATGAGAACCTGTTTAGATATGAAAAAAATATAATAGAACTTAAAAAGCATTTGAAAGAATTTTTTGAAATAAATTTGAATAAAGGTACCCCAGTTGAAATTGTTTGGGATGCAAGTAAAGCTTATATGAGAGGGGTACTTATCTACATGAATTCTAAACATAGACTGTTCCGACAAAAGAAAAGATCTGAGTTGGAAATGGAAATAAAGAATAAAGAACAGTTACTTATTAAAAACCCAACAGATGAAAGAATACGAAGTGCTATAAAACTTTTGAAAGACCAATTCCAAATGCTTATGGCGGAACAAGTTGCAACAAGTTTACAATACGCGAAGCATAATACATTTTGCAATGCTAATAAACCGGGCAGATGGTTGGCTTACACATTGAGGAAAAAACAAAGTATACGGACTATTGATAGTATTGATATTGGAGGGAAAGAAATCTTTCAACAAAAACTAATTAAAGAAGCTTTTGTGGATTATTACACTAAACTATATGCCAAAGATGAGGTGCAGAATGGACTTATAGAAAAATACTTAAAGGATAAGAGAGTTACAAAAATTACTGATCAACAAAAGGAAAGAATGAATTATCCTATAACAGAGGAGGAGATAACAGCAGCAATTAAACAGCTAAAAACAGCCAAAGCTCCTGGCACGGATGGTTTGACTGCAGTGTATTATAAAACTTTACAAGCTGAAATGGTGGGACAACTTAGAGATTTATTTTGCAATATTCAACAAGGGGGTAAAATACCCCCATCCTGGACAACTGCTTATATATCTTTGATACCAAAAGAACAAGTTGGTCCTAAAAAACCAGAGAACTACAGACCAATATCTCTTTTGAATACAGACTATAAAATTTACGCGAAGGTATTAGCCAACAGGTTGATGCCAGTAATCCAAAAGGTGATTCATGAGGACCAAGCGGGATTTATTGAGGGTAGATACATGAAGGACAATGTAAGGCAAGTAATAGACTTATTGGAATATCTTGATAAGAATAAACAGATTTCTGCAGTGCTGGTCTTTTTGGATGCGGAGAAGGCCTTTGATAGAGTGGATTGGAATTTTCTACTAAAGACTTTAAAAAAGATGGGCTTTGGGGACCAGTTTACACAGGCAATTTCAGCAATTTATCAAGAGCAAAAAGCACAGATTATTATTAATGGAAGTTTGACGACAGAGTTTAAAATTGAAAAAGGAACAAGACAGGGATGTCCGTTGTCCCCACTTTTATTTATTTTAACATTGGAAGTCTTGCTAAATACAATACGGGACTCAAAAATTTTGAAAGGCATAATGATAAGGCAAGAGGATTATAGAGTAAAGGCATTTGCAGACGATCTGGTGGTTACCCTATCACAACCAACGGAATCAATAATCTTGATGAACGACATTATACAAGACTATGGTAGAGTTTCAGGTTTCAGAGTGAACTTAAAAAAGACTAAAATGATAGTCAAAAATATGACACAAGATCGTAAATATGAGTTTGAAAGGAGGGCAGGTTTTGAAATTGTACCTAAGGTAAAATATCTTGGAGTTCAGGTTGCAGAATCAAACATGAAATTGTTTCAAAATAACTATGAGGTGTTGTGGCGAGAGGTTCAGAAAGACATGGAGACTTGGAAAAAGCTGCAACTGTCTTTACTTGGAAGAATAGCAGCAGTTAAGATGAACATTTTGCCAAGATTTCTGTTTTTGTTTCAAATGATTCCGGTGCTTAAAAGTGATAAACAACTGAAAGTTTGGCAAACTGGACTTAATAAGTTTGTCTGGAACGAGAAAAAGCCGAGAGTGAAATTGAAAATTATGCAAGATGTTCCAGAAAGAGGAGGCCTTAAACTTCCAAACCTACAGTTATATTATGATGCAGCAGCTTTAACTCTAACAAGTGATTGGTTTGGAAGTAAAAAGGCTGGAATATTGAATGCAGAAAGTTTTGATCTTGAATTTGGATGGCATGCTTACCTATTTTATGATGACAAAGTTGATAAAGTATTTAAAAGTCATATACTTAGAGACTCTTTGATGAGAGTTTGGAAGAAGCACCGACTCAAATGGGATTATAAAATACCGCTATGGCTGGATCTTGGTCATACCTTGTGGAATACAAATATAATGTCACTCGGGGGGTTTTTATACAAAGAGGTTCTTTTTACAGATGCGGGCAGATGGCAGTTGAAGACATTGCAGACACTGTTGGACGAAGGGATTAATTTAACCTGGTTACAATATAATCAATTACAATTGAGATGGAAAGAGGACCAAAAAACTGGTATTATGTTGCATGAGGAAGAATTGGTTAGACATATAAGAGAGAAAGGTCCAATGCATATTAAAAGGCTTTACAATGTTTTGCTAGAAAGGGATTCAGAAACGGAATTAGTTAAAGATTGTATGATTAAGTGGGCACAAAATTTTGAAGAACCAGTGATGTTGGAAACATGGGAAAAAATTTGGGTTCAGAATGTTAAATTTACACAGTCGCAGAATTTGAGGGAAAATTTCTATAAAATGTTTTATAGATGGCATCTAGATCCTAAAAAGTTGTCATGTATGTACCCTAATGTTCAGCCAAAATGTTGGAGATGTGAATGTTTGGATGCTACGTATTATCATGTTTGGTGGACCTGTAGGAAAGTTAAGGCTTTTTGGATAAAAATATGGTGGGTCATGCAGAATGTTTTGAAGAAAAAAATTCAATTTTCTCCACAATTGTTTTTATTGGGCATAGTTAAGGGTTTTACACGGGATGAAACAAAATTAATATTGTATATGATAACAGCAGCAAGATTGTTGATAGGTAAATATTGGAAGAATGAAGCTTTGCCTACTATCGAGGAATGGACTTCGAAGATGGCCAGTTTTGCAGAGATGGCGAAGATTTCAGCATATTTAAAAGATTGTTCACAAGAGACTTATGAATGGGAATGGAAAAGGTGGATAGAATATGTTCAGAACAAATACCAAATTAGAAAGTATCAAATAGCTTTTATTTGAAAACAATGTATTAGAAATATTTTAATATAAAGAGACAAAGAGGGAAAATTATGTAGGGGGAGGGATGGGTTCAGGTATATATATCAGTGTTATTAGTTATGAGTACATAATAGGGAAGTCTGGGGGGGGGGAGGGTTAGGGAGGGTTAGGGAGGACGGGAAGTTTGGGGAGGGAGGTGGGGGGGTGAAAAAAAGGGGTGAAAATGTAATTGTAAAACTTTTGCAATAAAAAAAAAAAAAGAAAAAAATTGGTTCCAAGCCAGAACAAATAGATCCTTTTTTTCCCTCACAATCTGCTCAGGATTGCTCCTAAGTACATATTGTAGACAAAATAAAATGCAAAATAAAACTGACACCCATTGGTAAATTGGATTTTTTTCTCTTTGTCTTCCATTTCTTCTTTGCTTTATCTTTAATCTTTAATCTCTAATCTCATAATCTTTCTCCCTCTTCCCCACCCTAAAACTATAGATCTGAGGAACAAATGCTAAGCACTTACCTTTGCAATCTGTTGCCATGATAGCACTTGGGCCCGTGGCACCTTCTCCTCCCTCTCCAGGGCGTGTTAGCTGAACCTTTACAATATAGGCTGTGACAGGTCGCAGGTTCATGAGTGTGATGTTCTGGATGTTATCAACTGCTGATCAATATAGAAGCCATTAATTCAAGGGTTTCACATAAGGGTTCTGCTTTATTATTTTCTATTATGAAAGCTCCATGGGCAGAACCCTGTAACTGGGATTAATAGCTCTCTGCTCCACCTAACAATAATTAATTTTCTGTTACGATCTACTGCAGAGACAAACATCAATAGTCTAGGTCAGGGGTGTCAAACTTGTGTCGTCACGGTGTCATCACATGATGCATTGGGACTTTTTCCCCCTTCGCTAAACTGGGTGTGGGTGTGGCCAGCGCGTGATGCATCTGGCCCGCGGGCCGTGAGTTTGACAGCCCTGGTCTAGGTTCTTTGAAGTATTCCCTGAGGAATAATATATATTATTCAGTTCTTGTTTATATTGCTAAATATAACTTGTAATTTCATGACTGGCTGAGAAATCACCCTAGGAATCTAGAACTTGGAATCTCCTAGGTTTTTTGTCTAGATGGCTAGGAAGAAGTATAGCCAAAGTAGATACAGGATTAAATCCAAAGGAATATTTAGTAGACATTTGTAGTGAAGAAAAAGGGTGAGGAAGCTATTTTATGATTCTTCCAGTCCACTCCAAGAAATGCTTTAGATGGCTGAAGAACCATCTTCAGAATTAATGCAAAAAGCTGCTGGGAAACAGATTAGCAATAATATTCTCCATATTATTTTTCTTCAGTGGAAAAGAACCTGTGCTAGTTCCAAGGAAACCCAGGGATGTTTTGATGTTTAGCAACTTGCTGCTTTGAATTGATTTGAGACTACAGATAGTCCTCAACTTACAACCATTCAGTTAGTGACCATTTGAAGTTACAAATGCACTGAAAAAAGTGACTTACAACTGTTTTTCACACATATGATTGTTGCAGCATTCCCATGCTCATGTGATCCAAATCTGGATGCTTGGGTTCACATTTGTGACAGTTGCAGTGTTCTGGGATCGTATTATCATCTTTTGTGACCTTCTGAGAGGCAAAGTCAATGGGGAAGCCAAATTCACTTAACAGACATGTTACTAATTTAACAAACTGCAGTGTTTCACTTAAAAAAAGTAATAAAATGGGGCAAAATTCACGTAACTGTCTATTTAGCAACCAAAATTTTGGGTTCAATTGTGGCCGTAAGTTGAGGACTACCTGTATTTGCATGTTTGAGCTCTATGGTGAAACAGGATACTGAGATGCTACTCTTTACAGAAGATTCCTTTCTCCACTAGAAGCGATCTATGAAATCAAGGCCAGAAGCAATCCCCCACATAAACATAAACATGTCCATAATGTAACCTTAGGGAATTGAAAATCTCTTTAATTGGAATAAGGAGAGATAAATAACAGAATGGAAGGATTGGAAGGGATCTGAAAGTCCAGTTCAGCCAACATATTGAAGAGCCGTGGTGGTGTAGTGATTAGAATGCAGTACTGCAGGCTACTTCTGCTGACTGCCGTCTGCCTGCAGTTTGGCAGATCAAATCTCACCAGGTTTAAGGTTGACTCAGCCTTTCATCCTTCAGAAGTCGGTAAAATGAGGACCCAGATTGTTGGGGGCAATATGCTGACTCTATAAACCGCTTAGAGAGGGCTGTAAAAGCACTATGAAGCAGTATATAAGCGCTATTGCTGTTGCTATATGCCATAAAAAGTCATTCCAGATACAACAAATTCCTTACCTTCAATAGATGACCAGCTACTTCCGATTTGAGGTTTATATAGGACTTTGATGGAGATGAGGGGTCCATCACCTGCAATAGGCCCCACAGGGGATATCACCAGCTGTTGGCTCTTCTTGGCCAGAAGTTTGGGAGGGCCTAATGGCACTGGAGGCACTAAAGGAGAGAATGGTTGGAGAATTCATTACAAATGAGTACAAAAAGGATAAGATTGTATCTCCTGCTTTGATGGAAAAATGATTTGATCAAAAAAGACCTTTGATCAGTAATTTCTCAAATCATTGTTCCCTGGACTGGACTTGGCACAATCCTTCTAACAATCTTTACCTTGATTAAAAATCCAATAATAATTTCCTTTGTTTGAGAACTAATGCTTCGATAAAACAGCAACCTTTCCCTAATAACCAACCTTTGCCTGAATAAGTGTTAGTTGAAAGAAGCTACAAATAGAGTTTCCTCTTAAATAGAGAACAATCAGAATAGAACAAAGCTTAGAAATTCTGGAAAAATTTCTGTTATCTTTCTGCATTTCAGAAGCAGAGAATGAGCATCAGCTGTGATGTCCTGCCTTCTCACCTTTTACAGTAACTTTGAACTTGCCACTGTCCTGTCCCCCAGTAGTAGAGACACGGCATTCCCAGAGACCAGAGTCAGAAGAGACCACTCGTGACACTTGAAATTCACAGGTTGTCATATCCTTTTCCATGATGGCTTTTGTGGGCTAAGGGGAGACAATAACACCATCATATCTTGCCAGAATCTGCTAACAAACATTTATGAAAAAAACAACCATATTGTTGAAGTTCTCTACATGGGGCTCTCTACATGGGGCTCCCCTTGAGGAGCACCCGGAGGCTCCAACTGGTCCAGAATGCGGCCGCGCGGGTGATTACGGGAGCGACATGGCGCTCCCATATAACACCTTTCCTGCGCGAGCTGCACTGGCTCCGGTGGTCTTCCGGGTGTGCTTCAAGGTGTTGGTTCTCACCTTTAAAGCACTCCATTGCTTAGGGCCAGGGTATTTACGAGACCGCCTTCTGCTACTGATAACCTCCCACTGGCCAATACGCTCTCACAGAGAGGGCCTCCTCAGGGTGCCGTCAGTCAAGCAATGTTGGCTGGCGGCCCCCAGGGGGAGAGCCTTCTTTGTGGGGGCACCCACCCTCTGGAATGAACTTCCTCCCGGAATACAACTGATCCCAGATCTCCACACTTTCCGTAAGGCCCTGAAGATGTTTTTATTTCAGCAAGCCGGCTTAGCCTAATTAGGTTTTTTATGGGTTAGTTTTTAATTGTATAGCTTTGGGGTTTTAAATTGGGGGCTGATTGATTTAATTTATTTTAGCTATCTTAACTTTTATATTGTATGTATTTTAATTTCGGCTGTTCACCGCCCTGAGCCCCTAGGGGGAGAAGGGCGGTATATAAATTCAAATATTAAAAAAAAAAAAAAAGTTCCATTCAAACGTGGGACATCCTGAAATACCAATGTAGAAAAATAATGCATAGAAACTAGATGCACTCTGGGAAATTGATCATCTGGTCTAATTTTCATGAACTCATCTGGAATTATACAGAGCCCCCAGAATTTGCCATTTTTGCAATTCATGACACAGGTATGACCATGGGAGAGGAAGTGGGGTGTGTGTGTGTGCGGGCCAGAGGGGAGGAGGAGCCACCAGTACCTGGTCAGGATTCAGAGGCAGGGAATCTTCCCAGCCTTGGTCACTGTTTGTTGCAGTACTCAGAGAAAAGTTTAGTTAGCCAGACAAAAATGAAAAAGAGGTAGACTTCATATGACAGTACAGAATCAGACAGAAATTAAAACACATAAATGGGCAAATTCTTACTATTATCACTGTTCCATCAGGCTTGCGTAGTTCAATGTTATCACGCACAGGAGGTGGATTGCCTGTTGCTATGCAGGTAGTCATGATCTGGGAGCCTAGGTTAAACTCCAAGTGAGATGCCAAATGGATGATCTGGGGTATACGGTCTTGGCAGAAAATACCATAATAAGGTTAAATCATTAAATTGCACTGAGAAAACTTTTTAACGTACTTTATGATGTTTACCCACTCTCGCCATTCACATCTAATGACATGTATTAGAGATATACTCATAATGATTTAATGTAATGTATGAATTATTACTTATTTTGATATATATAAACCACTAGGATTATGGCAATAGATAAAATGCACGCATGCATGAAGAAATAAATAAAATAATTACCAAGCTAGATGATAGAACCTAATGAACCTTGGTTGATACAAAAAAACCTTGGTTGATACAGATTTGCTTCTAGTTAGTACTTGGATAAGAAATATTAGAAAATTCCAGGACTAGACTTGGAAGTTCCACACATCCCAGAATAAATAAATGGAAAACCATTTCCATTTCCATAGTGTTTTCAAGAAAATGTCACATATAAGTCCATGAAATCACTAAGAGGCAAACTTGATAAAAAGGGAAATGTTTTATATTCACTAAACAGTGAACCCTATATGTGTACTTGTGTGGGGATATCTCTATGGGTCTCTCACCAAGATCACAATCATTCATTAGCATTTCCTACTAAAAATGTACTGTATTTTCCGGCGTATAAGATGACTGGGCATATAAGACGACCTCCAAATTTTCCTGTTAAAATATAGGGTTTGGGCTATACTCGCCGTATAAGACTACCCCTCTTCCAACGCACACCAAATAAAAATTAAAAAACATCAACTGGCTCACCCACAATGTAAAAGCAGCTGTGCTAGACCCAAAATTGGCCCCTGAAACAAGCAGGAACCTCACACAGCCACAAAAAGCCCAAAAAAACAACTTTCACACTTTACATACACACAACACAACACAACACAACACAACTGGCTCACCCACAATGTAAAAGCAGCTGTGCTAGACCCAAAATGGCCCCTGAAACAAGCAGGAACCTCACACAGCCACAAAAAGCCCAAAAACCCAACTTTCACACTTTACACACACAAAATTCCACATACAGCTTTGTGAGATTGTGTGTTTGTGTAGTTAGAGTGAAACACTACAAAAACATACTAAATCTCAGAAAGCTGCACAAATATTATTTTATTTTATTTTATTTTATTTTTATTTTTATATGAAAGCTAAATTTAAAACTTCCTAAACTTTAAATGGCTAGGTCTAAAAAAAAACAACTAAAAAAACCCAATTAACTATTTTTTTTAAATCTCCCAAAGGGGAAAAAAACTTACCCAATAGAACAGGGGTCTCCAACCTTGGCAACTTTAAGACTTATAGACTTCAACTCCCAGAATTCCTCAGCCAGCTTTGTTTTGCTGGCTGAGGAATTCTGGGAGTTGAAGTCCACAACTCCCTGCCTGCTTGATTGCAGGCAGGGAATTGCTTGCTGATGGAATGGATTCAGGCAAGCGAAGCAAGGCAAGTGAAGCAAGGCAAGCAGCTAAGGTAAGCAAGCTGGAGGGGGAAAACTTTTTTCCTTTCCATGGCTCTGGCAATCCCAGCTGAGTTGCCTGATTAGCAGATCGTCAGGGCTTGGATCGTCAGAGCCATGTGAAAGGAGAAAAGTTTTTTCCTTCTCCATGGCTCTGGCGACCCCAACTGAGTTGCCTGATTAGCAGATCGTCAGGGCTTGGATCGTCAGAGCCATTTAAAGCTCGTCAGAGCCTTTCGGGCTGGTCTGCCTGGTTACAGGAGAACGACACTCGGCGTATAAGACGACCCCCGACTTTTGAGAAGATTTTCATGTGTTAAAAAGTCGTCTTATACGCCGGAAAATACGGTATGTCTTGGTATTCATAAGCATGTGCCTTTCTAGAAGTGGGGAGAGAGGATTTATAAATATTAAACAGGCAGGTAAGAGCCTACAGTTTAGAAAAGCTGTTGTTTAGAAACACTGGGAGAATATAAAAAAGGCATGCCGTAGACAGAATGGGACAATTTACTGTAGCCAACACGCTGCGGGACAACTCGTCACAGGACAATTCAATTTAATTATTTTTAAAAATAAAAAATATATTTTAATTTGATCATTCACATTTCATTCTGTTCCTTCTTTTGCATCCTTCCTTTAATCATTCTATTCCACCATTTCTTTGATATTAGTGTAACTCTTGTCCTGCAGCGAGTTGGCTGTGGCAAGTTGTCCCGCAGCGAGTTGGCTGTAGCAAGTTGGCTATGGTGAGTTGGCCGCAGCGAATTGTCATAGACCCTGCTGGGAATGGCTGGAGAGAGGAAAAAGGGAAAAAAGAGAAGGAAAGGAGAGGAAAATCAGAAGTCAGAGAGCACTTAGAATAGTTCACCAAGAATTATGACAGAAAAAGGAGGCGGAGTCACTCTTGTGAAATCCAGAGGGCTGGAAGAAGGCTGGCAAAAATGAGCCAGACATACTGGTAGTATAGGGTTTGCTGCTTGAGCAGGGAATTGGACTAGAAGACCTCCAAGGTCCCTTCCAACTCACTCAAAGGAAAATTTCCACTAGCAGAAGAGTGAGGTCTGAGATAGAGGAATAGAGTCATCTCAACAAGAGAAGATGAGTGACAGCTGTACCTTTTGAGAGAAACTGGAGCCATACCCAGCTGCTTCCTGAGAGAAACAAAACAAGACTTTCTGGGGAAATAAAGAGGAAACAGGGCGGGAGGAAGAGAGAGAAGATAGAGTAAAGTAATAGAAATCTAGGAGCTATGCTGTAAAGCGATACGAGTCAAGAAAGTCTTAACAGTAAATCAATGAGGAGTAAGAATAGGATGGGTGAAATGCACTTACAGTCTGAGTGGAGAAAGTTTGAAGGTTAAAAGTGGGTGTGTAACCATAAGAAATCAAAAATATAAAGGGGTTTGAACTGAAATAAGAAAACAAATAAGAAAATGTTCTTTTTAGTATGTGAATATCTGATATATTTATATATAATTGTGTACAATTAACTTTTTGGCACTAAAAATCTAATAATAAAAGAACCAACAGTTGAATCTTTAGCAAAGGGTACAAAACAGGGATCTCCAAACTTGGCAATTTTAAGACTTGTGGACTTCAACTCCCAGAATTCCTCAACCAGTCATGCTGGCTGTGGAATTCTAGGAGTTGAAGTCCACAAGTTTTAAAGTTGCCAAGTTTGGAGACCCTTGGTCCAAAAGGTCAAGATGGCAGCCCTGATCATGTAATCAGCCCTACAATTTCTCATGTGCATAGCTGTCATCCTGACTTCTTTTTAACACCTCCTCCTCCTTCCCCAGAACCTAAATCATTACTTCATTTTTTAAAAAATTTGATTTATATGCCGCCCTTCTCCGGAGACTCAGGGCGGCTTACAATGCGTTAAGCAATAGCCTTCATACTTTTGTATATTTATACAAAGTCAGTTTATTGCCCCCACAAACTGGGTCCTCAATTTACCCACCTTAGAAAGGATGGAAGGCTGAGTTGACCTTGAGCCTGGGGAGAATTGAACTCGCAGTAATTGCAGGCAGCTGGATGTTAAATGCTGCCTTAGGAGGTATTAGCCTCCTACGCCACTCAGGCTTCTATTGGGAAGATCTGGGATATCATTCATGTTCTTATCACTCTTGTTTTACCTGACTTTTCACAATGCTGTCCATGCCAACCAGATGAACAGATACAGCCACTGAATCGATTGCAGGTGCCTCCATTCTGGCAATTACACTCTAAGGTACAGTCAGGGCCATATTTCCCAAGCGAACAAGCTGTGGGAAGAACAGAGGGATTAGGGCCTCAACAATTTTACCCATTTAAAAGACCGAGCTTATTGGTCAAAGATAACATGACAGATTACATTTGTTTTAGTTAGAGCATTTATTAATCTTTCTCCTTCCTGTTGGATATGCAGATACATGAGTGTATTTTACATGTAGTTTATCTAGTTCTGTAACTGATGCAGTACAATCAGAAAGAAGGATTTACAATAGGCTTCTTTCCTTCCTAAACATGATTTTTGAAAGGACACTTTTAATTTCCTACCCAGAAATTTTCCATACAATTTCCCTTGCTGCAGAACACAACGAGAAGTGGCTTTTTCTATTTTAAATTATTACAGAAGCCTATCAACATATCTTTTATTTTATGTACACTGAGAGCATATGCACCAAGACAAATTCCTTGTATGTCCAATCACACTTGGCCAATAAAAAATTCTATTATTCTATTCTATTCTATTCTATTCTATTCTATTCTATTCTATTCTATCAATATGTATGTGTTGCTTGGAAGAGGAAAGAGTTAATTTTATCAATATAGAATTCCTAAACTATTGCTGGGCAGTGAGGATAGGGTTACTTTTAAAACATTTTTTTCACCTAGTAGAATTTCCTGCTTACAAGCATCTTTCTTTTTCTGTCTCTATGCTGGGGCCAAGCAGGAGAGAAACTATTTTGAAGAAACAAAAGGAGGAAGCTACTCTCTCCTGGCTATGAGCCAAATGTGGCCCAAACAGAGAAAGCAACAAAGCTTCTGCACCATCCTGTGTCTGTGATGAAGCAGAAACTCTTGTACTTCTTTTCCATATCCAGATTTTCCAGGGAACATGTGATTGTTTTGCTGATGGTGACAATGAAATCAAAAGTGTACATGCACTAAGCATAATATCAACAGCCCTTGCTGTTCATCCTTTGTTTTTGTCAGGTATAATTCTTGTTTTCTCCTGTTCCGCTCCAGTTAGAACGAGTTTCTTAAAAAAATGATCTTGATAAATATTATTTTGCCTGAATACAAAACAATATAAATATTGTTTTATTTTAACTTACTGAAAAAATCAAATTCTAATATCTGAACATTTATCTATCAGTGGTAAAATATTACCTTTATGTTACACTAGCTGAATACCCATGCTCCGCTATGAAACTATGTGATCGGGCTTGATTAATCAACACTTAGTTGATTAATCTAATCTCTCCTCTCCCCTTCTCTCCCTCAGGCTTGCCCCACAGAAGCTTCTCCTCTCCCCTTCTCTTCCTCAGGCTGGCCCCACAGAAGCCTCTCCTGTCCCCTCTTCTCCCCTTCTCTCCCTCAGGCTGGCCCCATAGACCCTCTCCTCTCCCCTTGTCTTCCTCAGGCTGGCCCCATAGACCCTCTCCTCTCCCCTTCTCTCCCTCAGGCTGGCCCCACAAAAGCCTCTCCTCTCCTCTGTTTCAGGCTGGCTCCACAGAAGCCTCTCTTATCCTACCCTCTTCTCTCCCTCAGGCTGGCCCCATAGACCCTCTCCTCTCCCCTTTTCTCCCTCAGGCTGGCCCCATAGATCCTCTCCATTCCCCTTCTCACCCTCAGGCTAGCCCCATAGATCCACTCCTATCCCCTTCTCTCCCTCAGGCTGGCCCCATATTTCCTCTCCTATCCCCTTCTCTCCCTCAGGCTGGCCCCATAGATCCCCTCCTATCCCCTTCTCTCCCTCAGGCTGGCCCCATATTTCCTCTCTATCCCCCTTCTCTCCATCAGGCTTGCCCCACAGAAGCCTGTCCTATGCTATCCCATTCTCAGTTATTTTCAAGTTGGGAGGGGGAGTAGAACGTCTAACTAATTAGCATCAGAGTGTGTTATAATAATATAGGAAATACTAATGCTCTGATGGTCATTTTGAAAAGTCCTTTCTTAGTAAGCACCTAGAAGCCAAGAGGAAGATACGTGGCAAATTTCAAGTTTGTAGGCTTTACGATTCTGGAGACTTCGTGATTAATGCATGAGTAGTTTTTGCTTTTATATACTGTATATAGATTTTCTACATATTATTCTCAAAGCATTTCAGATAGTTGGTTCTTTATTAAGTGAGATTCTAAAATATAATAAACTGGGTGTCATTAGTCCTGATGCTATTTAGTAATTTGGTAAAACTGAAAAATGTAAGGAACAACCTTTGATATCTTTGGGGAAATTTCCTGGATAAAAAAAGGACCAAACTTTACTGAGAATAATACAACAAAGAAATTAATAGAGCAGTGGTTTTATCTATTTATTTGGGAATTTTTGTTTAGTGGTCCGGTGCTTTCTTTTTGCCTTTTGAAAAGTAACTCAGCTCTGTACTTTCCTTCCTCATTCCATCCATTTGGAATGTTTGCTACCTGGGTAAGTATGACAGTATCACCATGCTGCAATAAATCAATTGCAAATAGACATACCTGAGTTGCATTGTACTCCACTCCACCCAGCAGCACAGGAACAGCCATATGGGTCAGGCAAACAGAAGGATAAGCCTCTGCAGCCCTGCTCACTGGGACACCTCTCTTGGCAATTTCGCCCAAAACGGCCTTCTCTACATGCTGGAAAAACAAGAAGATTCCTGTCAGAGAACTTCTTTCACTTCAGCAATTGTATAATCCTGTTCCCATATCTCCTAGAACTAATCTCACAATTATACCTTTGCTCACAGGACACTCATTAAACTCTCTGCTGAGTTTCAGGGAGGCTATAAATTGCATGATTTTCTACCCATAACCAGGGCCGGATTTTCCTATAGGCTAACTAGGCTTCAGCCTAGGGCCTCAAGATCAAGAGGGGCCTACATTCAAATTGTTAGCAAAATTAAAATTACACTTTCACTATAGGTGAAAGGGCCTCATAAGTGGAATAGCCTAGGGCCTCTTTTCATCTAAATCCGGCCCTGCCCATAACTAATTGAAAAGAGCATGTGTAAATCTGGTAATCTCTGTAGGATGCCAGAGCATGGGCATGGAATTAGCATTCCACAATTAGATTACAGTAGTGGGACTATCTGACCCTCAGCTTCCTCTTCTTTGCTTTGTAAATGACAAAAAGAAAAATCTAAAGATGAATAACTTCCAACATCTGTATCCATGCAGTTTCCTTTGCAGAGTTACAGAATGGTTTGCCATCGCCTTCTTCTGGGATTTATTTTATTTTATTTTACCAGACAACCCATGTCCTGTTGGGTTATCATTTCAGAGATATTTCCTTCCTAAACTGAGAAACAGAATGACTACAGGTGGGCAAAAAAGCAGTGGGTGCAGGAGTGACTTCCGACTTCCTGTTGGCTTTCCAACTGAGTTGTGAGAAGCTTTCCCATCCTTGTGGGAAGCTGCAGAAATCATTGGAAACCTTCCTTCCTTCCTTCCTTCCTTTCCTTCCTTCCTTCCTTCCTTCCTTCCTTCCTTCCTTCCTTCCTTCCTTCCTTCCTTCCTTCCTTCCTTCCTTCCTTCTTGCATATATATACATTGATATACATAACACACACTATATACTTTCTCTCTCTGTATCTGTATCTGTGTATATGTATATATATGTATTAGGTATACCGTGTTTCCACGAAAATAAGACCCTGTCTTATATTTTTTTGAACCCTGAAATAAGTGCTTAGCCTTATTGTCATGCAGTCAAAAGCCCGATTGGGCTTATTATCAGGGGATATCTTATTTTGGGGAAACAGGGTAGGTATAGGTATAGGTATTTGTGTTCAGCAAATATTGCGGGCCCAATTGGCAAAATAACGCTTTTGCCATATTGGTTGGAAACATACAGAACATGCCTTCATTATGCAGTGGATAAACAATGGCTAAAATGATGATGATCGTGTCTCTCTCTCTCTCTCTCTCTCTCTCTCTCTCTCTCTCTCTCTCTCTCTGTGTGTGTGTGTGTGTGTGTATACCCACGCGCACACACAGGCAGACACCCACCCATGAGTCTATATATCCTTCTCTTGCGATTCATTTCGTTCCTTCCCTCATTTTTCCCCAACTGCAAACAGCCCAGAAGGGAATAAGAACAGAGGAGATCAGGGTATTCTGTCTATGATATCACTGATTCAGATTTTCTACAGTCTGCAAAATGTACCAAAAAAAAAAAAAAGACAGGAAATCACTCAATTTTTGGCCCCTCATCAATTTTCCAGTGAAGATCCTTCAAAGATGGCCACTTCCTTTGACTGGGCCATTGGTGATCATATGCTGTTGATGCAAAAAGGAATGTTTATCCTGATGTAATTGCAGATTGGGTCCTGTGAGTCACATTTTATCAAGGATGCTGTATGTAGGATCCTCCTCCATTTTTTATATAGCACAGGGCAGGCCACAGATCAGGTTTGGGCAGTAAATATAATTTTGGACTTTCAGTGGCAACATGTAGTCATTTGGGATCATTTAAAACTCAAAAGCGAATGAGTTAGTCTTGGTACATATATTTTTGGATTTCATACTCTCTTAAGCCTGGGAAAAAGGGGAGGAAACAGGCAGAAAACTCTCAAATTTGGTCCCCACTATTGTATTTAATCACCAGACATATTCCTTGCAGCCCATGAAAACTACTATAGTAAAGAAGCTCCTGATTTTCAAGTTCAGTTCATGGCCCAGGAACATCCATTTACACTAGAACAATGACATGTGGCTCCTGACCTCTTTCACAGCGGGTACCCATGAATCCTGGAGGACAGATACATTCTCCCACAATGTGATGGCAGATGCCCCCATTCAGGCAATCAGGACAGTCTTTGTCACAAAATGAGCCCCATTTCTTGGCTGCACAACCTGGAGAGACAGGAAGAATAATAATATGACATTTCCAGACAACACTAGAGAGAAAAAACTACAATAGTCACTCACAACATTCAAGTATAATTTCATACATTGTGTGCTCTGTCTCTAGCAACAACCTCAGGAAATGGCTTGTGTGTTAAAAACAGGCCTTCAGATTAGCCTAACAATAATTTTTATTCAAATTTCTTTACATCAGTGTTTCCTAAATGAATGTCCTTCATTGGTCATGCTGTTTGGGAATGGTAGGTGCACTCCCAGCATATCTGGAACACATCCCACAGGGAAAGACAGTTTTGTGGTCACTTGTTGTGAGTCATCAAATCATAAGACTCTGAGTGATGTGTATTTATTTGTGAATAGCATATCTATAATAACAAAATACAGGTACTCCTCGACTTATGCCCAAAATTGACCCCAAAATTTCTGTTGCCAAGCAAGACAATTGTTAAGTGAATGTTGCTCCATTTTATGATCTTTCTTGCCACTGTTGTTAAGTGAATCACTGCAGTTATTCAGTTGATAACACGGTTGTAAAATGAATCTGGCTTCCCCATTGACTTTGCTTGTCAGGAGGGGATCATATGATCCTGGGACAACTGCAACTGTCATAAATATGAACCAGTTGCCAAGCATCCAAATTTTGATCACGTGACCTTTGGGATGCTGCAACAGTCATAAGTGTGAAAAGTGGTCATAGGTCACATATTTCAATGCTGTTGTAACTTCGAATAGCCACTAAACAAATGATCGTAAATCGAGGACTACCTGTAGGCTGCAATTCTTACTGACTGCTTTGATAAATGTTACAAAAAACATGGTAATCCATGGTATAATGCATTAAATAAAAATAGGACACGATTTATTTTCCATCAAGTGCCCTCCAGATTCATTGCATTTCAACTCCAACAATCATTGGCTGCAGAATATAGTATCAGGCATTTCTGGAAAAATGGGAGAGTTGAATTTTTCCTTATCTCTGTTGCATACAAAAGGGCATTTCTGCAAATGAAGATGATCAAACCATTAAAATATTTTTTCTGAACAATTAGTGAAAAGAGAAAAGCATTATTCTTTTTAGGAATACCCTTTTGAGAATAATTTTTCTTAGTCTGGAAAACGTGTGATGTTTAGAACTATGCTTTCAACATTCTTCACTAGTAAAAGAGATTGGTTTGTGCAGTTCTTGAGCAGTAGGTTGGGAGATGCAGTTTTAAAAAGAGGCATTCTTCTCTTTAAGAAGCAGCATCCACAAAAATATGTTAGGAAGCATTAAATGGTTGCCTTAGGTATGCACAATCTCACCTCGCACTATCAGTCTGAAAAAGGCACTTGACAAAGGGCTGTCCTCTATAAATGTGGCGCTGTAAATCCCACCATCAGCCATGGTAACAGATGACAGGACCAGAATGGACTTATTCTCCTTTAATTCACCCTGGTGCATCGTGTCATAGTAAGTCCCTGCACAAAAAAAAAAAAAAAAAAAAAGAAAGAAAGAAAGAAACAAGCAAGAAAAATATAAAAAGCCAAGGCTGGTGAACAAAGAAATACTACTGAAATAGAAATACATCTTTTGGAATATGATTTGCATGCAAAGGTATGAGAAGGTCATGAAGTTGGATTTTGCTATTAGGAAAGCAGATAGAATAGTAGAGGAACTAAGCAAATCCAAGGCTCCCATTTTAAAGCCAATAAATAGTCTTGTGTGTGGATGGCCATTCATAATGGATCAATGGCACAGTGGTTTTTAAAGTGTGGTCTGGGAACTCCTGGACCTGAAACCCTTTCAGGGTCTCCATTGAAGATAGATAGATAGATAGATAGATAGATAGATAGATAGATAGATAGAGTTAACATTTCTCAGTTTTAATTCCTAATTCAGTGAATATCAATAGATATAACCTCCACAAACCAAAATTCTTTGGGGTCTTGAATCATTATTAAAAATATAAAAGTTTTATATCAGCAAAGAAACTCAAGCTTTAAGAGGTTTTTCCTAAGAAGGAGTTGGATGTCTTGGAAAAAGGTCAGATTTTATCCCAGACATGCAGTTAGATGATGGGAGCACTTGCCATTCCTTTTCCACCAGATATCTGTTTTCTTCCCATTCTTTATCCTGGCAACCAGTATGGCTGATTGGGAAAGACTGATTGTGTGGGTTACTTTCTCTGGAACCAGGTTGGCTGAAACATTGAACAGGAAAAAAGGAATTGGGTTACAGAATATATTCTGAAATATTTTGTCTTCCTTGTTCATTACAGGAACATGGTCTTGATATTTGAAAGAAGACCTCAGATCACTGTCATGGCACTTATATCTGAGTTTTCTACCATTTACCAGACCGCATCCTGCTTTATGCAACATATAAAGGACTAGATACATTGTCAGGAAGAAAGGAACATATATAGAAAAAACATTCACACTTCACTATGTGAGAGGAAGATACAATACTAATTTTGGGGAACTTTTTTCTCCCTATTGATAAATGTCTTTCCTTGGGAAAGCTATTAATTTGGAGGCTGCAGGCTGTAGAAGTGGACAGACTGAAGCAAGAAGTTGGGTGAGAAGAACAGTCAAAAGTGACCCAGAAAAATACTTTACTCAAATCAATTATCCCAACCACATGACCATTTTAATCTATCTATCTGCCGCATGTACCTTTCTTCCTTTCCATGATGCAACCATCAAATCAGCAGCAAGGTATTGTAAAGCAGAAATACTTTGCTTCTGTGCTGACTGTGCTTCTACTATGAAGAAACATATGTTACTACATCCTCCTACTGCTTGGAAACTTCACAGAATGCAGAATGAGCTACCACTCAAATTCTTTGGGGACTAGTTCCATTGTGAGACCTAGGTTTACCGAGTTCTGCACCTACTATTTTAAAAATATTTTTCAAAGGTTCCATCCTCAAATACTGCTGAAAGGGAATAGTAGTTCTTGCTATGAATGTCACGGCTAGCAGTATCTGGAAATAGTCCATAGAGAGATAATTCAACATATGAACAAGCAAAAAGGTGACAACCCCACTCCCAGGAATAAAAATTCCTTGTGGGAAAAAAACAGAAAATTTGTAATCTCCTCACTTTGGATAACACCAGCGACAGACATCTGTAAGAACCTGGCTATATTTCTTTGTTTAAATCAATATATTGTACAACACAGAATTCATGCTTTTCAAGGGTACATCTATAAGGGGCCCATAGAAGATCTTACACAGGCATTTCAAAAGTTACCAATCAGGCAACTACAGAAATCAGATGTCCATTTTTTTCTGCAGCCTGAGCTAAAATGCCATGGAGGATAGCCTCTAGCATTGTGGAATCACAGTGTAGCATGGCATTGGAAAGAATTAGAAGTTTCATCTAGTTCAACCCTCTGTAAAAGTATAAGAAAGCTAATTTTCCTTTGGAAGGTATATTCTTGCTGCTGCCTAAAATAGCTACAGTTGAACAGATTGTAGCCCCTGTCAATGTCAACAGCTACATGGTCGGTGAGTTGATCCATATCTTGTCCACAGCAAAAACTGGGTTGAAAAAAGAGGAGAGAAGCTATCTTAAAATTGGAAAGCTAAAAGTGATAGCTAAAGTTGCCTCAATGTAGGTTAGGAGTGAGATGAAGGAAATATCATGAGATGTGGTATATAAAAAAGATTAATCAGCATGTTTGTGCCAAAGTGGAAGGCAGATAAGAATCATAGGCATCCATGACAAGCCGCAATGAGATCAAAATGGTGACACTTATGTCAAGATAATATAATGCAAATGAGACGGATATATAATTTACATCACAAACTCTGATGAAATTATCAGTGTTACATCATTCACATGATAACATCATGATGCAGATCTACACACACACATACACACATATACAGAAACACAAATGCACATTGTGGATATCTGTGAAAAGAAGAGCACTAAGGCTCTTCTGTTTTCAGTCTTGTTAGATAAGTTTATTATTGCTATTAAGTGAGTTATAAAGGAAAATCATTTACTGGCCCTGTGAATCTAAAATCAAAATGTTTAACCAATCCTAAGAAAAAAGGATCAGAAATGGCTAAAAGTGAGATTGCTGTGAGGCTTCAAGCCCCTTCATACATGATAATTTGTTGATTTCTCAAGAAATATTAAATCAATTAAAATTATTGGTCTGTACAAAATGTAACTACATCCAATGAAATATTGAATTTTTCATTGGTTTTACTGTCACTTTCTACAAGTTTTATGAGATTGCAGCATTTACCTATAACAAATAAGGGTTTTCACTACCGGTATTGACTTATATTTAAATTTATATTGCTTGTACAATAGTAAAAGACATTTGGGCTTGACCAAAACATTTACTTTTGTTTGCACAATTTTTGGCTTACTTTCTATGTCTAATGTTGTGCCTATTTGTGCCTATTTTAATTCTTGTCTTAACTATATTCTTTTTATGTTTGTTTGCTGTGGTTCTGTGAATATTGGCTTTTGCAGTGCTACAGTGACATCTGCAATGCTTTTATTTGATCTGACATTTCACATGTCATTATGGGAAGGAAGAGATCGAAAAGGCATCGAAGGACAACATAAAGGTGCAATTTAAGATTGGGTGGGTTTGAAATAAGAAATGAAGAATTATAATCAGTCAGTTGTAGGGATGTTCTGATTTTGACCCACAGTGTAAGAGAGCAAAATTATTTGAGTTAGCTTCTTATTAGTAGAATTTACACGTCAGAGAAGCTTATAAAAAGTTTAATAGAAATAAAACAATTAATTATAAAAGATTTTTGAGAACATTAAGGTCTCAAGACAGGAAGGAAGAGAGCTTAGTAAACCTCTTCGAGAGATAACATTACACCATCTAGAGGCTAACACAGAGATTTCTTTATTGTTGAAAGAAGTTGGGTTTTAAAATCTGTGAAGTACAGAAGCACACACACACAAAATTTATACTGTTGTTATAGTTATATTCCAACTTTTATTTAGGCGCTGAAGGTGGCATACATAGTGTTTCTCTCAGTTGCCCTTTAGCTATAGCCCAGTACCAGTTTAACACCTCCACCACGACACCACATTGGCTGAGAGCATCGGTGCTATTGGTTATTATTTTCCTATTTGTTGACAGATGAATCTCTTGTTCTCTTAGCTATTTTTGTGTTTTTCAATCTGGGAGATCTGTGCCTCTCCTTACGTGAACATTGTGTTTGATGAACTGGACGAAGAGGTGGAAAGAATGCTTATTATCAAATTTGTAGATGATATAATTTTGATGGGATAGCTAATACCTTAATACCTTAAAAGGCAGAGATAAAATTCCAAATAGGAATTTGATAGGTTAAAGAAATGGGTTGCAAATAACACTGAGACATTTCACAGAAACAAATGGCAAGTAGAACAGTTAGGATAAAAGGTAAAAGGGATATTTGACTATGAATATGATATGGCTGCAGTACATACCCTGTTTCCCCAAAAATAAGACATCCCCTGATAATAATATTATCAGGGGATACTAAGCCCAATCGGGCTTATTTCAGGGTTCAAAAAAATATAAGACAAGGTCTTATTTTCGGGAAAACATGGTACATACATACATACATACATACATACATACATACAATTTCATACTGCAATGACAAAATTTCAATTTCAGCCTTTAAATTTCAGAAAGAAATGATTCCAACATACTTTATACTAATACAGCTTCCACTTTATGTATTGGGTCCAATTCAAGATGTTGCTATTAGAGATAGATTTAGACAAAGTGGAATAGATTCAGAGAAGGGACATGAGGATGAGCACAAATCCAGCAATGAAGGCTTATAAAAAGAAATTAAATAAACTGGAAATGTTGAATCTTAAAAACAAAAGACTCAGGGGGACAAGATGAAAGGAAATCATAGAGAAGAAGAAGAAGATGTTCTCTATTAGCCCAGAATGCAACAAATAGGACAATGAATTTCAGTTGGATGATGCCAGATTTGATTATTTTTTTAAAAAAAATAAATTGTGGAAAGGAATAGCAGTATGACAGAATTGCAAGTATTATCCAAAAATGTGATGAATTTCTCTTCACTGAATATGGTCAAGTGGAGATAGCTGTGGATCATGTCATTTGACCTTCTAAACAAATTTAGAGATTGGACTTGCTGGTTTATTTCCACCTCAATTTATTTGCAAGGTGTGTGTGTGTGTGTGAACAGAAGTGTATTTGGTGCAGTAGGGGTACCTGAGATGGGTGGAAACAGGTTTCTAGGAATTAAAATATAAGCCATATAAGTTTTCTTCTATTACAGATGAAGTAATTTGTTTGTATGTATGTATTTTATTGTTGGCTGTTCACCGCCCTGAGTCCTTCGGGAGTAGGGCGGTATATAAATCAAATAAAAGTAAAAGTAAAGTAAAGTAAAGTAAAGTAGGTTCTTTGTCATGCCCAACTCACCAGACATAGGATACTTATGCTATGCTCAATTCCATACAAACAATAGAAAACCAACAACCTAATGTGTAAAAGGGGTCATATCATGACAGAAAGCATTACATCATATGAGATAAGAAGTAAATGTTGAGAAATATTAACTTGAAAACATTAATTCTTGTTATTACTCAAGTGTAGATTTTGGTCTTTAGATACCACATATCAGTATATGAATTGCTCTGGTCACACTTACCGTTAATATCGTTGTGTACATAAACAACTCTAGTTTGCTCTGACTGTGTCTTCCCCAGGCAGTATGTGATGCCCACGAGGCCTGCTCGGGAAAAACCTCGCATATGCACTTCCTTGCTGCTGTTCCTGTATATCTGGAACTTGGATGTGGTCTTGATCATGGCATTGTCTCTGTCAATCTGGAGGCTGATGTTCCGCTCGCCTGTCACACAGGACAGGTAGAAGTGGTTGTGTGAGGGACTCAGAACATTGGCCACCAGAGTGATATCCAGAATTGCACCTGCATCAAAAGAACCAAAGCAGCCATCTTATAGACATGAAGAGAGCAGATAATTATAAGCATGTTTGAAATGATTCAATGCTAAATCTTGCCTTGATTATGTCAGATAGTATGAGTCTTGCCTCTCTCTCCTAGAAAAGGGAAAGTTAGAGGAGGAAAGCCTCAAACTCAGAGAAAGACTTAGAACTCATAGAAGTCAGAGAGCATAAGCAAACGAGTATAAAGAAAAATACTAAACAAATAATACTAACAGAAACTAATATTATTTAGTCCTCTGGTTTTTCAAAGTGGATGAGGCTTTTCAATACTCATAGCCACTTAGTTTTATAAAAAGAATGAATAATAAACAGACCAATAGAATAACGTAGTTTTATTACTATCATCATCATCATCATCATCATCATCATCATCATCATCATCATGCAAATACTATTTCTCAGTTATAAATAGGGAGTAAACATCACACTTAGCACTGATGATGTTACTTAGTCAGGTAATGAAATGTCTGCAAGCCAACAAGCAAGCTCAGAGAACACCAAGGACTCCATAGTTGATTCTATTCTGGTTTCATTTCTTTTAGCATCCATTCTCAGTCACTTTTTCTACCCTATACCAGGGCATTTTTCTGGATTTTTTTTTCTCCATAGTCTCTGCTCTTAACTGGTCCATTTTCATATTTGATTTTTTCTTTGCTGACCTCTTCCCCCAAACCAGCTTTGATCCGATTAAGGTTTTTTGGAGAATTATTGTTCTGATGGACACCCTACTTACATAATTTCTGCCCAACGTTTTGTTATACTTGGAAAGTATAAAAAGAATCCTCAACCTTAGTTATAAAATTATACTGGGCAGACATGAAAATAATTGTAAATCTCTCGATGCATCCTGAATGCATATGCATTTCCATGAGATACAGCTCCTCTTCATAATATATTATTGTGATCACTATTTGGAATTCTGTTCCCAGCTCAGTTTTTAAATCCCTATAATGGACAACACAATCCCAGCTAAATTAATTTCAAGCATTCTATTTCTTTTTTGCAATCTTTGTTCCTCTGGTTGTGTTGTTTTTGTGCCGTTTCTTTGTTTCTAAATGATTTTAAAAATGTAAACTGTCCTGGATTACTGGGAGTTGGACGTCTTATACATTTTAATAATATTTATATTATATAATTTTTATACATTAATTATAATAATTATTGAGTAGTTTTTTTAAAAAATTATTGAATATGGATAATGATATTCTGTATCATTACAGAAAATAAAATTTTATAAAAATAAAAATATAAAATTTTATATTTTTTTACTAAAGGGTTTGAAAAATAAAAGTGAGTTGGCACAGAGGAATCTAATTTGTAAAACACTATTTATTTACACTCAGACCACATTCAGTGTAGTTTAGATCACTAATGTACTAATTTATTCCTGTATTTGTTCTGACTTGGAAAGCCAACTGAGAGTAGACTTGACGGTCAAAGTTAACTCTGATCCTGTCAGGCTCTCACAAAATTACATGCATCAAAATACATGTTTGTAATTAGCACGTGTGAAATTCATCTATATCAATTGTGTACTATTATGGAAATCTAGAAAATTATTTCCAAGTTTATTGCTAAACCTGTAAAAATTCTGGATAACCATCTCTGCATATGAAATAATTCAACAATCGGAAAGACTTCTCGGGATGCTGGCCTTTTCCTGAAGGCTTAACTTTATTTTCAGTTAAGTGTTATATGACAGTCTGATGTTATTTCTCATAAAAATGTTAACTTCTGTCTGATATTCTGCAGATGGGATTGCTGAAGTTTGCATTCTCCCATTCTGGTCAGTTAAATCACTGTGTAATAGAGAAAATAAATTATGGGCCCTTTATATTTGTTGTTCAACAAATATTTTCTTATTAGTAAAAATTAGTAAGATTTTTTTTAAAAAAAGTTTAAATCCCAAATCCATCTACTAGTTTCCTGATGAGTCCTCATCAGAACCTTATCCATCTTAAGACCTAAAGTTTTGGGTGGTGCCCTAGACCTACCCCTAGAAATTGCCATTGTTTAAAACTTTTAAGTTTTAAAAGTAAATGTAGATAGAAAGAATCTTTCGTAAAATACATAGAAACTGATTATATCAGTTATATCTGGTATTAAAATTTCAATAAAAATTAAGACAGATTTCGTTTTTGTCTGTTCACTTCTTAATATGGGTCACAATCTTATTGTGGAATTTTGCCTTCACCAAGGTACTCAAAGACTGTATACATGGCTCAAGAGAGGTAGCACTTTCCTAGGCTGACTAAGCAAGACTGAGTATCTTCCAAAGTGAGAAGCTGCTGATTATGTGTTTGATAGTGGCTACAACATCTAGATATAAATAAAAGCAACACAACATAAGAGGACATAAAGAGATTTGTCTGTTTCACTGCATCTTTCAAAATTACTCATCATTCTGTTATCTTTTCTAAGTAACTCATTTTATTAAGGGGCACAGACTTTTGCATGTGATAAAGTGAGCCACATGTCTTTTCACAATATTTGTTAATCCAATACAGTGTAGTAGAGCCATGTCGAGGCTTCTGATTTTTTTGCCACCATAGGTTAACCTGGCTCTGTTACACTGTCTTCTACTGTTGATTATTTTCACTGTAATTCCCCAGTTTTCAGACTAGGCTGGCAGATGCTATTGGTCTAGCTAATTGTGAATTAGAAAGAAGAAAATGCACACATGAATAGTTCTACCTAGAAATATCATTTTTCAAAGAAGTATCAGAAAGTTCTGTTCTCTGTGCCCCTAGCTATAAGGAATTTGGTGGGGGTTAAATTCTCTCCCCCCACCCATTAGTTCTAGAATCTCTTTTGGGTTGCCTTCTCCCAAAGTAAAGTTGTTGGGTATTACTTTCAATATGGATTCCAGTGATTATATTCTTTCTCCATTGGACTAGATTAATGACTCATCGTGTCCAAGGTTTGGCCATTGGGGTGCCAGTTCAAATACTTTTCTATTCCTCAAATTTTTTTATTGTTCATTTTTTAAACAATGTTTTTAGAACCCTATACTGCATGCATTTTATAACATTGGCTTCAGTCTGAATTGATTTGTTTTAATTTTTGCATTCCATTTTATTCCTTTTTTTTCATTTCATGATTTTTTTTAACCCCAGCTTGTGAGCTACCCAGTTCACTTTGGTTCTTTGATAGAATAGTTGACATAGAAATGTGGGTGATAGGTACGACATAGTTAGGTAAGACATAGGAAAAAGTTTGTTTATCCATTTGTGTAATTTGTATAGCTGCCCATCTCAAATTAGTGAGTCAGGGGGGAGGGGTGAACCATCATAAAAATAATTAAAACAGATTTTACCTGTCAGGTGCCAGAAGAAGCTGAGAAGTCCAATTGTATCCAATCTCATTTTCAGGAACCGGCTCAATGTCAGGAGAATTGAAACATCACTATTTCAGAAGAAGAGGTATTAAGAATTATTTCTGTTATTTCTCACTCGCCGTATGTATCTTTTAAGCTTGTTGTTCTTGAATCCTCCATTCTTTACCAGCAGTTAAACAGCGGAAATTGTCACTAGATCAAGCAGAATAAATGCATAGTTCTTCGGTTTGAAGGAACTCAGCAGAGTATCTTAGGAAAAACTCCACTTAGGTAGCCACAGAAATTGGATTTTTTTTTTATTCCAGAAACTTCATTCATTCAAGAGTTCACATTGGCATCCAAAGGCCTAGCCATGCATTTTAGCTTGTTGTTTATTGTCACATGTAGCTGCCAGGCGAATATAATCCTATTGCTTCTTCCATGCTGACTTGGAAACCTAACTGGAGAGTCTCAGCATGGCCACAAAAGAAAACTGGGCAGGACAGGAAACTGATTAAAAGTGGAAATGGACTGAGTACAACATGAGCGGTTGGGGCTCCGTCAGAAAAAAAAATTGGCTGGGGTTCAGGCAGGCAGGATGGAGGAATGCCTAGAGGCCCTTACAGACAGCTCAGCACTGACATGAAATCCTGTTTCTCATACAGCATTTCCTGCTCTCCACCCATTGTTCCATGTCTATCTCGGGATCCTGCCACAGAAGAGAGTAGTATAATAGGAAGTCATTGGCTAAAATACCAACTAAGAGAGGTGTGACAAATCTCTAGTTTGTGAAATGGCACAACTATGTCACCTGAAGCATCTGATAAGCTGACCCTGTGCTAAGCAGCATGCATACATGGAATTCCACTTTTCCCAAAAAAGAAAAAGAAAAAGTCAGTCTGCTATGTAATCCATTTATTCAAAGCACAACTGATTAAAACTAGACTGTCCCTTATTATTCACTCAAAGATAATTTGGAAGGGGGGGGATGGAATGGTTAGGTTTTACATCTGATTTGCTGTCTAGACTAAGATATCAAAGATGGAGAATTGGGCAAAGTCAATTTCCCTGGTTTTCACTTTTCTTCACATTCTATTAAAATGGGGAAGGAAAGAGGGAGGGGGGGAGGGAGGAAGGAAGGAAAGAAGAAAGGAAGGAGAATCTCCCTATCAATGTCCAAGCACAAACCAAGATGATCTCTTTCCCACCATCTTCTCTTCATTGTACTTTGAACATGCTGAAGCTCAGGAAAGCAGGTAATATCTAACCAGTTTAGTTAGGCTGACTGCACTGAAGTTTTGGTTATTACGCTTGAAGAAATGCCACCTTAATCTTCCTTTGTACTACTTCAGTAAGTCCCTGTTCCAGTGTCCCTCTTTCTTGATCATCTTCCTCCCACCGAATCTAGAGGAAAAGTCCAGTCTTCAGCATTTTTTTCTAATCTCATTTCATTTCCAGGATGCATGGAAAGGAGCAGGAGGAGTTAAAGGGACCAGGCTGGTGATGAAAAATTCAACTTTTAGCCTAGGGGTGTCAAACTCAATTTCATTGAGGGCCACATTAGGGTTGTGTTTGACCTCGGGGGGAACGTGGCCAGCTCAACTTCACTTGTGTCAGGGGTGCCTATGGTGGCCTAAGCACTTGCCAGCAAAAATGGGCTCCAGAGCTCCAATTTTGGCTGCAACGGCCTCCTGCAATCCTCTGCCAGCAAAAACGGAGCTCATTTTCATGGGCAGAGCCCCAAAGGGTCATGGGCCGGTCCTTTGCTGTTTCAAGGGCGGCCCCACGGGCCAAATCTAAGCACCCCATGGGCTGGATCCAGCCCCCGGGCCTTGAGTTTGACACCTCTCTTTTAGCCAAAGCATACAAACCTTCAGCCAGGCCCTAAAGTTAATTATGCCTGTTTTAAGCATTGTGCTGCATTTAGAATGCCAGATAACAGAATAACAAGCTGGGAGGGACCTTGGAGGTTTTCTTTTTTTTTCTTTTTTTTTTTTAAATTTATATGCCGCCCTTCTCCGGAGACCCAGGGTGGCTTACAATGCGTTAAGCAATAGCCTTCATACTTTTGTATATTTATACAAAGTCAGCTTATTGCCCCCACAATCTGGGTCCTCATTTCACCTACCTTTGAAAGGATGGAAGGCTGAGTCAACCTTGAGCCTGGTGGGATTTGAACTTGCAGTAATTACAAGCAGCAGATGTTAATAACAGTGCTTTAGTCCACTGTACTACAGGCTCTTCTAGTTCAACCCTCTGCTCAAACAGGAGACCTTATATCATTACAGACAAGTGGCTGTCCAGTCTCTTCTTAAGCCCCACCCCCCCACCCCACCCCAGTGATGAAGTACCCACAACTTCTCCTTAGTTCTAGGTTGCTTCTCTCCTTGACTAGTTTCCATACTCTGTTTCTTGTCTTGCCTTCTGGTGCTTTGAAAAATAGGTTGACCCCACTCTTCTTTGTGGCAGCCCCTCAAATATCAGAACACTGCTATCATGTCACCCAAACTCCTTTTCACTAGACTAGAAATATCACTTATTATATATCACTTGAAACTCTTTCCTTATGAATTTGGTCTCTGATACACATTTCTTACTTCCTGAGCCTAATTTACTTCATAGAATAATTGACTGGAGAGTCAACCTAAAAAATACTTGATAGCAGTTTGAAAATATTGGGTTGTCCTTGGGTAGAAAAAGACTAATTACACTCATGCTTTTTTGAGGCTTCTGGGCTGCATATAAAAAGGGTGCATTTTAATTACCACATAAATGAAAAATCATCTCCAGATAGGGAAAGCAAACTACCTCATTGAATTTCAGCCTGTTCATTATCCAAGTCAGAACTCGGTAACTTTTTGAAAATACAACAATCTTTGTTTAATTGCTGTTTGACTATAGCTGCTGCTCCCTTTGGAAGAATGATAGAAAATCAAATGCCTTTATTAGCCCTATAGTTGTCGTGACAGGTTCACATCATCTTCTGAATATATTAAGAATCTCTGCTGTGTGCCTTTCAGCAATCTTTGGTGGATGAAATTTTTTTTGGTTAACTTATCAACTACAGCATTAATGAAAAATTAACTTAAATGTAGGTCAAGAATACAGACTTTAACATGTCTTCTAGAAGAACAGGATTAGAAAGGGGTCTGCTGCATTTCATCCTGTTTTAAGATTGGTGTTCTCCTATTTCTTATAGATAAAAATAAACAGGCAAAAATCAATTGTTGAACCTTTACATTCCACCCCCTCCCCCATTTCTCAAGACATGATCAAATGCCTGTTTAAAATCAAGAAATGCAACTTGTTTTGCTTCATTTTTATTCACCAAGTAGGTGGCACAGAAATCTATTCTCCTTTGTAATTCTGCCAGCTCTGAAATCTGCCTGTTCATTCCCAACAATGATTTATTTATTTAAAATGTGTAGGCTTTTTGAATTTAAATCATTTTATGTAGCTCACCAGCAAAGACACTTTTAAAAAGCATTTAACAAAAATAAGGAATAAAAAACAGCAAGATGACAGAAACTGGACTGGGCTGGAAAAAATAACCCAAGAGGTCTTCCTTCACCCTCATTAAAAGCTTGGGAGAAAATACTAGAAGAGAAGGGTCTATATGGATCCCATTCTAGAGGGTAGACGCTGTTACAAGAAGGCACGTTTCTGAAGTGCCAATAGATCGTATTGTTTAATTGATCCAGTCCTAGTGGTTCAAATCAACTGAGCAGACTTTATGGAAGACTGGCAGTCTGTCAAATGCCGAGGCCCTATGCTTTTGAAGGGTTTTATTTATAACAACCAATACCTTTTCCGAATTCCATTACTGTAGTCTGAAAGTTTTTATATACATGTCTAGTCTAGAACTTACTAATACAGCTTAAACGAATTGGTTTGCTATTGTCAGGAAAACCTTTCTCATCTTAAAAATTAGAGCAATTATTGCCAAACTCCAGTCTTTAAAAATCTATTATTTATATGTGTAAATAACGAGACCAAAATTGGTGCCAGCCATTCCAAGTTATTTTTGGAGGGAAGAGGCAGGAGAGAGAAGTCAAATATTTTCCAAGTGCCTTTGTGAATTTCAGCAGACTAATCAATTTGAAAAAATCTGACTTTGATATATGTGGTCAGCACAGCAGCATGTCACAGAGTTATCAGTGGAAGATTTTTTACATACAATTAATCTGATATTATTGGAGCTGCATATATCCAAGGCAGCTCTATGAGGTCCAATAAATATAATTGAGCAATTGAGTTAGTTTGTCAACATGAAGTTAAACACTCATTAGAACATGTTGAAGCACTGATTTTTATATTAGCTAATATCTCCTAGATTTGGCAAAATGTTGCTTGGAGTCAGTTCCCAGCAGTTTTCACCTCCCTATTCTTGGTCTGTGAGAGCTCGTGTTTTATTAGACATAAATAACATTAAGCCCAGGGTGGGGCTAGACAGAGAACAATAGAAGTCGCCTGTTTGGGTAAACACAATCTGGATGAAGTTTAGCATAATTGGCAAAACATCTTTCCTGAGTCACTTCCCACCTTTCTATGTAACCCTGGACCAACATATTTCTTCGGTACAACATTGCAAATACACAAACATCATCTATCCATTTTAGTTCTCATAATTTCTGGAACTACGCAGCTTTTCACACTTCTGTACACCGTTCCCTATTACCAAGTTTAAATGCTATCCATCAATCCTTGAGTTGCCAAAAAATTATACCAGCATGAAATTGCTAATTGCTTTGTTGCCTTTGTTGTAAATCACTGCAAGCACTTAACTTCTTTCCAAAGTCGCGGAGAACAAAGCCTAGCAGACTTTATAAATTTGGAGACTTTGAAAGCATTGAAATAAAGGGGGAAATGCTATTTTAATACCATTTTAACGATGGATAATCTATGTTCGTTTCACTCATGGTTTGAGGACAATTGAAGGTAATGTTATGGAAAGTTTAAAAAAAGAAAAGATTTTCCCAGATCTGGGTCCAGTGGCACACGGCTGTGGTTAGATGCAGGTAAGAAAGGACTCTAGAGTGAAATAAATGTAGGAAAGTAAGAAAGTGCCTGAATCACATAAGTTTTCAAAATCAGGTCAAAGAATTTGTAAACAAATGACTCAGCCTCAGTTTGCACTGCTTTAGTTGCAAATTAAGTTAGATTGACATCACAGAAGCTTCTGAACAGTGAAAACCTACATCTCAGACGAGTTTAAAGAATACAGGTAGTCCTTGACTTACGACCGGAATTGAGCCCAAAATTTCTGTTGCTAAGTGAGACAGCTGATAAGTGAATTTGCCCTATTTTACGACCTTTCTTGCCACAGTTAGGTGAACCACGGCAGTTGTGAAGTTAGTAACAGGCTTGTTAAGTGAATCTGGCTTCCCCATTGACTTTGCTTGTCAAAAGGTCACAAAAGATGTGTGCATGACTCCGGGACACTGCAACCGTCATAAATATGAGTCAGTTGCCAAGTGTCCAAGTTTTGATCACGTGACCAAGGAGATGCTGCAATGGTCATAAGTGTGACAAATGGTCATAAGTCACTTTTTTCGGTGCTGTTGTAACTTCGAATGGTCACTAAATGAACTTTTGTAAGTCAAGGACTGCCTGTATAGCTATGGCTTAGACTAGAGAGTTCACACAAAAATATAAATCCCCAGAGCCTGGCATAATCTGAAGTCACACATTATCTCTGTAAAATCAAAAGTAAGCAGGGTCAGGAAGAGGAAACCCATTCATTGTTTCCGACTATTGACGTGCAACTCAGGAAACGGAGTGCCCTTGTGAAGCACAGAGTGGGTGAATTGCCATGGGCTCGGGTTCCCTCTCACAAATAAATGCCCAGACTGCCAGCAGCCTACAAAGGAACCCTGCAATAGCTCTCCCACACTCATTGCATCATAGGTATCTAGAAATAAACAGTGTGTAAATAATCAGCGAGCAACAGAGAGGTCTCTGGTTCTGGTTATAGAACATAGTACAGCAAGTATAAAGATGAGTTAAGTCAGAAATTGCTTTTATATCCTTGATATTTTATCTAACTAATTGATGGGTGCCAATGGGAACTCCCT